TGCATCGTGTGGAATGTCAATCTGTCCCCCATGGTGGGGGCAGATAGTCGCAACCAATGCCTAAGCAACCACTCACAAATTTGTATTTCAATAAAGTTGTGGCCAGAATTATGCCAAAAATCTTAAACAAAAAATTCTGTGTGATGTGTGAGTTATTGGGGTGGCCCTGGGGACCTCGACACGCAAAGGATTTGCTGCCAGATTATCAGAATTGGATTGGAATCCATTATTATTATTATTATTATTATTATTATTATTATTATTATTATTTTCCCACTGACAGGGTGGCCCCAGCCACTCCGGGCGGCTTCCAGCAGATATAAGGATGCAATAAAACATTAAACATTGAAAACTTCCTTCAGAGGTTTGGTACTGCATGAGAGCGCAGGGGTCAGACTGCAGCCTGTAGCCTCTTTTGGATCCTGCTCCCCTTTCTCTTTCCTAGCAGCCATTGTAAAGCGCTGCCTGGAATAAGAGATGGGTTGCATCACAGTGTTGATCACACACGTTGCAGAGCTAGATGGATTAATGGTCTGACTCAGTATGAGGCAACTTCTTCCATGATTCTCAGGAGGAGCGCGACTGCCTCCCTCTTGGGTGATTTTTCTTCTTCTACAGGCAACTGCGACCTCAGGCATACCAACCACCTTTTTGCCCTTAACCTAGTTTAAAGGGATGTAGCCTAAACAAATTGGGATGGAGCTCTATGTACAAGCACATCACACCTTGTTGGGGCAACAACAACCATACCGAAGAGATAAAAAAAAGGCCTTCTCTTCAGGACAGTCTCCCGCTGTCACAAGGCCTGGCTCTGAACAAGAAGCGCTGCATCTGTTATTTGGCTATAAAATGGGTGTGAGTTGTTGACGTTTTGGGTTGAGGAAGGAGAGGAGCACAGCTCCCTTTAACGCGCCACACTCCACAGCATTACAGTGGTACCTCAGGTTACAGATGCTTCAGGTTACAGACGCTTCAGGTTACAGACTCCGCTAACCCAGAAATAGTACCTCGGGTTAAGAACTTTGCTTCAGGATGAGAACAGAAATTGTGCTCCGGCAGCGCAGCGGCAGCGGGAGGCCCCATTAGCTAAAGTGGTACCTCAGGTTAAGAACAGTTTCAGGTTAAGAACGGACCTCCAGAACGAATTAAGTTCTTAACCCGAGGTACCACTGTAATCTGTTTCCACTTAGCCTAACTCTGATATGAGAAGTGAAGAGCCATGAGAAAATGGCTTTAAGCAGCAAACTTTGGCAACAGAGGGTGGGAGAGAGGGAGAAGGTTTTGCTCCCCTCCCTATGTGCTATTTTTTAAGAATAAAAGTAAGAACAACCCATTATATAGCTGAACAAACAAGGTCACATCTACATGTATGTATACCACTTCAACAATCTCTGGCATTCACTAAACTGGGAACTGTAGGCCCGTGAGGTCCACATGCATGACAAACTACAGTTCCCAGCAGTTGCAGCCTGTGGGGCAGCACAGGTGGGACTCCATTGCTCTCCCAGCTTCCCAACACCGTGGGTCACTGTCGCTAACCAGAGGTGGGAAGTGCAGGGAACATGGCTTTTTAGATATGAAATGGAGGAGGCACCATTTTGTCCCTTGCCTCAGGTAGCAAAATGTCTTGGGATGGCCCTGGTAGAGAACTGTGTTTGGGGATGCTTTCAGGAAGGAGGTCTGGGAAGCTGCCTTATACTGAGTGAGACCAATGGTTCATCTGGCTCGGTACCGTCTACAATAACTGGAATTGGCTCCCAGGGTTTCAGGGATGGGAAGTTGTGCCTCCCCCCCAATGTTGTAAGACTACAACTCCCATTATCCCTGACCATTGCCTATGCTGGCAGGCACCAATAAGAGCTGGAATCTGATAATATCTGGAGGGCCACCAGCAGTTTGATGGAGGTCTTTCATTCCCGTATGTGTAAGCTAACAGTGTTCTTCAGCCCCAGGTCCCCAGAGGGAACTACATTTCCTAAACTGGCTGTGGATGATGGGAGCCGTGGTCCAACAACATCTGGGGACTGAGCTAACATATTTGGCAACAATCACTTCCCCCAGTGTCTTCTCCTAAGAAGGAAAGGAGACCTGACCTCTCTATCCCAAGCTTCTAGGGGGACTTTTGCAGGGTGATTCCTTCTCCAATTCCTGTTTTCATTCTGCAACGGCCTTTCCCAATATTGGGTCTGTAGATGTTTTGGAAGTACAACTCGCATCATCCCTGAACATTGGCTATGCTGGCTAGGAATGATGGGAGTTGTAGTCCGACAACACCTGGGGACCCAAAGATGGAGAAGGACCGCTGCGAGGTGAGAACTGCAGAGAGATTGAAGAAGCAGAGGTATTTGTCTTCTGTTCTGCTGCATCTGCTTATAGAACAGGTTAACCACCACCACCCCAACACACACGTTGAGAGGGAATGGTTGTGTTTGTAATGGCAACACACACACACTGTGCTGACACAACACTGTTAGTTCTTATCTCACAGATCTGACGCGAGAGGTTTAGATGGAGCAGCATGGCACCTGATATTTCCACTCAACAACTGTAGGGAAAGGTCTCTCTGGTCTGGCCAGGACCAGTTTAGCTGTCCTGAGGACATGCCTAGAAACTGCAGCTCACCCCAGTGTTTCAGTTGGAGCTCTGTCAAGCTGGAAACAGTTTCAGCATTCATTCAGGCTGCGGAGAGAGAAAGGAAACTGAAGAGCAGGTGACTGAGGTGAGATCTTGGAGTGGATAACTAGCGGCAATTCTCAGAGGGGCATAGCCACTTCTCTGCATTCGCGGTGCCTATTGAATTTTCCTACAGATGGAAAATCACCTCAACATATGGATCCCAAATGTTTTCTTCTTCTTCTCCCATTCAGAAGCAAATGGCCTCTCCCCTCTCCCCCAATGAATAATGAAAGCTTTGATTAAATAGCTAAAGATGTATTTTGAAACCAGCAATTAACATCTAACAGCACAGGATTCCAAGGCTCTTTAATTGCTGGTGTGCTTTATCAAATTATAACCTCGGTACGAAGAAGCGAACAAGAGGCTAGCAGAAATGAATGTGAATGATTATTGCTTTTTATAAGCTGATGTGGATGAGGGATATGAACTCCTTTTTAATCCAGAGGTGAGGAGCGATATGGGACCAGTTTAGCAATATTTATTCTTGAACTCTGCATGTGTGGAAGACAGCCCATGGACTTAAGAGGCTGCATTTGTGCTCTTAGCATCCTTGAGGGTGCTTTGGATATGTGTAGTAAGGTCAAAATCTCAGGTGAATTATGTTTATTGTCAAGTATATCCACTTCATGCAGGGAAGAATCATAGCTTGGTGGCAGAGGGCATGCTTTGCATCCACAAAGCCCAGATTCAGGTCCTGGTATCATCCATTAAAAGGAGCAGATAGCAGGTGATGGTAAAAAAGGTATTCCTGAGACTATAGAGAACAGCTGAGTCAGATTAGACAGTACTGGCAGAGGGGGGCACATATAGAGCAGCTTCTTGGGATTTTACTTCTGTATGCTGGCTGTGGGTTGTGCCCTTAACCATTAAGGATGAATGTCTGGTAAATTTCAGTTTTAAAGTTTCTAGTCCTTGTCACCGTATACCTTAATTCTACTTACCTTAATTTTCTGATACTGCTCTATAAAGCAAAAGCCTCTCTAAATGTTTTTATTATTATTATTATTTTAAATACATACTACGTTTGAAGCTGAGATGCCAGGATGGTCTTAAGATACTGAAAATGGGGGATGTGTTAGGTTTATGGAAACCCATGAAGGAATCTGGACTTCATTCCTAGAATGCTCTGTTTAAAAGAGTGAAGAAAGTACATGGGTGCCCTTGACTCTCCATAACTCTCTGCCTTCCTATTACTTCTTTCTCAGTTTTGTTGATTTGTTTTGTAGTAGTGGAGGAGAGAAGGGATGGGGTGTGATCCTTAAAATAGTCTTTAAATGCCCATTCAAGATCCTATATTGAGCATTTAGGGTGCACACCTTATTTCTGTTATTTTGGGTCATCAATATTGTGTGTTTAAATGTTGGAACTCGCCCTGGGACTTTGGGGAGAAGGGCAGGTAATAAATTCGGTAATAGCAACACCAATTAATAATAGTAATAACGACAACAACAACAATTGATTTAAGTTATTTGGAATCTGATAAAGCCATGGATAGCAAGCCCCTTCCCTTCTTTTAAAGCCCCCAATTATTGTCCTTCGCATGTCCATTCTGTGCCATGGTCTGGTGGTGCACAATGCCACAACCCTGCTGAAATTAAACAGTTCCTGATCTGGTTAGTGGCTGGATGGAAGGGTCTGGAACAGCACAATCCGAAACTCTGCTTTTCCAAGGCTCCTGACCACGTGCAGAGAGTCCTATGCAGGGACAGTTGCATGCACGTAGGCACTGTTCTGGCATGCAAAGGAATAAATGTAGGTGAGGGTCATCTAGTCTTGTTTTGTCTACTTGGGCTGGTAGCATCTCTCCATGGTCTCAGGCACAGCCTGCCCCCCCCCTCTACCTGCTACCTGATCCCTTTTAACTGGGGATGCCATGAACTGAACCTGAGAGTTTCTGGGTGCCAGTGGTGTGTTGTACCATTGAGCTATAGTTCCTCACCAAATTTATGTAGATTAATTCAATGAGGCAGGACTACCTAATGGGAGGTGCTCTAGGATCCCTGCTCTGGGCTGGGGGTGAACACTTAATTGCGAACTCAGCTGATGCGTGCCAAATCATCATTGTAGCCAAAGTGGGGCCAAGAGGAAGTTTGCCACAGGCTCCCAAGTTTGCAAAAGTACACAGAAATCTTCAGGTGAAAGCACTTAATGGGTCAAATGCCAATAACCCAAAATAAGACCAGTGAGAAGGGCCGGGCATTCCACCCTGCAGTGTTTTGCTTCAGGTGAAACTTGTAAGCTTCTGATTCTGAACAGCTGCATGAATGAAAATCTAACCATTAAGTGATGGTTAGGGCAGATTACAGGCAGCGTGGATGGAAAATCGCTGAGGGTCTTACAGGCCTTGATAAGCAGCCTTCTTCTCCTGCTTTGTTTTCCAAGATAAAGAGTCATGGAAGCTCCTCAATGCTGCGTGTCTGCCTCCTTCCCTAAAGGGGATGCTGTGACATCCCAGTTCTTCTGCCAAATTTCTCCCAGAACCCTCTTGTTCCCCTTCCTTGCAGAAGCAGGAATGGGACGGAAAGGAAAGGAAAGCTTTTGGGAGGCGTGGAGGAAGTTGCTACAGAGCAGGCCCTCTTTTTATACCTGCTTTCCCTCAGGGTTTGTTCTCTTCTTTTGACACCTCCCCATTCTTATGCAGCTGGGAAGTTTCCAGCTTGAGGGGTGGCAAGCAATTTAAATAACAGGCCTGGGAGGGGAAATCACAGGCCACTGGCTCCCAAGAGAATCTAATAGTGAATACTAGTGATTCATTCAGATTCTGAAATATACTTTCCAGTGCTATCCTAAGCTTTTGCTGAACGTTGGTTCTTTAAAAAATCGCATGTTAGGGCCTAGGAAGAAACTTGCAATATTTTTCTAGATGTGGGCGACATTCACATTAATTTAAGGAACGGCTGTCTCTGATATTCTTTCCCCCAAAATTATGCCTTATTGTAGTAAGACACCAGAATGAAAATGGAATTTTTAAATATATGTGCTTAACCCTCAGCCTTTTAAAAATATGCCGTTACTTATTAACCAGCTATAGCCTTACTTGATTAACCTACTAGTCATATGACTTAAACCTTACAGTCTTTATTTTTAAAAACTAGCACCTGTTCTGGTGTATACTGAATTAGCACTCCGATCTTTCGTTGGAAAAGCATTGCTGTCTACCTCAGAGATAGAGAATCTGTTGTTGTTTTGGGCTACGACACTTCAACATCCCTGACCTTTGCCATGCTGGCTGAGGCTGATGGGACTCTAAACATCTGGAAGGCCACATGTTCACACACCTGCTCTGCTTTATATGGGAAAATGGATCTTGCATACTGAAATTCTAAATAATTTTATTTTACTATGTGCTTGAGAGAGAATATAAGTGTGTGTGTGTGTGTGTGTGTGTGTGTGTGTGTGTGTATGAATTCATTATACATTTAATCATGCCCATTAATTTCAGTGAGTCGAATCTGAGTAGGACTAAGCTTGGATGCAACCCTGTTGATATTACCGTAGCAAAACATCTTTCTTGGTCAGTGCTACCAGCCCTCGTGGAGAGATCTTGCAGTCCTTATACAGAGCTATCGTTTTCAGCATTTCTCTCAATATCCCCCACAGAAGAACATGCAAGATGGCGTCGGTGTTCAGGAGCGAAGAGATGTGCCTGTCGCAGCTTTTCCTACAGGTGGAGTCTGCCTATTGCTGCGTGGCAGAGCTGGGAGAGCTGGGCCTGGTTCAGTTCAGAGATGTGAGTAGACATGGGAACCTGTGGGGTGGGGAAGTGGTGTTGGTTGCACTCCCAAGAACCAGCAGCAAGGGTCAGAAGGTTCTTCAGAAGGTTTTCTTGTACTCGGTGCCTTTTCTGTCACCATTCAGCCCCATGTAGAGTGGATTGCCAAAGTCTAGATGCGAGGTTACCAGATCGTGCACTGCTGTAGCCAGGCTATTCTGGTTCAGGAAGGGCCAAACTGGAAATAGGCTCTCCTGGCCACTGAGGCTACATGGACCTCAAGGGACAGCAGTGGCTCTAGGAGATATGAACCTGCTTTTTCAGGGGCAACTCCATCTTGAGTTGTCTACCCAGTTTCTCCATCTTGTTGTGATTCAGCCTCAGTTTATTGGCCCTCATCCACCTCATTATGTCCTCTGGACACCAAAACACCTTTCTTGGGGCTCGTCCACACTTCCTGCTTTTCCTGTGCCTAGAAAGCATGGGTCCGAGAGTGGTCTTCAGTGCTGCATCAGAGCAAACAACAATCCAGACAAAACCCAGATTGCTGTTTGCTCTGATTGAGCGCTAAAGAGCAGTTTTCGCTGGGGGAGAAGCAGCAGGACAAGATCAAGTGTGGTTAAGGCCCAAGACCAAACAGCCTCCTGATATTATAGAATCATAGATCTGGAAGGCACCCTGAGGATCATCTAGGGCAACCCTCTGCAATGCATGAACACGATGCTTGAAATGCTTCTCCCTCAGAAGTTCCTCCATCAGACAGTTGATCTGGGTTGCGTACACACAATGCATTTAACACACACAAACACACATACACCTCTCAATGAATCCTGGGAATTGTACTTTGTTGAGTGTGCTGGGTATTGTAGCTGAAGTTCCCAGGATTCTTTGGGGAAAACATGATTTTCTCTAAATGTATGCTGCCAAGACCTGCCAAGGAAAATGAAGAATATATTTATGTATGCGACAACGGTGGCAAGAGTTTTAATAGCACAAGGATGGAAGAATGATGAAATCCCAACAAAAGAACAGTGGCAAGAGAAATTGATGTGGAATTGGCAAAACTGACGCACAAACTACGTGACAAAGATAACTATGACTTTAAAGAAGAATGGGAACCTTTTACAAAGTATCTAAAGAATCAACTAAATGAGTTGGACTCCTTGGCAGGTTTTGAATAAACATGCACCAGTTTATTTGTTAACATAATAGATAGATAGCTTAGAGATTCTTACACTTTTACAATATGCAGAGAACAATATGTGTTAATAAACCAGAAAGAGGAACTGAGGTAAGTCGTAGGGGGTAGGGAGGGAGGATATGTGGGGGTGGGAGGGAAAAATGGGGAAAAATATAATTGTTGAGATAATTTGTTATGTGAAAACTGTTAATAATTTTTTTAAAAATAAAATAAAAATAAATGTATGCTGTGTATGCAGTCAATTTAAATCCTCACAGGAGCGAGTTTAACAGAGTTGTCACTCACCAACACCAGTGGCAGTTCTGCCCATCTTGGCTGTGACGAAAGGCAGTCTCTGCCTGGAAGCACCTTGACCCCAGTTAATATATGGGGTGGGAGCAGAAGAGGTAACAAAGTCTGGACCAGAAGGACAGGGCAGCCTCTGCCCCAGAGTTCCTTCTCCTTTATTGGGATTGATAATGTCAGTGCTGGACTTTAGGCTCTCAAATTTCAGTGGCACCCTGTTCAGCGCTAAAATTCCTTCCCGCCTCACACGCTCTGTTCTACAGCATTATTTTGGCGCCCCTTGCAGAGCAGCGCCCAGTGGAAGTGCACTGGCTAAAACCACCTCTGCTTCAATCCATAGGGCCGAGGCGCTGTAAACAACTGCTTGCGGGATTTTGTACTCTGAAAGTTGTACTGTCTATGCATATACAGATGGAAAGATTTCAAGAACGTTAAGATTTGTCTGTAAGATTGGTCCAGGGACAGCCAATCCTTTCAGATGAACTCTTTTAATTCATTTTGTTGTGGTTGGATTAATTTTTAATTATTATTTTTTTGCAAATACGTACAAATCAAAACTTACAAACCTGAAAAAGAAAAAAGAAATTAAGGTTACAAAAAAAGAAGAAAAGAGAAAAAGAAAAGCAAAAAGAAAAACAGAAACATGAATAAATATCATACACTGATACTGTTAAATCTTAATAAAGAAAAAAGAAAATCATAAATAAAATGGCATTAAGTTATTCATTATTAAACTAATACTTTACAGATCAAACACATATGTTTTAAACAATTACCTCTTCCGTGTCATCCATTTTCCTAATAAACTGACATTTCTTAAATATTTCACTTTTTTTCGTGTTTTTTGTTCTTTCGTTCTTTGGTCTTCCGTCAGTCTCACAACAGTTCATTATTCCTAATTGAAACTAACTTATCTGTATTTCAATGCATCGCTCATTTTGGTATCAGGGAGTGTTTTTTTACTTTTGCAGGGTTACTAATTTTTATTATTAATATTTATTTAGTTGAATGCAAATGTGAACAGCTTCCAGCGAAAATTTGTGAATGAAGTCAGAAGATGCGAATCCCTGGAAAGGATCCTTCGTAAGTAGACTTGTAACTTTCTTCTTGTGCTGTTCTTCACTAAAATGAGCTGCGGAACAGGTTTCTGCTTTATAAAAAGAATAGTAACTTGGGGATGTAGCAGTAAAAGATGCTGGCTCTTTTTCTGAGAGGTTTTTTTTAGCATGTTAAAAAAAAATTTCCCCAGAAAGAGTGTTCAATTCCTGGTATCAGGGCATTTTCAGGACACTGTTCCCGCAGGTGGGTGTGGTTTCAGACCCCTTTCACAATGGATTTGTTTTGTAATTTACTAAACAGGCCATTAGTCACCACTGGGCTATCTCTTCCCTTGACATGGCCCACAGCAGAGAGCCACCAACCTTTTTGAGCCCATTTTGGGCCCATTTGCAAATGGGAGAAGTTGTTATAGATATCCTACACAGACCCCAAACAAATAATAATAATAATAATAATAATAATAATAATAATTAATAAATGTTATTTATACCCCGCCCTCCCCAGCCAGAGCCGGGCTCAGGGTGGCTAACACCAGTAAAATTACAGTGAAAACATAATATAATGGGGGGGGGGCATTTAAAATAGAGGTTAAAATGCAATTTAAAATGCAGCCTCATTTTAAAAGTAGTCCATAGATGAAAACCATAAGGGGAGGGAAACATAAGGGTCAGATTGAGTCCAAACCAAAGGCCAGGCAGAACAGCTCTGTCTTGCAGGCCCTTCGGAAAGATGTCAAGTCCCGCAGGGCCCTAGTCTCTTGGGACAGAGCATTCCACCAAGTCGGGGCCAGTACTGAAAAGGCCCTGGCCCTAGTTGAGACCAATCTAACCACCTTGTGACCTGGGACCTCCAAAATGTTGTCATTTGTGGACCTTAAGGTCCTCTGCGGGGCATACCAGGAGAGGCGGTCCCGTAGGTACGTGGGTCCTAGGCCACACCAAACACACACCACACTCTATTTTATTGGCTACAACTGAATGCTTCTTTTGAGCTTCATTTCAGAGGGGTGGGGAGGGATCTTCTGGGAGCCAAGGAAGACCTCTGGGGGTACATGCGCACCCGTGGGTACCATGTTGGCGACTCTTGATGTATAGTATAGCACTGTTTTACATTCAGGTGAAAATTAGATGGCACCTTTCTTTCTGGTTTGCTCACAGGCTTTCTGGAGAGTGAGATGGGGGATGATATAGTGCTTTTCAAGCCTGAAAAATGCCCAGAGACACCGCTACCTCGAGAAATGATTGACTTAGAGGTAAGCAGTTTGGGACTAGTACCTGCAAGTGCCAGTCATGTGCTGGGGAAGTGTTGTGTGTGGCATTGGCAGTTAACCCATTGTATATATTAGGAGAACCGTATAATTCTTAATAGAAATACACTGCAAGGAGTTGTATTTGTCCGTCTGAGTGGGGTGGGGTGGGGAGAAATCCAGAGTTAACAGTAGGGCAATGCTTTTGTTAGAAGCAAAAATAAACACGATGAAGCATTGTGATGAACTACATTAGCTAAAACGATGAACCGTGGCTGCAAATTCCTAGCGGATCTTGCAGCTAAGGCTGTTTTAGGGTCCAGAGTTCTCCTAATTTTCTTAACTCATTCAGGCCGTAATCCTAAAATCAGAATGGGGAAACTAGGGTTCTCCAGATAATGTTGGACCCAGCCTGCTCAGTTTTTTGTGACATTTTTGTTGGTCTTCCAAAAAAGGCATTCCCAGTGGCTTTCCATCATGAGAACATATGAACATTATTGGATCATCAAGCTATAAAGTACTCTCTCTTATCTCTCCTGTGTCTCTGGCATAATCTCTATTGATATGTCGTATAATGAGAAATGAAAAGGGACCTATGTCTTTCCTCTACTCTGAGAGTAGCCAACTTGGTGCCTTCCATATGTTATTAGATTGTACCTCCCATCGACTCTGACCATTGGCCATACTGGCTGGGGCTGATGGGAGTTGGAGTCCAACATTATCTGGAGAACCCTAGTTTCCCCATTCTGATTTTAGGATTGCAGCCTGAATGAGTTAAGAAAATTAGGAGAACTCTGGACCCTAAAACAGCCTGTGCGGCGAGATCTGCTAGAGATTCACCGTCACCATTCATCATTTTAGCTAATGTTGGTGAAAGGAAGATTTGTTGTGTTTCCTGTTACTTGTTTTAGTGTCTACACATATCTTGAGTAATCCATGAATAATTCATTCCCGGGAACAGCGCTGAGATTTTAATATTCACAGCAAGATTGCCTAACATGCTGAGACGTATTTTGAAATGTTTACCATGTAATAATCCATCTTTATAGTGATCTGTTTTGTCAGCAGTGAGGTGCATGAAAGAATAATTGGGCATGCCTTTTGTTTTGCTCTGGGTATAAACAGGGAGTTTTGGAGAAACTGGAGGCTGAGCTGGAGGAGGCTAACAAGAATCTGCAGGCACTGAGGCAGAACTTTCTGGAACTCACTGAACTGAAACATCTCCTGAAGAAAACGCAGGACTTCTTTGAGGTGACGTGATTTTCGAATACACTGTTGGCTTCTCGGAAGATTCTACTGGTTGGAAGCAACCTCTTAATTATTTGTTTGAAGCCCTGAGGGAAACCTTGGGCCTGTGGGCAGAATGTGGCCCACCAAGCCTCTCTCTGTGGCCCTAAGAACTCTCCCTAGCCACACACCCTTCCTAGTCACGCCCTCCTTGAATGTTTTTGCCTGGCTGGGATGCATCCTTGAACTCTGAAAATGCTTCTTGCTTGCTTGAGTGGAGGATAGAGAGAGCTGGGTGTAAGCCACACTTAAATCCATTTTTGCCTATGTCTCTGGCCACCATTGACATTTGGCCCCCAGAAGGCTGCTCAGTCAGGAATGTGGCCCTCAGATGGCTAAATATAGTAGATGTGATCAGTGCCCAAACAGAATTTTCCTGGCCACGATATGAACTTGGGATGAAAGAGCCCTAGCTCTCCATTTCAATGATCCTGATTATTCTGCTTCACCCTCCCCTAGTCAGTCAGCTGCCCTGCTCAGCTGGTGCCCTCTTGCTTGGGCTCAGAAATTGCCTGCAGGAACTAAGGAATTCTGGGACTTGCAGCTCTTGAGAAAATACATCACATACGGCAGCATAATCTCTATAATCTCTCAAACTCCCAAGTCTAGTTTTAATTGTCCTTTAAAAAATGCCTATGTGCAATAATAATAATAATAATAATAATAATAATAATAATTTATTATTTATACCCCGCCCATCTGGCTGAGTTTCCCGAGCCACTCTGGGCGGCTCCCAATCGAGTGTTAAAAATAATACAGCATTAAATATTAAAAACTTCCCTGAACAGGGCTGCCTCAGGTGTCTTTTAAAGATAGGATAGCTGCTTATTTCCTTCACATCTGAAGGGAGGGTGTTCCACAGGGTGGGTGCCACTACCGAGAAGGCCCTCTGTCTGGTTCCCTGTAACCTCACTTCTCGCAATGAGGGAACCGCCAGAAGGCCCTCGGTGCTGGATCTCAGTTTGATGAGGGTACATAGGCTTATATACCCTAGCCTGGCTGATACCTCACAGAACTACAGTTCCCAGGAAACAACAAATGTCTGCTTAACTAGATGACGCTCAACTCCAACTCCCATCATCCCTTGCCATTGGCTATGCTGGCTGGAGCTGATGGGAGTTGGAGTTCAGCAGTATCTGGAGGACCACAGGTTTCCTACCTCTACTCTGATAGTCGCCATTTTGGTGCCAGGTTCAGACACATTTTAAATGATATTTTAATTGGAACTGCCTTTCTGCCCACCTTAGCCTAATGTTTTTAGCCTTTCTTAAAAAGAAAAAGCACTTTAGATTTTAAAAACCAAGATTGTTTGTGGTTGGTTTTTGCTTTTAAACATTGTGTTCATGCAACGTCTGAATAGTTTTGTTCACATTTTTTGTACCTTACCCTGGAATCTCATGTTGAAGTGAGGTTCATAAATATTTTAAATAATGATATATACATACATAAACCTTTCTGTTCTGTGAACTTTCAAATTAGACCTGTAGGATAAATTTAATTCCTGATTTCAGACGGAAACTAATTTGCCTGATGATTTCTTCAATGAAGACACCTCCGGGCTGTTGGAGTTAAGAAGCACACCTGCAGCCGTTGCTGCAAAACTGGGGTTAGTATCATTTGTGCTGATTTATGTTCTTGCAGAAAGCTCAGTATGTGGAACTAAGTGAGAGAGTCAGGAAATCAGTCAGGAGGAGAAAGTCAGTGACACAGAGGAAAGGCACATGGTGGATCTACACACGGGGCGGGGGGGGACATTATACAGTGGTGCCCCGCAAGACGAATGCCTCGCAAGACGAAAAACTCGCTAGACGAAAGAGTTTTCCGTTTTTTGAGTCGTTCTGCAAGACGAATTTCCCTATGGGCTTGCTTCGCAAGACGAAACGTCTTGCGAGTTCTTGCGAGTTTGTTTCCTTTTTCTTAAAGCCGCTAAGCTGTTAATAGCCGCTAAGCCGCTAATAGCCGCTAAGCCGCTAATAGCCGCTAAGCCGCTAATAGCCGTGCTTCGCAAGACGAAAAAACCGCAAGACGAAGAGACTCGTGGAACGGATTAATTTCGTCTTGCGAGGCACCACTGTAAATAAGTCAGAAATTAAATTGTTATGGCAGAAGAAAAAAACCCTATGTAAAAACGCTATAGAAAGGTTTTGTGTTCTGTGGCGCCATCTGGTGTTGCATGTTTATAACGCATTCAAATGACTTTTTTTACTAATGTAGCTGAGTTCCACAGTTTGAGGGAATATAGGCTGGGAAAGGCACGTTTACAGTGGAACCTCTATTTGTGACCATAATCTGTTCTGGAGGTCCATCCGGAGGTTGAAACGGGTCGCTGGGAGAGGCGCCGTTGTGTGCAGGTGTGGGCGACGATTGCCCGCTTCTGCACGTGTGTGAACGGCAATCGCCGCCCCTGCGCATACACAAACGGCGGCACACCTGCCAGTTACTTCCAGGTTTGTCGTGATCGCGACTTGGAATGACTGTAAGAAGTGGTGGTGGTAAGTAGAGGTTCGACTGTATTCTGTAGCAATAGACTTTAGTTTAACACACCTCTGGACACTTCCTCAGTTGAAGAGTCTAGAATATTTCAACTGATCAACCTGATCTAGTTGAATGGCTAGTACCTTGAGGAGGATTTTTCTTTGATATTCCTAGCCCTACATTAGTTGCAGAGGTGGAGCTTTGTTGCTAAGTTGCAAACCTACCTTGTGTTTTATATGTAGGGAGTAAATTGGGGAAGTATATTTAATCCTGAAGTCCCACGTTATGTGGGAAACTACCAAAGAAATGGCTGGCTGCTTGAATTTAAGAAGCATGGGGCTTGACTCACTTTCTAGCCAAAAGAGCCCCCAGCAGCATTTAAAAACACAAGTTTATGCAGGGTTTGTGAAGCAAGGGACATATAGGCTTTTAGACCTTTAAATACCCCATTTTTGACGCTTACAACATGCCCCTGCATTGCACCTCCATCTCTACCCCTTTTTCGGTGAATAGACTACATACTTTAGTAAGTTTAAATACTTTACTTACATAATTGGAGGTCTGGTTCATGCACCAGCCAACGCGGCAACACAGGCAATAACGTCACGAGTACAAAACACAAATATGTGTAGTGCTTAGTGCGGAGATGGTTGACTCGTGACATATCCTTTCTGTTTGTGTGACACGCAGATTCATAGCTGGCGTGATCAAAAGGGAAAGAATGGTGCCTTTTGAGCGTCTGCTGTGGAGAGCCTGCCGAGGAAATATTTATCTGAAGTTCAGCGAAATGGACACACCCCTGGAGGATCCTATCACTGTAGGTGGAGACGGTTTAAAAAACAAAACAACCAAAAATTTTTTTTGGCACTTCTGCTGTTGTGTTTGGTATGCGCAGCGCCATTAAATTGCAAGCGTAGTATTTCGTCGGCTGCGACTATTTTAAAATTCCACTTGGGTTGCATTTATTTTCTCCAGAAAGAAGAGATGAAAAAGAATGTGTTCATTATCTTCTATCAAGGGGAGCAACTCAGACAGAAAATCAAGAAGATTTGTGAAGGGTAAGGGAAAATGTGCTGTTGAGAAAGGAGTGCTGGCTGTAACAGAGGTGTTTTTTCCATTGTGGTAAACAAGAGATTGGGACAGAACTAAGAATCCTGTGTGGAGTGGCATTTCCCTCCCCCATCCACCCCCCACCCCCGTATTCCACATACAGAAACCAACTGGAGCAACAGCTGAATCTTACTTTAGCACGGGATGTGGGACAGCACCCTCCACCACACCTGAGGACAGCAAGATACTTAGTGGGGTGCGTTGCAGGCTGTGTAGCACATACAACTTTTCCTTCCAACACCTCTCTGCCTCACTCTGCCTAATGATAGGGCCGGTCGTGACTAAATAGGTTCATCTCTCAAACCTGAGCATGAGGCAACCAGTCCACTTTGCAAAACTGTACCTCCTGCCTTTATCCCTCATCGCAAGGTCACCTACCTCATTTGTCTAATGGTAGGGCTGGCCAAGACTAAGGCCCTGCGCATACCCTGCTTTTTTAAACACGTTTCTTCCCCCAAAGAATCCCGAGAACTGTAGTTTTTAAGGAGTTGTAGCTCTGTGAAGTGCAGACTACAGTCCCCAGGATTCTTTGGGGTGTTGTGTGTATGTTTTAAATGGGCTTTAAATGTTGGGGTGTCCTCGGCCTTAAATAAGCCCATCTTATCATTCCCTGAGCAGTAGGAAACCAATCCACAAGGCACCATCCTACTTCCTAGTTCTAGCAGTCATTTTCTTTTTTTCTTTTTTTAAATAATTTTTTATTGAAGAAATTTTAACATAATCAAACATTCAAATTACATTTTACAATTTCCATTAAACCCCCCTCCCCGGCGACTTCTAGCAGTCATTTTCAATAACTTCTGACTCAACTTCAGGAAGAACTTGATGGTGCTACGAGCTGTTCAGCAGCACTGGGTCGGAAGGTGGTTGACTATCCTTCATTGGAGGTTTTTACCGTATTTTTCGCTCCATAAGACACACTTTTTTCCTCCAAAAAAGTAAGGGGAAATGTCTGTGTGTCTTATGGAGCAAATGTGTGGTCGATCACTGGTTCCCTTTCCGGCCCCGGCCTCCATTGTTGAATGTTCTGCAGATGGAGGCCGTTTATTTCCCCAGCGACATGTGACTGGCTGATTGGATTATCTGTCTGGAAACTGTAGAAACGGCTCCCTTTCCTTTCCTAAAGAAGCTGCAGAACTGTGAGTTGAACCCCATAAAAACAGGATTTTTTCCCTTTGCAAAGTAAGCTCAACAACTTTGAGCTGATTCTCAAAAAGGGCTTTTCCCCTTTGCAAAACAAGCTGCACAACTGTAAGCTGATCCTGCAAAAAACAGAGCTTTCCCCCTTTCCTCCTCTAAAAACTAGGTGTGTCTTATGGTCAGGTGCGTCTTATGGAGCGAAAAATACGGTAAACAGAGGTTGGGTGGCCCATCTGTCAAGGAGTCATTAACTGTGATTCCTGCATTGCTGGGGTTTGGAGTTGATGACCCTTCCAGCAGCACAATTCTATGATTCTGTAGGTCAAAATCATGCCCAAACTGGGTGTGTGCTGCTGTAGTCTATTGGAGATTCTGGCACATTGTTTTTGATAAGATGCAAATACAAATAGCTAGTAGGCATCTGAGACAGCAGTACAACTCCAGCAGTGCAAGAGCTTGCGCCTCTTGTTTTTACTGCAAGTTGTTTTTAATTAGTGTCATTGCTCTGCCAGTTTCATGCGTGGCAAATCCACACGCAGATCTATCCAAAAATATAAAGTGGAATAAAAAATAGTGGGTGTTACCTGCATCCTCCTCTCTTTAACTAGGAGGTGCTTGGATGATGCTGACTGCTTCAGCAGATCTATCCACCTGAGAGGGGCTCCCCAGCGAATTCTCCTTGAGTTTTCTTCAGATCGCATGTGCCATTAGGGTAAAAGTGACATTCTGTATGCAAAAGGGCTGTTAGAAGATCAAAGCCAAGTTACTGTGATCGTGTGGGAAAAGTACCACATCTGTGGGCTGCAGTAAAGAGGAATAATCTTTCAGGCACGATTTAAAAGTCTAATTTAAAGATGGGTTCAGAACTCAGAAGCATATGAAACGGAAATAATAATGAAAAAGGGCTAGGAGGCTTGAGGTTTTCTTTTCTTTTTTAGAATATTTTGTTGGAGATCCCATTTCAGAGCTGAAATTGGAGCAAAGATTAATTATTCTTTCGTAGCGCTTTCTGCCTAAAATCAAGGAGCAAAGTATTATTGACTTTGCCTTGTACTCTGGTTCATGCATATGCAAGGACTGTCTTGTAATCAGATGGTAGCTTGGCAAACAATAGACGGCCCAGCCAGTCCGTGCATTATTGGAGAAAAAGATGTGGTACTTCAGGCAAGCTTATTATGGCTACTGTGTACTCGTGATTAAGGGATGGGGCTGAAATTTGATTAGATTTGCATTTTAATGCGAGCCTGCCTGATACGCACTTTAGAAACAGCACACGAATTGAAATGTGGCTATCCTTTGAAATTTATGCTTTTCCAAATTTTGCCGCACAGTTCGCCAGCCAGAAAAAGAATTGTGCGAAAAGGTGTGTGTGTGTGTGTGTTAAGAGAAAGTGTGCATCAATGAAAATAGCCAAATCATTTGATTTAGGGGAAATTGCTTGCAAAAAAGTTATATATTAGGCAAAATGGCATATACAATGGGGAGAGATGCGCACCAAAACTTTTGTCAGGACTTAAAAAAAGAAACCTACGAATTGATGTGGAAATGAGGTGACTCAAACTTCAGATGGGGGGGGGGGATGTGAAACTAAATGAAAATGAGATTGACAGATTTGTTCATGCCTATTCCTGCTTAAAACGCCTGGTCATGCTGTACCATTGAAATAATACTGTTTTGAGAAGGAAGGAACTTGAAGCATAATAATGTGTTACAGAGAATGTGAAGCGGCCACTGAAAACTATGCCACCCTGTGTGACCCAAGCCTTTGTTGTTTGGAATGGAAAGCACCTTTGCTTGTAGTTCTGCATGGAATGAACAAGCAGAGAGAAGCCTGTTCCCCAGGGTTCCATTACACTAGGAAAGCAAAGCCTTTGCAGACAAGGGTCTGTTTGACTTCCTAGTGGTTCCATTAAGTGCTAGGCAGGCAGCAACTGTTAGAGAGGGACATAAATGCTGCCCCTTGTCCCACTAAGGCAAAGGTTTACATACCCTCCAATATTTCTCCGATGAAAATAGGGATGTCTTATTCTTATTCTCCACCCATCTGACTGGGTTAGCCCAACCACTCTTGGTGGCTTCCAACATATATAAAAACGTAATAAAAACGTTAAATATTAAAAAAACTTTCTTATGCAGGTCTGCCTTCAGATGTCTTCTAAAAGGTGGTACAGTAGCTTCAGGTTGAGCGTTTTCAGGTTACGCTCTGCAGCAACCGGGAAGTAACGGAATGCGTTACTTCCAGGCTTCACCACTTGCGCATGCGCAGACGCTCAAAATGATGTCACGCACATGCGCGGAAGTGGCAAAATGCGACCCGCGCACGCGCAGATGCAGGTTGCGTTCACTTCAGGATGCGAATGGGGCTCCGGAACGGATCCCGTTCGCATCCAGAGGTACCTTATCTCCTTGGCTCAGGGGTTGGATAACAGCATACCCTCCAACAGTTCTCCAATGAAAATAGGGACATCCTAAGGAAAAACGGGACATTCTGGGATCAAATCATAAACTGAGATGGCTTCTGTAAATCTGGGACTGTCCCTGGAAAATAGGGACACTTGGAGCGTCTGGGTTTAGGTCGCATTCACATGATACCACTTTAAACAGTCTTAACTTTCCCCAATGTATTCTGGGAGCTGTAGCTTGTTAAGGCTGCTGAGTGGCTTAACAATCAGAATCTCATCCCAGGGAACTGTGGGAATTGTAGCTCTGGGAGGAGGATAGGGACTTCCTAACAGCTCTCGGGACCCTTAACAAACTACAGCTCCCAGAATACTTTGAGGGAAGCTATGATAGTTTAACATGTTATCATGGTGCTTTAAATGAAAGTTATGAATGTGGCCTAAGTCCCTGACCCTGAGTGCACCAAGGATTATGCTTACTGTTGGGCCGCTAGCAGTCCAAGCACAGCCAAGTGAGTCAGTCACTCTTGTTTTCACCAAAGTCACCACAGAAGAATTGCTGTGATTACTAAGCAGCTTGATGGTGGCCCCTGCTGGCTTATCATTATTATCATAATTATTATTTTATCTATACCCCGCCCATCTGGCTGGGTTTCCCCAGCCGCTCTGGGCGGCTTACAGCACATTAAAAATGGTAAAACATTAGACATTAAAAATTTCCTGACACAGGGCTGCCTTCAGATGTCTTCTAAAAGTCAGATAGTTGTTTATTTCCTTGACATCTGATGGGAGGGCGTTCCACAGGGCGGGTGCCACCACCGAGAAGGCCCTCTGCCTGGTTCCCTGTAACCTCACTTCTTGCAGTGAGGGAACCGCCAGAAGGCCTTGTTTTCAGTATGTAACGAACACGGTAGTACAATGATTGTCACTGGCTTGTTTGCTTCAACTTGTCCCCCCCCCCCCCCAGGTTCCGTGCCACGGTGTACCCTTGCCCCGAGTCAGCTGGAGAACGCCGGGAGATGGCTGCTGGTGTGAACACAAGGATTGAGGATCTAAACACAGTAGGTCGCCTTGGGCCTCGTTCCTGTGACTTAGTGGTAGGCCTGGCCTGGCCAGGGTTCTTCATGTATGTATGTCCTCTGTTCTCAGGTTATCACCCAAACCGAGTCCCATCGGCAGGGGCTACTGAAGGAGGCGTCAGTGAACCTGTGGAGTTGGGGGATCAAGGCGAAGAAAATGAAGGCCATCTACCACGTCCTGAATTTGTGCAACATCGACGTCACCCAGCAGTGCGTCATTGCTGAGATCTGGTTCCCCGTGGTAGACGCAGGCGGTGTAAAAAGGGCTCTACATAAGGGAATGGTAAGGGGCTGGGCCTGGAATTCTTTAGCTGATTTCCAGAGGGTCCTCACTAGCGTGCTCTGGGGGAATGGCTGAGGGATACAGCAAAAGATCGCTTTTCCGGCAAAAGATCCTATGTTCCATGCCTGGAATCTCCAGGTAGGTCTGATGAATACCCTGGAGAGATGCTGTCAGCCAGCACAGACAAAGCGAGGTGGACCATGGTCAATATAAGGCAGGCTCCTTTGCATCTAATTAAGTCGTTTACAAGGACCACTTGGAAATTGTCAAGGGTCATTTTGGACCACTTAATGATGAGTTGACCAGGCGATATCTGGTTTTCAGCATCATGATATATCACCAACTAAGCATCATGATGGGATGCAGGTGGCGCTGTGGATTAAACCACAGAGCCTAGGACTTACCGATCAGAAGGTCGGCGGTTCGAATCCCCGTGACGGGGTGAGCTCCCGTTTCTCGGTCCCTGCTTCTGCCCACCTAGCAGTTCGAAAGCACGTCAAAGTGCAAGTAGATAAATAGGTACCGCTCCGGCGGGAAGGTAAACGGCGTTTCCGTTCGCTGCTCTGGTTTGCCAGAAGTGTCTTAGTCACGCTGGCCACATGACCCGGAAGCTGTATGCCGGCTTCCTCGGCCAGTAAAGCAAGATGAGTGCCGCAACCCCAGAGTCGGTCACGACTGGACCTAATGGTCGGGTGTCCCTTTACCTTTAAGCACCATGATAAACCAACATACAGTATATCACAATGTCTGAAATAAAGATGGAGCTATGTAGAGGCATTGGCTGGCTTCACGGTTTTCCCTACATTGTGATTTCTGCATAGCGCGCACACATCATGATTCACGATAGATAGCCAGGTCAAAAATTATGAACCTGATACGGCAATATGGGCTTCAGATCGGTTTGGGGTGGTATATCGCACAGCCTTAAGATGACATAGGACATAGCCACCGTGGCAAGCAAATTCATTAATGAATTTGCTGGATCCTCTTTTAAAGCCTTCCATGCGTGAAATAGCACAGGGATAGACCTGAGCCGAACATTAATGTTTCAGTTTTGGGGAAGGCGGCATCCATATGTACCACAGGCAGGTCAGGTCCACCCAGTGTGTTATGAGGGGGACCCAATCTCATCTCCCTACCACATGCAGCCTCTAAGGCAGTCTTCATCAAGCAGGTGTTTCAGACTACACAGGTGTGCCGACTGTTTCGGATGGAACTGGTAGTCCCAAATATCTGGAGGGCACCAGCTTGGCAAAGACTGCCCTGAGCTCATCCGAACCAGCCCATGATTGCTGTATATTTTGCAGGTAGTATTCCATGGCACAAAAGTCTTTCTATGAAGTGGGAGAGAGCAGGGGAAGGGTTGTTTGAGAAGAAGAAAACAGCTGTTGTCAGCTTCACAATAGCTAATTTTGGAAACATCGGAAAACAAATGTCCCTGATGCTGGGGAAATGAAGCTCAAAATGGAATAATCTGCAGTATTTGCTGACAGTAGCCATTTCCGTTTTCTGGTGTGTGTGTGTGTGGTTTATTTTTTTATTTATTTCTGTACCATTTTAGTGCTGTCTGACCTTCACTCTGCTGCATAAGCTTCTATTTTTAATATATAAACTAGTGTTTGGGCCCAGTTGATGGATGTAGAGATCTTTGAGGTGGCATCTGAAATACTAGGGTGAAAGTGGGGGACAGTGTCCTAAAGGATTCTGTCTTCATTTGTTCATTAAAATATTTTGCATTTTATTTTGTTGTTGTGTCTAGCACTTTTTACCTTCTGGATAAAATGAGTTTGGGACTCTGCAGAAATACTTTAAATATATAACTCTTCTGAGCAATGTCCCCCCCCCCCCCGGTAATCCTAGGTCACATCAATGCTACAAATCAGCCTACTGGGTTTCCTGTACAAAGAACCCTGGAAAGTGAAGTTTAGCCAAAGCACTTGTGATGTGTGTCACAAACACATTGACATTCTGCTGAAGGGTTTGATTCCCTTGGCAGCTATTAAAAAACTCTTTGAAAATGCTCGCGGGAGGGGGGGACGTTTTAAAGCTCACAATGGAAAATTCTGGTTCCGGCTCTACAGCACCATCTGGTGTCACAGTGTTAGAATGCATTTATAATGTTTTATTTTTACTAATGTAGCTGAGTCCTGGATTAGCTTTGCTGTAGGTATTTTATGTCGTAGATATTTATCCAATTTTTTTTGCAGATGTTTATACATTTGTTTCATAAAATTTATACTGGACTTGATTGTTAAAAAAACAAAACCACCACAGTAAAATTATCCATAAAAAGATCTAATGACATTAATTTAGAACATTCAGAAAATTAAAATAATAAACTGAAAACAGATTAAAACACGCATCAACTTTCTAAATATCTGGGTAGGCTTGTCTAAACGGAAATGTTTTTAGCAGGTACCCAAAAGAGTTGAGTGAAGGCATCTGCCTGATATCAGTAAGCCTAGGTGCTCCCACACTAAAAAACAACAGCACCTGAGTTCTTACAAATGCAGGACAGAAATTATGTCTAGCAGTGCCAGTGCCGCAGATTGAAGTGGTTGAGTGAGCATAGGTGGGGTAGGATCCTAATCGCCATCTATCTGATTGCAGGAACGTAGCGGCTCTACAATCAACCCAATCCTGACTGCGATACAAACCAAGATGTCTCCTCCCACCTTTAACAGGACCAATAAATTCACTTTGGGTTTTCAGACTATTGTAGATGCCTATGGCGTGGGTAATTACAGGGAACTTAATCCAGGTAAACGGACTCTGTTCTATTTTTTGCTGTAGCTTGGTGGGGTTTTTTTTAGGATTCAAGGTTTAAAAGGAAATGCAAGGTGCTTTTATTCCTCTGTCGGTTCCTATTGCTTCAACTTAAACCAGGGCTTCTTGCCTGAAATGCAGCGACATTTGGGTTTCTGTAGATTGAATGGGGTTTTTTTTTCAGAAGGGGGGGGAAGCAACATGGATATGTTCTGTTTATTGCACGCCATTATTGTAGGGGTGAACAAAAAGCGCTGTCAGCAAGGCAAATGTTTCTTTACAGGACATTCAGTGCAATCACCAGTGCCAGGTTTTCAGAACAGAATCTCACCAATCATCAATTATAATGAATTTTTGGTAATGAAAATTCCCATCCTCCCGCTTGCCCAAAAAGAGGCTTCACTGTGATGTATAACAGTGCCACCTGGTGATTCCAATTACCGTATTTTTTGCTCTATAAGACTCACTTTCTCCCTCCTAAAAAGTAAAGGGAAATGTGTGTGCGTCTTATGGAGTGAATGCAGGCTGCACAGCTATCCCAGAAGCCAGAACAGCAAGAGGGATTGCTGCTTTTACTGCGCAGAGATCCCTCTTGCTGTTCTGGCTTCTGAGATTCAGAATATTTTTTTCTTGTTTTCCTCCTCCAAAAACTAGATGCGTCTTGTGGTCTGGTGCGTCTTACAGAGCGAAAAATACGGTAGTTCTCACGGGCTAATTTACTTTATTTGCTGGAACCAGTACTCAAATTATGGGCTTTAATGAAACCCACAATGCTGCCTCTCTAATTTTAGGCAAATCCTGCACCCCCCTGTAACCTTTGAGACTGTTTTTAAAAAAAGGTGTCAGGCCACTCTATAATTCAATCACCAAATGCATTTGGCTTTTTCTCGCTGGCATATGGTGAGATTGACATTACCTCCAGGGAGCCTGAGAAACGGATTTCCCAGTGCCACCAAATGGGGCTCCCCATGCTGGGAAATGGGAGTTCCTGATGCTCCTTGGCTCAACAACCCCCTTCCTTTCAAGGAATGACCTTAACGCCTTTCTCTGTCCCACAGCCCCCTACATTTTAATCACCTTCCCTTTTCTGTTTGCGGTGATGTTTGGCGATTGTGGCCACGGGACTGTCATGCTGGCCTTTGCTCTCTGGATGGTCAGCAACGAGAAGGCCCTCTTAGCCCAGAAAACTGACAATGAGGTGAGTAGCCTCAGGCAGAACTGTATGCTGGCGGCAGCCTTCAAAGGTTTCGCTCCAGGGACAGAGAAATAATTCATTTCCAAACAGTAATTTGAAGCGGGGATTGGGAAAGGAGGGTGACGACAAGTTCTTCCAAATGGCTCTTCATATACTGTAGGTAAAGCTAAAAGGACCCCTGACCATTAGGTCCAATCGTGGCCGACTCTGGGGTTGCGGCGCTCATCTTGCTTTACTGGCCGAGGGAGCTGGTGTACAGCTTCCGGGTCATGTGTCCAGAATGACTAAGCCGCTTCTGGCGAACCAGAGCAGCACACTGAAACACCGTTTACCTTCCCGCCGGAGCGGTACCTATTTATCTACTTGCACTTTTTGGTGTGCTTTCAAACTGCTCGGTTGGCAGGAGCAGGGACCAAGCAACAGGAGCTCAGCCCGTCGCAGGGATTCGAACCGCTGACCTTCTGATCGGCAAGTCCTAGGCTCTGTGGTTTAACCCACAGCGCCACCCGCGTCCCACACTTGGGGATAGGGAACCATTTTCACACACCCTAGGGCCACATGCCCTTCTGGGCAATCTTACGGGGGCCAGGAGTGGGCGGAGCAACAAATGCAAATTTTACACAGCAGGCCAGTTTCTACACACAAGGACACTCTTCCTCCCTCTCTCCCTCCAGGCAAGCAAGAAGATTACCAGAGTTCAAGGACACTTTCCAACCAGGCCAAAACACACCAGGGGAGCGTAGCTAGGCTAGCGATGGGAAGAGTTCAGAGGGCCAGAAAGTGAGTCCTAGAGGGCCACATTTAGTCTGAGGCTTGCCAGCCCTTGTATGCTGCTCCTGATATTCTCTTTGCCCTGGCAATCGCCCTGTGCAGATCTGGAACACCTTTTTCAGCGGCCGCTACCTGATCCTCCTCATGAGCATCTTCTCCATCTACACCGGCTTCATCTACAACGATTGCTTCTCCAAGTCGTTCAATATATTTGGGTCTTCCTGGTCTGTCCGCCCCATGTACAGTGGCGGGAACTGGACGTAAGTGGCGAGCTGGGTCCTTGTGAGCCAACCTAGATGCTACCCTAAATGTGTGATGGCCGCAGAAAACGGCAGCCGCTAATAATAATAACAATAATAATGATAAATTTATTATTTAAATTTGGGTGGCTTTCACCCAACTCTGGGTGGCTTTCAACAGAATATTAAAATACAATAATCTATTAAACATTAAAAGCTTCCTTAAACAGGGCTGCCTTCAGATGTCTTCTAAAAGTCTGGTAGTTGTTTTTCTCTTTGACATCTGGTGAGAGGGCGTTCCACAGGGCGGGTGCCACTACCAAGAAGGCCCTCTGCCTGGTTCCCTGTAACTTGGCTTCTCGTAGCGAGGGAACCACCAGAAGGTCCTCGGCGCTGGATCTTAGTGTCCTGGCAGAACGATGGGGGTGGAGAGGCTCCTTCAGGTATACTGAACCGAGGCCGTTTAGGGCTTTAAAGGTCAACACCAACACTTTGAATTGTGCTTGGACACGTACTGGGAACCAGTGTAGTCTTTCAAGACCAGTGTTATGTGGTCTCGGTGGCCGCTCCCAGTCACCAGTCTAGCTGCCGCATTCTGGATTAGTTGTAGTTTCCGGGTCACCTTCAAAGGTAGCCCCACGTAGAGCGCATTGCAAATGTACAGTTGTTGTCTCTCCCCCGCCCTTCCACAATGTCTTCTGGAATATTCCTCGGGTTGCAACCGTCCTCATTTCCCTGCCCCACACCAGCAGTGCCCAGGGGTGCAGAGTGAGGGGCAAACTCCCTTTGCCTCAATTCAGAACGGGTTTGGCTAATGCAAAGTGGTTAGCAATGGTTTGGGATTTGGGTTTGGTGTTACTGTTTCTTCAAGCATCAAGCAATGGGGAAAGCCCATCTCACTCCTGTGGGAAACCTAAGCAAATCACGTTTCTCTCTTCATCCGTAGGGAAGAAATTGTTCATAAGTCAGATACCCTCCAGCTGGATCCGGCAGTGGCAGGAGTTTTCTCTGGAAACCCCTATCCTTTTGGAATTGATCCGGTAATCAGAACTCCTCCTGACATTCATCTGGCAGTGGGTCATGGCGGAGGGAAGAGGGGTGATCTGTTGGTTGGGCCAATCTAAGATTTCTGGGGAAATAACAGATGGTAGCAAGTAGCAGATTGGGGTAACCAGCTTTGCTTTCTGTGTCTTTTTAACAGCTGAAGGATAAGCAGAAATTCAGCAGGTGAAGGGTCTAGCCCAGGCATAGGCAAACTTGGCCCTCCAGATGTTTTGGGACTACAACTCCCATCTTCCCTAGCTAACAGGACCCAGTGGTCAGGGATGATGGGAGTTGTAGTCCCAAAACATTTGGAGGGCCGAGTTTGCCTATGCCTGGGCTAGCCTTTGCTGCATTGCTGTGCTGGGGAAAAGCTTTTGCTTGTTGAATTTCTACCTGCCACTCAGCTGATCAAAGCATAGCACTACGTCCGTGTCTTGCCGGGTCAACTTCTCTTGGAGGCAATTTAGCGAAATTCATTTACTGAGCCTTCCCCAACTTGCCATGGTTGGATTGCAGCTCCCATCAGAGTTGGCAAAACACACCATGTTTTTGTAATGAAATTCAAAGTTTTACTCAGAAATTGTTTGTATTGGAATACATGAAATATTTTAGTGCAGGGCAACTCAGTAACGTACGCTTCCCTCACATCCAGTTACCTGGGAGGAGCCCCATACGATGCAATGAGACTTAACTCCTGAATGGACATGTGCAGATATTTATTAATGAACTTTCTTCCCTGCCCCTCCCCATAAGGCCTTGATTACAACCACAAAACCATTCGGTCACAACAACCTCAACGTACAGTTATAAAAGGAAGTGGGGACAGCAAAACCCTTCCAACCAGAACAGAAATAGTACAGATTGAACAAAAGACCTTAATCGCTGAATGCCAGCGGTGAAGTGTTATGTCTTGGGCATGTAAGCAGAAGCTGTGCAAGAAAAGTTAAACCCACACCTCTGTGTGGAATGACTTCTGCAATTCAGGGGCTGCCACAGAGAAAACACTCTCCTGGGCTGCCAATCCCCACGTTTCCAAGGATTAGCTTTTAAGGGGGGGAAACAATGGCACTGTAAATTGGAAATGTCAATCTGCATTCTGCATTAACTGATGCTGGTTAACATTTTAGAAATGGAACAATGGAGTAGCGAATTTCCCCCCGGGACATTTTCTTCCCCACATCATTGCTGCCTCCCATCAAAAGAACTCCACCTTGTTGAGGCTATTTGAAGCAAGCAGGAGAGAGCTTCCCAATTAATGTCTTAATGGTGTCGGCCCAGTATCTGGTCACTAGATGGCAGCCTTGGTTGCAAGTAAACCCTCCTCCTTGGAGACCCTTCTAGCGGCAGTCATACAGCGGCAGACTTTGGGTGGCGCCGCATAGGCCTCATCCTGTTTCAGTCCATCAGTCATATTTGCCTATTTCAGCCAGACTGGTCCATAGGTTTACCAAGACACAAACAGTACAATTGAAAACAGTGGAGAACCATACATGAGGAATATGCATTCAACACTTCCCTTCTCACATTCTCAGTGAATGCTAGGATAACATCCCCAGTGATGGATTGTGTTCAGCATTCGTGGGAAAGGGGCCCTTTGAAGGGAATGTGTGAAGCTAGAGGCAGGCCCTTCTGGTGGCAGTGATCCTGTCATTCATCAGGATTGGGGGGCAAGTGCAGGTAGTGAGGTCGAGGGACAGAGATGAGAGGACCTCGCAGTTTCTCTTCTCCCCATTTCTCAGCTTTCTGGTCTTAAATTCAGTTCTCCACATTTCTGAGGCAATTTTGCATTTTTTTTTTAAAAAGATATTCACGAAAATCAGTTAGCGTTTTGGTATGAATTTCTCCTCGAAGACACATTTTTGTATTCAGTTTTGACTCACCTATTTACAAAGCAATTTCCCCTAACATCATTAAGGCAATTTTGACTACTGCATTCATTTTAATATGCACTTTCCTTTAATATCTGCAAATATTGGAGACCTGCATCACAAAATTCAGATAAGCGCAAATTTGAAAGCATATCTGTGTTTTGGTTTGCATACTGTTTTGGATTCAACCAATTTACTTTTAAGTGCAAATCAGATTGAATTTCTCCCTAGTTTGGGGCTATGATCCCTCACGGGCATGTACATCTGCAGGGTGCTTCTGCCCCCAAACCCAGCTCTCCGTTGACCTTGCTGCCTCCTCTTCGCCCCACTCTATCCCAGTTCTGGAGAGCAGCCGTATTGCTGCCAGAACAGCACTGCTACAACACCCACCCCATGCTGCTCCCATCTCAGTGTCCAGGATGCAGGGGGTGGCATGAATTGGATGAATGGCACTTCTTTTAAGATTAGAGGGGTAACGCCTTCTGTGTTTATAATCTCGTGGCCTGACAGGCCCTTACTTACAACTTTCATTATGTTCACATGTCTTCTTTCCTGTTTCTCCAAGATCTGGAACATTGCAAGCAACAAGTTGACGTTTTTAAACTCCTACAAAATGAAGATGTCTGTTGTCATGGGAATCACACACATGGTCTTTGGGGTAATACTCAGTCTCTTCAACTACATGTAAGTTTAAATGTCCCATGCTTAATTCATATGTTGCTTGTTGTAGTATACAACTGTGATTCATTTGTAGGTTTCCTGAACTGGAATCCTTTTTTTGCTGTTCTGCCTTGGAGATCTTGCTGTTTCCCAGGCCCAGGTGCCTTGGTTCTTCATTTGTGATCTCTTTGCTCTCCCTATTTTCATTTGACCATATCTTCAGTGTCCGTATCCCTCATGTAGGAGAATGTTGGGCTTCACTCCTCAGTGTTGCTGAGAGACTGAATTAATTAAACTCTGCCAAGAGAGGCTCCCTTAATTACCACTCCAGACTGACCAATATTTTAAGATTGCAGGAAGTAAAGCTACCTTCTTAGTGATTTGGTCAAGGCATCAGATTGGAATAATGACTTGCAGTTTCTGGAGTTTAAAGGCTTTATTCATGCAGGAACTATTTGCAAGATGGGTGGAGACAGGAGAGAAATAGCAGACATCTTTTCTGGAGGAATAGCAAACAAGACGACTCAGCTTTTAGGGGTGGAGTTAACTTAAACAGAGGGGTTACAAGAAAATTCTGGCTAGATTGCTACATAAGCAGTGTCCTCTGGTTGTTTAAAACAACACATGCATTAATTAGAACCTTAAGAGAAGGAAGCATACTGCTTTCCTCCAACAGATTCTTCTTCTTCTTACAAAGAATCACCAATCTCCATGTTGTTGAGCACTTTCAGGAAGGTGAAAGCCATCCCACCACCAATTATCATCTCATTGACTTGATCCAGTATGTTTTGGGTCAGCTGAATCTTATCTTGAACTTCAGCACTTCCAAGGATTGCTAGGAAGGGTCACTCTGGACTTTCTAGAGCAGTCTTTTTTCAACCTTGGGTCCCCAGATGTTTTTGAGCTACATCTCCCATCATCATTTACCACGGGCCATCCTAGCTAGGAATGATGGGTGTTCTAGTTCAACATTTGGTGACCCAAGGTTGAGAAAAGCTGCTCTAGAGCTTTAGCAAAATATTCAAGTTTTTTCTTTATCAGGAAACCAGCAGCTTTGAGGTAGATTGAACCCAACCATGGTACTGTGAGCTCTCTGTGCAGTTCCGAAAGCACCAATGATAAAATCATCTCCTAGTTTAGAAAGTGATGCTCTGAAATCACCTACCTTTGCTGAATCAGCCTTGATTCAGTATCTTCCCCCTTTCCCTTCCTCTTCTGCATGGAATCAGAGGTTTCCCTGAAGAGTGACTGAGCTAGTTTCAGGATCAGAATCAGCTGCTTCCACCTCCGAACCCACACAGTCTTCCAGGAACAAGGCATCCCTGTCAAAGTCCTGCGGCTACAGGTTGCAAGGAGAATTTCTCAGGCATAGGAACTCCACCAAATCACCCCAGGTGACTCATCAGTACCACAGACCTATCTCTGTGGTCCAAGCAATGCTTGATGGTTGGGACAGCTGCCCTGAATCTCTGGTGGTTGGTTAATTTGTTGTCCTTCATTGGGACGTTGAAGTCAACCTGCATGACCATGTACTTGCCCTTCACATTCACATTGTCCAGGATGGGCTTAGTAGAGAGACTTTTTCTCAACAGAAGATGCTGGCTCAGTCTTGCTTGACCAAACGATTGCAGCCTCTTCTTCCTTCATTGGGTGCAGTTGAAAAGAGCAATCCACGTGTCACTTGTTTTCCAAGTACTTTGCAAGATCGGTAGTATCTGGTACTTTGCAGAAGCAGGATGTTCCTATCTTTGCTGGCCACGGTCTGATGTATTACAACAGAAGCACCTAGGAAGCAATCTGCCTTATCTTGGCTTCCTGTTTTTACTGACTGTTAGAAACGGTTGCACTAGACTTCATTTAAGCTGGCAAAAAGTGAGAGCAAGGCATATGTGGAGGGGGAAAGCCATTGATTATAGATGTATGTAAAGCTAACAATCAAGAAAGCTGGATTGTAATTTTATTTCAAGATCAAATCAGTATTATTTTGATCGGTTGTCGCGGGGCTCCTAAAAGGCCCATAGGCCTATTTAGTAATCCGGCACTGTCTGGTGGCTTCACCTTACCAGAATAAACCAAGTGGTGATTTAATATGTCCCGATTGTCCTCCTTCCTTCCACATCATCCTGTAAATCAGCTTTCTCCAACAGGCTGCCTTCTAGATGTTGTAGGGCTACAACTCCCACCATCATCTCCATCTAGCATAGCCAATGGCCAAGAGGAATGATGGGAGGAGTCCAATAATGTCTGGAGGACACCACACTGTGGGAAGCTGCTGCAAACTCTCTTCGCTTCCACACTGATGTTTTTTCCTTCTCTTGGCTCCTGTCTTCCCAGATATTTCAGGCAAACCCTCAACATCATCCTGCAGTTCATCCCACAGATGATTTTCATCCTCTGCTTGTTTGGTTACCTGGTTTTCATGATTATTTTCAAGTGGTGCCAATACGGTGTTGCTGACGCCCAAGACGCCCCAAGCATCCTCATCCATTTTATCAACATGTTTCTGTTCAGTTACAGCGATGAGACAAATGCTCCCCTGTATGTGCATCAGGTGTGGTCTCCCTTCTCTTTTGCTATGAACTTTGTTACTGAGGAAGTACACTTTAGCCAAGCCTAGAGTTTTATATGCTAACCTTTTTTTTTAAATAACGGGGGGTGGGGGGTGGGTTCACAAATTAAGATAAAATTCTGGCTGAGACTGATGGGAGTTTTAGTCTAAAATATTTGAGGGGCACCAGGTTTGGAAGGCTGGTTTAGGGTTATTTTTGACTATTTATCATGGACCAAGGAGGATTCAGAGTCTAATGTAGCTTAGGGCTGCCAGATTTTCCCGGACATTACTGAGATTTCAAAGGCAGAATTGATGTCCAGGGGGAATTTCTGAAAGGTGGTGCTTTGTCCTGGATCTTAGGCAACTGAAAAATTGTGGGGTTTTTTGCGTTTATGTAAAAAGAAGAAGAAGAAAAGCTGCTGGTTTTTATTTTTGAAATATGGCCACCCTAATGTAGCTCTGTGTGTTGGAAACGGTATGTTTTCATGCTGTAGAGCCCTGGATCTGCCAGTACTGGAAAAGGGGTTCTTTCCTTATAAAAACGAGATGTTGAGAAAGCAGGCAAGCAGAGACTTCAGGTGAAACAGATAAACTTCATTTTGTTCAGGAAGCTTAATCTCAGAGTAATGAAAATGAGAACAAAACAACCCAGCCCGTTTCATGACAGACTTTTATGTGCCCTGTAAATGGCACAGAATCACTCAGTTCCAGGTTACAAATTAAAAGTACATACATGAGCTTGCAAGTAGCAGGTTGGCAAATGCTCTTGATTTATGAGCACGCTCTTGAGGAAGGAGAATACAGGCAGCATGCATGGCAAACCATCTTAAATCAAAAGCACAGTTTGAAAGTTGCGAAACATTTCCCCAAAGAGTCCTAATTAATCATGTTGGTAAGGCAGCTTCAAAGTTCAGTGGTTTCCCAGGATATGTTTCTGATTCTCAAATAGCAATTTCACTGATCTTCAGCCAGAATAGTTGAGTTTTTCAGAATACATAGGGCCATTTCTTTTAACAAAACTGTATTGCCAAATCATAGCTCCTTCCCTCAAGGTAAAATAAACTTCCTTACATGGGTCTCATCTGCACCATACATTTAAAGCAGTATCATACCACTTTAAACAATCATGGTTCACACACCCCAAGAATCCTGGGAACTATAGTGTGTTAAAGGTAAAGGTACCCCCTGACCATTAGGTCCAGTCGTGATCAACTCTGGGGTTGCGGCGCTCATCTCGCTCTATGGGCCGAGGGAGCCGGCGTTTGTCCGCAGACAGCTTCCAGGTCATGTGGCCAGCATGACTAAACCGCTTCTGGCGAACCAGAGCAGCACACGGAAACGCCATTTACCTTCCCGCCGGAGCGGTTCCTATTTATCTACTTGCACTTTGAGGTGCTTTCGAACTGCTAGGTTGGCAGAAGCGGGGACCGAGCAACGGGAGTTCACCCCGTCGCGGGGATTCGAACCGCCGACCTTCTGATCAGCAAGTCCTAGGCTCTGTGGTTTAATCCACAGTGCCACCCGCGTCCCTCATAGTGTGTTAGGAGACCCCTATTTCCCTCCAGACCTACAATTCCCAGAGTTCCCTGGCAAGAGGGGTCGAGTGTTAAACCACTCAGAATTGGAGCTCTCGGTGAGCCAGTGTGTTATTTTCCAATATCACAGCAGAATGGCATTTTTGAAAAAAGATAATTGACACCGAATTTTCCTTTAAGCCGGTGTGGGTGGGTGGTGTGTATTGCTTATCTAACTATCTTATTTCCTTCCTTCCTTGTAGCAAGAAGTACAAACCTTCCTGGTAATTTTTGCTCTGATTTCTGTTCCTTGGATGCTTTTGATTAAACCTTTCATCCTTCGAGCCAATCACCAGAGAGCTCAGCGTATGGTAAGAATAAAGGTCTCTTGAGACATTTGGCCTCCTGGCTAGAGGTAAAGGCAATCTTGGGTTGAGTGAGATGAGCTGAAGATTTTGTAGCAAAGATTTGCAAATCTCATGGTTTGCAAGTCATTACAAAACCAGGTTCTGAAAGCACTGAATTGGAGAACTGGAAGAAACCTTGTAATTCAACTAATCCAACCCCTTTCCAGTGGAGGGAATCTGCTACTACAGCATCTGCGATAGATGATCAACCAGACTGATTGGAATTGGAAAGAGGATATATCAATTATACTAATCTTCTAGACACCCAGCGTGTGTGGATTAACAACAAAGGAAAAATGGCTGGCGCCTGTTTCTAAAACACAGGGGGTTTGCAATCCATCCAGCAGGAGAAAGCCCCATTAGCAGAGTTAAAACTCACAAGTTTATGCAGAAGCATAGCATCAGTAATACATAGGCTACCCATTGAGGTGGTCTTGGCTGAAAGATGGTGGCTTGACCAATAGCTATGCAATAAACTTCATTTTTGAACAAAAGGCTGAGTCCACTTCTCTAACTTTCTGTCTGCTAGGCCATAGTCCGCTCTTGCTCATATAAAAAGCAGCTTTCTGAATTCAGTCCATTTGAAAACGATTATAATGCAACCCAAACATTGAACCACTGGAAGAGACTTGCTAACAAGTTCCCCTCCACCCCGCCCACCACAATATATGCAGTATTAATTTCTTAGATGGGTGATGATTTCATTCAAAGATTATTTTCACTGCCCTGTAATTCATTGTTTCGCCATCTGAAGTACATTTAGACATTCCCCATAGCAACTGACTACTAATGAGCCCATTTGTCAGCCAAAGCCTTATTCAATAATAAGAACCTTTTTTGTAGCTTGTTAAGATGTGAAATTGATGTCTGGTAAAATTTTTGACAGTGAGGCGACAGAAAAATGGATTGCCTGATGCATGTATATAGAAATTGGTTGATTACTGTGCAATCAAAGGATCTCTTTAAACCAGGACTGGGGAGCCTCAGACTCAGGGGGCCAAATGAGAACCTCCTGGTTCCTCTATCCAGCTCTCAGGTTTCTCCTCAGGACAAGCTCCCCATCAGACCTTCTCCAGACCTAGCTTGACTGCTTCTGCCTGACTGCCGTGTGTGTGTGTGTGTGTGTGTGTGTGTGTGTGTGTGTTGAAAGCTCTTGTCTTTAAGGGGCTATAATGTAGCCAACTGCACTGAGGTAAGAATTGCATCTTAAAGGAGCGTCTCCACCCACATTGTTCAGCCCAGACACTGAGGTGTCCAGCTCCAAGGGCCTTCTGGCAGTTCCCTCACTGTGAAAAGTGAGGTTACAGGGAACCAGGCAGAGGGCCTTCTCAGTGGTGGCACCGCCCTGTGGAACGCCCTCCCATCAGATGTCAAGGAAATAAACAACTATCTGACTTTTAGAAGATATCTGAAAGCAGCCCTGTTTAGGGAACTTTTTAATGTTTGATCTTTTATTGTGTTTTTAATATTCTGTTGGGAGCTGCCCAGAGTGGCTGGGGAAACCCAACCAAATGGGCGAGGTATAAATAATAAATTATTATATTATTACCCATTGTCCACCCTACCCCTGGCAGGCAGGTTCTGGAAGCTTGACCACAAGAATTAGGGGGCCTTGGGCTGAATGGGGGTACCAACCTGTGATTTAAACGAAATATTATTATTTTTAAAAACTATTTCTGCAATAAAACCTTTTGCTGGGTCTGCTTTTTTTGGAGTAGACTGACTAAAGCCGTTCTCTGTTTTGCTTCTCTTAAGCTGGCTTCACCTGAGCTGTCGGAGAGCCCCACTGGGGACATTGAGGTGGAGATCATTAAGTCTGACTATCCTAAGAAGCCAGTCCAAGAAGACCACAGTGATGGCGGTCACCATGGCGGGCATGAGGACCATGAGGAAGAGGTAGGGGCAACCAAAAGTAGGGGAGGAAGAGGTAGGGCTGGAGAAAATCCCTTATGGAGGGGGAAAAACATGGTTTCTTCATTTTGAGGCTTTTTAGTCAAGAAGAAAGAGATGCAGGAAATTATTTATGCTGTGGAGAAAGTGAATTGGGAGAGGTTTTGTTTTTCCCCCTCCCTCATAGCACTAGAACCCGGGGTCCTCCACTGAAGCCGATTGTACTGTTTTACATATATTCAGTAAAACAATGAACATTAATAAACCAACCATGCACTGATGTACAGTTACTAACATGAGATTGCATTTGTTTTGTTTTGTTTTTTGTTTATCAATGCCTGATGAAGCTGATTAACGTGCGCTTCAGAACAGACAAAAGGAGCCGCCTCTTCACATGGCATGTAGGCCACTTTCAGCCAAAGTGTTTGAAGAATTGTGTGCAGAGGTTATATGGCATTACTGGCAAGTGGCCGTTATCCTGTATATATATCTATATAGCTAGAGATATACAAGCAGACACTAGCAGCTTTGTCTCCAATATTGCTCAGGAATTCTAAAAAACACACACACACACACACACACACACACACACACCATTGCAGATTTGAAAGGGTCTGTCTTAATTCAACATGGTGTCCAGTTGGGTCCAAATGTAGTTGAAAGGTCAACAGCATTAGTGTGATTAAAGAATGAAGGCAGTATTGGTAGCAGGTGCTCTGTTTGAGAAACAAATCCAAAATATTTAGGGGAGAACCGGTTATGTAGTTTTTATTTATTGATTTATTGATTAAATTTTAGTAATAAAGAAAAAGAAATGCACCCTACCGGTGTATGCAAAAGCATACAAAAATATGGCTACTATTTACATACACATAAACACTTCCCACCCCCATATCTTCCCACCACCACACCCTTTAACCCCCGCCTCCACAACATCTCTACTTCCTTATCTTATAGATTCAATACTATCATTGCAATTTTTAAATTTTTATCTTCAAGTTCTTCATGAATCATACCCTAGTAGCTCTTGGTTTTTTCGCAGCTCCACCAGAACAATGTTCCTTCCATTTTCCACATTTCCAGCATAAATTAGACTTTTGTTTATAAATTTTGGCAAGCTTTGATGGTGTTAGGTGTTAGGTACCACCTGAAAAACATTTTCTTGAAATTCTCTTTTATGGTGTAGCAAGTGGTGAACCTAATATCTATACACCAGAGCCTTTCCCACTGTTCCAAATATATCGTATGGCCGATGTCTTGAGCCCACTGTACCATCACCTCTTTAACTACTTCTTCTTGTAGGTCCCAATCTAATAAGATTGCAAACCTTTGATAATGTTTTCTTATTGCTTTTCAATAGTACATTGTGCAATTTCGATTCTTCTGTGCCAAATCCTCGGTTATGTTGTTCTTTGAGTGCTCCTGGCCACAGTATAGATGTCATTTTTTCCCTTTAAAATCTCTTTCAGTTCAACTTTGGAGACATCTTTGTTCACCAGGCTATTCACACCATCGAATATTGCCTGGGTTGCATTTCCAACACAGCTTCCTACCTTCGGCTCTGGGCGCTGAGCTTGGCACATGCACGTGAGTTTTTCATTTGTGGTGCTCACTGTGTTTTATGTGTCTGAATCGCAGAGTTGGAAGGGAGCCTGATGATCATCTAATCCAACCCCTTGAAGTGCAGGAATATACAGTTGTCCCTTACAGGGACTGAACCTGTTTTGGCATGGGATGAGAGAATACTAATACTAGGCATCTCTGCAGAGTAGGTGTTGGGAACCTGGTAACTATCAGGCATTGCTGGACTCCAGTTCCCATCAGCCCTTGATGAAACTCAGTCCAACAACATCTGGAGGGCCACAGGTGCCTCATCCCTTATTTGAAGCACCAGCAGATAATTAGGAACTCAGTGACAATGTACAAGGAAAGTCATACTGCATTCAACTAAGTTTTACTCAGAATAGTCATTGACATGAATGGATCTAACTTATCCATGTTCATTAATTTCAACAGGTCTACTCTAAGCAAAGCTTAGTTGAATACCACACACAGGCACATTTAAGCTAAAAGTGAGCCAAAAGATGGGGAGTGTTTTTTCAACGTTTTGGGCATTGCCAAGAAAACACCACCACCCTTCTGGGGCAATTTGGTGGGCCTTGTATTGAGAGGAGGTGACAAAGTCTGAGGGTGATCAGTGGTCCAGCTGACTGAGTTCAACCAAATGACTGATGCAGGCAGCAGTGCCCTCGCTGGGAGTTGGCTTTGTTTGCTCTTGGTGATGTCATTGGAAAGCCAGTTCTGATCAGTTACAGAGCTGCGATGCCATCACGTTCAATATTGGTTGGGCGCACTTTTTAAGAACAGAGCCCTAGACAGGAAAAATAACGGCACTGATTCATCAACAAAGAAAGTAGAAAGTGGCAGTGAATTTCAGATATTGTTGTATTACAAAGGTTGAAGCTCCATCCACTGCTAGCATGTGGCCCTTGGGAGGTTGCCCAAAAAGGAATGCTGCCCTCTGGCTAAAACAGGTTCTGGCCTTCATGGTGGTGGGGGGAACAGAGGGGAGCTGTGACTTACTCTGATTAGGGGGATCTCCTGCCTGAATGGTCTTTAATGTCTTGCTGTTCATGGCTGTTTCTTGTGTGACATTTGCCTCTGTAATCTCTTCCCCCCCAATGTGGTGTAGTGGTTAAGAGCGGTAGACTCGTAATCTGGGGAACCAGGTTCGCTTCCCCGCTCCTCCACATGCAGCTGCTGGGTGACCTTGGGCTAGTCACACTTCTCTGAAGCCTCTCAGCCCCACTCACCTCACAGAGTGTTTTTTGTGGGGGAGGAAGGGAAAGGAGAATGTTAGTCGCTTTGAGACTCCTTCGGGTAGTGAGAAAGCGAGATATCAAATCCAAACTCCTCCTCTTCTCCAGAGCTCTCAGAGGTCCTCTGGGGCCAGGTGCTGATCATCTCATTCCACTCCAGTGGCAACTGGATAGGACTCATCGTAATCTTCGTCCTCTTTGCCGTCTTTGCTGCTCTGACTGTAGCCATTTTACTGATCATGGAGGGCCTCTCTGCCTTCCTGCATGCCCTGAGACTTCACTGGTAGGTAACCTGGGTGCATTTGAGTAGGAAAAGGGTTGACAAAGAAATAACAAAAGGAAATAGTTTGCAAATGTATCGCTACAGGTTCCCCACATTCCCAGTCGGCTCAGTGATACTCTCCTACAGGAGAGAACTTGGGAGAGTTGTGGTGCTTCTTGAAACGTTTAGTTTATTTACAATTATACAAGTTGAGCATAGGCGGAGGTGATCAGTGATACACATTCCTACCAAGGAGTAGATCTGCTACCTTATATCGGATCTCCAGAGAGAGACACCTACATCACAAAGAGGCTTCTAGCCTTTAGATCACAGCTCATTTGTTCTGGGATGGGGGGGGGATTTGATTCAGTTCTCATTTGAAGGCGAAAGACAGTGTTTTAATGGATGCATTGTTCTGATCTTCTCTTTTCAAAAATGAAAAAAAAATGCTTAACTATTTCCTTTTGTAAGCCACCTTGATTGCTGTTTAATAGAAAAGTAGGATAGAAACAGGGATGCGGGTGGCGCTGTGTGTTAAACCACAGAGCCTAGGGCTTGCCAGTCAGAAGGTCGGTGGTTTTTAATCCCTGCGACTGGGTGAGCTCCTGTTGCTCAGTCCCTGCTCCTGCCAACCTAGCAGTTCGAAAGCACGAAATGCAAGTAGATAAATAGGTACCACTCCGGCGGGAAGGTAAACGGCGTTTCCGTGCGCTGCTCTGGTTCGCCAGAAGTGGCTTAGTCAAGCTGTATGCCGGCTCCCTCGGCCAATAAAGCGAGATGAGCGCCGCAACCCCAGAGTCTGTCACGACTGGACCTAATGGGCAGGGGTTCCTTTACCTTAGGATAGAATAATAAACTTGACCAGTGGTTCACAGACCTCAGGGGGTCTGTGTAACCCACCCAGTGGGTCTGTGGCACCATTCACATAATAAAAACTACCATAGCGATAGGTAGGGGGTCCATGGCTTGGCTTTTGAAAAACAAAGGGCTGGCTTCTACTTGGCTAATTGAGAACTGCTGAATTAGATTAAACTAACCCCTCATTGAACACAGAACCCTGCTTATTTGACATGCCTTTCTTTCCCCTCCCATTAGGGTGGAGTTCCAGAACAAATTCTACTCTGGAGCAGGATATGCATTTGTACCATTCTCCTTTAAAGCCATCATAGAACGAGCAGAAGACTGAAGCCCACTTAGAGCATGGAGATCTAAAACTTTCAAGATTGCTGCTCCTCCTCTTCCTAACTCTCAAGATTAGCTTCCTCCTCCTCCAGCTGCAAGGGAAAGTTGTTCAGCTTCAGGAATACTTCACAATATTTCCCTCTATAAACCATTGTAAAAACAAACACGTGAGTCAGTGGTTTATTTAAAAAGAAAGATGTACCACCCAAGGTTTCTTTCACCTCTGCACTCATTTTGTTCAATGTTACTCTGCTCCATGCAAAAGGAATCTGCAGTTTGGACCTAGCAAAGTCATAAAAAAGTTTATGTTCCATTTCAGATTGCAGGTATGTTGTTGTTGTTGTAGTCGTTTATTTATTATTTTTTTTTCAATTTTGAATAATATTTATTGATATTTTCAAAATTGCAAGAAAAATAAAAAATAACAAACAACGCTACAATACAAAAAAAAGAAAAAAGAAAAAGAAGACAATAAAAAAAGAAAAAAACACAAAATGTAAAAACCCAATATAACAATACAGCAATAAAAAAGTAAAAAAGAAGAAAAAAGAGGGAAAAAACCACAAATCCCAAATTGCATATCCATAATTTCCATTTGCTTGTTTCATTGACCTCCTCACACCTCCGTTTTTGTATTCTAGTTTAGTAATTATTTCAGCAAATTCTTTCCATCTTTCTCAATTTTTGTTATAAAATTTGTCTTAACAATTTATCCTAATAATTAGCTCAACAAATCCTTACCATCTTTCCCCATATTCTATTATTCAGATTACCTTAATTTATTTATCCTTATCTTACCCCTAAGTGCCTTAAAACTTAAATCTTAAATTTCAAATATACATAACTCCTAATATCATTTCTGCTAGAGTCGTATAGTTTCATTCCCACATTTTCCCTAATATTCATTAGCTGATTCTAAAATATAAATTCTCTTCCAATCATCATCCGGCGTCTCTTCTTCCTGGTCTCGGGTCATGTCAGTCCTTATTGTCCTTATTGTCCATTCCGTTTAGTCCATCAACCTGGAAGCCTTATGTCCGAGGCCCTTAAATCTCTTCCATGTCCCTTCTGCAATTCTTCTTCATCTTGTTTGTGCTTGCCCTTTTCCTTGTCTCTTGTTGGTCTCTGTCTTTGTTTCTTTCCTTTCTCATTGGGGAGTAGGTCTCTGGGGGATTCCAACCCAGAATTATCTCCATCACCCTTCATCCAGCTCACCCATTCCCCACAGTCCCACTCCCCAGAGTCCTCCAAAATGAATTTAAAATCAAATTTCAGAATCTCTCCAAAGCTAAAAATCTCCTCATCACCAGACTCCCCTTGGCCCGCTCCAGCTTCAATCTTCAATAACAGTGACTTATGCTCCTGTAGGGCCTCGGGTCTCTCCATTTGTACTATTTGAGGTGCAGCCACATCCTCCTCCATTGTCAACTGCACTTGCTCAGTCGGTACAGATTGATAGATTGGTTCTTGGATGATTTCTGTGTCAATGTTATTAACCACAACAGTCAAATCCATTTTCTCATTCATTAAGTCCATCTTTTCATGCATCTGTTCCAGCCAAAGCATTTGTCTTGCATAGAGCAAGCAACCAGTCTTTCTCCCAGCTCATCTTTGTTCAAGGTCGAAAAAGTCTGTTCCCACAGTCTTAATCTCACAGATGTTGGGTCTCAAATATGCTGCAACAACAATTTAGCAAGCTCCCTCTAGAGGAGACAATCTACTTGTAGCCTTTTTTTAAAAAAAAATGACAAAGGAAAGTTACTTTCATTTTTCAGATATTTCAGACGTTTTTCAGATATTTTGTTTCTTTAAGATGCAAAAGGCAACATTAGAATCAACTTGTTTCTCTTCATTAGCTATCTGTCAAAGTGTTACGTTCACCATCAATGAACCTCAGCAACAGTTTCTGTCTCTGACACCCCGTTCCCAGGTTAGAGACGATGGAAACTTATCCTTCTTAACTCCCTCTCCTGGTAGAGTTAAACAGAGTCCCCCCCCCCTTTTCTCCTGCTTCCAAGGGGGGTTTCAGTGGTTCTAAATGGAGAAAATTTAGTCCTTTTTTGACAGCTTCCCGGCTTTAGCTTGCAAAATTTTTGCTTTAGTCTATATACAAGGAAATGGAAGGCGGGCTTCCTGTTTACACCTTCCCGCTTCGTTGCCAAATTAAAACAATTTCTTGATCCAATTTTCCGTTTCTACTCACGGGTACTTGTTTTAAGTCCAATTGTCCACAGGAAAAAGTCAGCGCTCTCTGGCAATGGCTGTGCGGCTTCACTCCGTGAAAGTAGCAGTCAGTTCGTAGCACCACGCTTCTCACCCCACTTCACTCCGGAGCCCCTAAATGGGATTCCCCGCGAGTAGGGGGGCGCTTCTGGTGCCCTGCCGAACCCCACGTTCCCAGGCTTCCTCCGCCTGGGATTTCTAGCGAGTCCCCACCTTCGCCGCGGCGGGAAGACCCAGTTTTCACGGAGCCCGTTCCTCCGGTCGGAGGAACTCCGCCATTCACCAATGGCGCTGACCCGGAAGTCTGTTGTTGTAGTCGTTTAGTCGTGTCCGACTCTTCGGGACCCCATGGACCAGAGCACACCAGGCACTCCTGTCTTCCACTGCCTCCCACAGTTTGGTCAGATTCATGTTTGTGGCTTCGACGCACACAATTGGATTCTCCAACATGGATACCAACATGGGGGAATGGACCGTCTACATCAGTGGTTCTCAACCTGTGGGTCCCCAGATGTTGTTGGACTACAACTCCCATCATCCCTGAGCTCTGGCCTTGCTAGCTAGGGGTGATGGGAGTTGTAGTTCAACAACATCTGGGGACCCACAGGTTGAGAAAGGCTGGTCTACATAAAAGACTAAGGGCCAAGGATATGTTGCAATGGAGTTTCATGTTTGGAGCCCCTGTTGAAATTTTCTTTTTGTAAAAAGCAGCTGCAAGGTCAGGGCATATGGGGGATAGTGACTGACCCTCCCCAACAGTGACACAGATTCTCACCCACCCTTGGGGATCCATTAGCCACATGGGACTTAAATGTTTCAGCCTGCAAGCTTTTCTTTCTGTGAGTAATCACAATTGGATGACTTGGGGGTCTGATCCAAATTGGGATCCCCTCCAGCGAGTCCCCATAGCTGCTTTTACAAAATAATAAAAGCATTGAGGCTTCAAAAGAGGCAGCTCCCAATGCAATATGTAGTTTGGCCCTTAATGTCAGGGGAAAGCATTCTAGCCTAGCCCTTGCCCATCCTGCCAGTTTTCAAGGTGCAGGGCACATTAGTTGTATAGAGGAGCATTTAAGCATCTGAGCTCCCTTCTGTATTCTGAAGTGGTACGGCCCAGACATAGATTTGCCATCTCAGTGAGAACTAGGACCTTGGTTTCTGCAAATGTAATACTTCCCAACTTTGCTGTGCCACACCCAGCCAGGAGGCAGACTTTTGTTGATGCTTCCTATAGCTTTTGGCTCCCCAAAATCCAGTAACAACATGCAATTCTGGTTAGCAAGGGATGCTAGGGAACTCTGCTACAAATTGAAATGGCTGGCGGATTTGCATTTCTGCTGGACGATTTAATGGCAACAGGACAGTTTCATTGAGAGTTCAGAAATCCATTCCTTGCACAGCAGGATTCAGGAGTAGAGTATATGCAGATGAAGCTGCCTGTGTTGCATTGACAAACGTGTCATGTCATGCAAGGACAGAGCAATCCAGTGCATGCTTTTCTGGCATTGTAGGTTGTTGCCCAAGGCTTGCTCAGAGAGAGAACGCCTGGCTGGTGTCATAGGTGATGCTGTTAGAGCATCTTGCTGGTCCAGGAGGCATTTGTACATGCCCAGCGTAGCCTACAATGCTTGTTAAGCATCTGGAGAGCTCTGCAAAACCCGCTGTGCCTTGGGGAGTTCTGCAGAAGAAACGGTCAATCTAGAATCTCAAGCAGGTTATGGAAAGTTCATAAAAGGGTAGATCTGCAGAATCATTTCCAGAGTGGAACGAGGTGGTTTTATCCATATCTAGTGCTTAGGTTATAGTTGCTTGACTTCTATAGCTAAGTAATTGCATAGACTGGAAACAAGCTCAGAAGTTGCAGCTTTCCCTGCTGTTGGGCTGCAATGATGGGAGAAGCAACCTGCCAATATTCTCCCTTCTGCATAACTCTTAAAGGCACATCATACCTTTACTATATTTCCATTAAACAAGGATGAGGAACTTGTATCCTAGGCTTGCCATAGTTTTTTGAGTGGGGGGGGGGACAAAGTTGTTGAGCTTTTTTTGCAAAAACAGTTCAGAAGCACACAGTGCAAGTAAACAGTGTTTCCGTGTGCTGCTCTGGTTCACCAGAAGTGGCTTAGTCATGCTGGCCACATGACCCAGAAGCTGTCTGCGGACAAACGCCGTCTCCCTTGGTCTATAGAGTGAGATGTCTATAGAGCGAGAGTTGTCCACCACTGGACCTTACGGTCAGGGGTACTTTTACCTTTACCTTTTTAGATAATTTGCCAAAATTGACATTTCTGGTGGTCAAATCCTGGCTATGTAACCCTGCACAACATCATCCCTGCTATAACCAGAAGTAGGTATTACTGTGTTTAATAGGGTCATAATTCTTGGTAGCTACTCCCGGGTCTAGAGCTAACAGACTTCTATCTTTCATTTCCTGCTCTTCCACAGACTAGTGTACAGTTAGGGATCCAGGGACCCCCTCTCATTTGAAGCCCTCTCTTCATAATATTTATGGCATCTGGTGGTAACACACATGAACTATCATGTGGCATGTTGAAACCCATTGACAAAAACCAAGGGCTGCAACAAGCCATTACTTCTCTACTAGCAGAATAACACTGTGTGGATATAGCTTCATATCCTAGTGTTAAACTTTTATTGCTCCATGGAAGACAGCTGTTGAAACGTCCTATGTATTTTCATTAGAAAGTCAAAATTGCTGCTTCATTGATTAGGTAGCATAAATGAATAAATTGCTCAAAACCAACTCAGGTGTGGCTGTCTCTCTTGCCAACTCATGAAGATTTTACCCTCAAAAAGCATGTTTAGATATTGAAGTTGATCAGGTTACCAAATGGCCAGTAATCCTCTTACAAGATCACATTTCTTTATCCTGGCAACTGAAGAACACAAACAGGATTCAGGAATGACTGAGTGTTTTCAGCATGTAAACATAACTTCATTGTAAGAACCTGCATATTATCTTAATTGTTCCACAGATTAACATTAAACTAGCTGGAGATTTTCCCACACATCACCATGAGGAACAGTCTGATCTGGATCATAAACTATTAAATGTAGATGTAAAGAAGAGGACTTACCGGCTGCAGACCAGAAACAAATACTTCCTCTCTTCTCTTCCCTCTTTGAATAAGATAAATCAATAGCCGTATTGCACCTGAAAGACGAACACATTTATAACCAACTTAAGGTGCTGCAAGATTCTGCTGTCTTTGCAGCCACTGTCTATCACAGTCACCCCTCTGGAAACTGTTTTATACGGGATTAGCGCTTTTATAAAGTGCCACGTAATATTTGTTCCACACTTGCAATAAATGAACTGTTCAGTGTGGCAGCACCTGTTTTTTTAGAATTCCCTGCTTAACAATATTAGACAGGGCCTTCATTATACTGTTTTCGATGTCTGCTAAAAACTTCATTTAAGCAAGCCTACTCAACCATTGCATTTTATTATGTACATTTGTTTTTAAAGCCTGTTGACTTTATCTACGGGCGGGATTCAGTTTATTATTCCTGTTAGTGGGAGCCCATGCAAAGAATTCTGCTAGTGTCATGTGGCTTTCCCTTCTTTCTTCCCCTTGTGTGTCCCCAGGGCCCCTCAAAATTGGATCCAGGTGGGACCCCAAATGCTATCTTCCATATTTTATACCATTTCATGTGAACTTATTTAATAAGCTGTATATAAATCTTGCTAAATGAATGTGGAACAGTGGAAGCTGCTTTATACCGATTCAGAATCAATATGGTCTACACTGGCTGGCAGCTAACCAGACCTCCTGCCGCTGCCTAAATCTTTGGGAAAGCCAACGAACCGGGTGGTCAGGTAGCAGGTCTAAAAGGGCTTCATTCTTCCATGCTGTCCCTCTGTTCTCGCTCGATATCCCTGATCTTCCGGAACACAATCTGCAAAGAAGAAATATCACACAAAGGGGGTAGAAAGGCAGAGTGAAAAGGGATATCCCATTTCTGTTATCTGAGCTGATGCCCTGCATGCTGGATCGTTCATGAATGATACAGGAACATAGCAACCTGCCTTATACTGAAACAGACCATGGAGACATCTAGCTCAGTTTCGCCTACACTGGCTGGCAGGAGCTCCCCAGGGTTTCAGGTAATGGACATCCCCAGCCCTACCTGGTGATGTCAGGGATTGAACCAGAGGCCTTTTGCACATCCATAGTAAGGATGGGGGATAAATTTTATTTGGATTTATTAACTTTGCACTTTCTGGAACAATACAAAAATGGAAACATAGCCATCCTTTGAAGTTCGCGCTTCTCTGAATTTTGTGGCGCAAAATTTAGCTGCAATCCTGTATCTGCCCTGTAGTTTCTTAGGGAATACTGTGTTTTGATGTGTATTCCACACCCCCCTCAAGCAGCTTTGATCCAAATTGAGCAAAACAAAAAGCTAGCAGCATTTAAGCCAGTAATGTGTACACAGGGACACAGATGGTGCTGTGGTCTAAACCACTGAGCCTCTTGGGCTTGCCGATCAGAAGGTCGGCAGTTCGAATCCCCACAACAGGGTGAGCTCCCGTTGCCCAGTCCCAGCTCCTGCCAACCTAGCAGTTTGAAAGCACGCCAAAAGTGCAAGTAGATAAATAGGTACCACTCTGGCAGGAAGGGAGTTTCCATGTGCTGCTCTGGTTTCGGTGTCCTGTTGCGCCTGAAGTGGCTTAGTCATGCTGGCCACATTACCTGGAAAAACTGTCTGCGGACAAACACAGGCTCCTTTGGCCAGTAAAGCGAGATGAGTGTGACTGGACTTAACTGTCAGGGGTCCTTTACCTTTACCTAATGTGTAGCCCAAGACTTTAGACACAGCTACTCTCAATTACCATAATAAAGGACAAAAGTGGTAAGGACCTAACAGAAGCAGAAGACATCAAGAATAGGTGGCAAGAATACACAAAGGAATTATACCAGAAAGATATGGATGGCTCGTACACCCCAGGTAGTGTGGCTGCTGACCTTGAGCCAGACATCCTGGAGAGTGAAGTCAAATGGGCCTTAGAACGCACTGCTAATAACAAGGCCAGTGGAAGTGATGGTATTCCAGCTGAACTACTTAAAAGATGCTGCTGCTAAGGTGCTACACTCAATATGCCAGCAAGTTTGGAAAACGCAGCAGTGGCCAGAGGATTGGAGAAGATCAGTCTACATCCCAATCCCAAAGAAGGGCAGTGCCAAAGAATGCTCCAACTACCGCACAATTGCACTCATTTCACACGCTAGCAAGGTTATGCTTAAAATTCTATAAGGTAGGCTCAAGCAGTATGTGGACCAAGAACTCCCAGAAGTGCAAGCTGGATTTCGAAGGGGCAGAGGAACCAGAGACCAAATTGCAAACATGCGCTGGATTAGGGAGAAAGCTAGAGAGTTCCAGAAAGACATCTACTTCTGCTTCATTGACTATGCAAAAGCCTTTGACTGTGTCGACCACAGCAAACTATGGCAAGTTCTTAAAGAAATGGGAGTGCCTGATCACCTCATCTGTCTCCTGAGAAATCTCTATGTGGGACAAGAAGCTACAGTTAGAACTGGATATGGAACAACTGATTGGTTCAAAACTGGGAAAGGAGTACGACAAGGCTGTATATTGTCTCCCTGCTTATTTAACTTATATGCAGAATTCATCATGCGAAAGGCTGGGCTGGATGAATCCCAAGCTGGAATTAAGATCGCCAGAAGAAATATCAACAACCTCAGATATGCAGATGACACAACCTTGATGGCAGAAAGTGAGGAGGAATTAAACAACCTTTTAATGAGGGTGAAAGAGGAGAGCGCAAAATGTGGTCTGAAGCTCAACATCAAAAAAACGACAATCATGGCCACTGGGCCCATCACCTCCTGGCAAATAGAAGGGGAAGAAATGGAGGCAGTGAGAGATTTTACTTTCTTGGGCTCCATGATCACTGCAGATGATGACAGCAGTCACGAAATTAAAAGACGCCTGCTCCTTGGGAGAAAGGCGATGGCAAACCTAGACAGCATCTTAAAAAGCAGAGACATCACCTTGCCAACAAAGGTCCATATAGTTAAAGCCATGGTTTTCCCAGTAGTAATTTATGGAAGTGAGAGCTGGACCATAAAGAAGGCTGATCGCCGAAGAATTGATGCTTTTGAATTATGGTGCTGGAGGAGACTCTTGAGAGTCCCATGGACTGCAAGAAGATCAAACACATCCATTCTTAAGGAAATTAGCCCTGAGTGCTCACTGGAAGGACTGGTCATGAAGCTGAGGCTCCAATACTTTGGCCACCTCATGAGAAGAGAAGACTCCCTGGAAAAGACCCTGATGTTGGGAAAGATTGAGGGCACAAGGAGAAGGAGACGACAGAGGACGAGATGGTTGGACTGTGTCCTCGAAGCTACAAACATGAGTCTGACCAAACTGCGGGAGACAGTGGAAGACAGAAGTGCCTGGCGTGCTCTGGTCCATGGGGTCACGAAGAGTCAGACATGACTAAATGACTAAACAACAACAACACCACTACCAACAATGCTACCAGACAGCACACACCCCCTTTCCCCCCTTTTTATTGGCATGGCAAGGTTTTGTTGCAATGGTTTCTTTCCAAAGGATTGGACTTTAAGTGGGGGGAAAGCTGGATGGAATCGAGTATGTGTGTGAAGACCAGGGCCTGCTACAAAGTTTATTTAATCTCTCCAAAACCCTAACATTTCAAATGCATGGAAGTCCTACAACATGGAGTAGCTTTTCCCATCCTGGTGTCATTCACATGCTGTTGAGAATGACCAACGTCATCTCATGATGTCTGGGGCTGATGGGAGTTGGAGTCCCACAGTGTCTGCAAGGCACCATTAAAGGTGAGCATGTTCTCAAGTGATGGTTGCGGATTCATCAAAATCCTGGCCGAGTACAACATTAAATAGGACAGAAGCAAGCAACAAAGTCTAGGGGCACATATTGGAATTGCCACACTTCCCACCTCACTAGCTTGCACACATGGGTCTCCTATGCAAAGGAAACATTTCACTGCAGCAAAAATCACTGCCCTTACCAGCTGACAGTCTGCCATAGGGCAGGGACAGCAAACCTGTGGCTCTTCAGTTTATTGCTGCATTGGTCAAGCTGGGGTAGCTCAGTGGGTACAGCATAAGACTTTTAATCTCAGGTCATGGGTTCAAGCCCCACATTGGGCAAAAGATTCCTGCATTGCACATGACCCTCATGGTCCCTTCCATCTCTACAATTCTATGACTACAGCTCCCATCATCCTTGACTATTCACCAGGCTGACCGGGGCTGATGGTAACTGGGGACCAATAAGAAATGGATGACTACAAGTTGCCCATTGCTGCCCTAGGCTAAGGCTGGCTTGGCCTTCTCGACAGTTCACCAGGACTAACCCACCAGTTTTCTTTAGCAGGCTGCCCAGAGCAGCTGCACGAACAGGAAATTCGGATGGCTAAGGAGTTTGTACTTTTGCAATTGTACTGTAGTCCCTTCTCCGGTTTCCTTCGGTCAACAATAGTGAGCACTGCCCTTTTCAAGAGGTGGTGATGATGATTGGGGTGTGGGGTGGCTGGTGAAGTGTGTTTCCTTGAATTGATAAACATAGCCTATGATTATACCCTCGTTCAGATACTGCAGGTGTAATAGCCACCTGCTTGCTCGCTCGCTCTCTCAAAAAAGGCAAGGAAATAATTGCTCTGAAGAATCTTAAACCTGAAATCTCCTACAAGACAAGAGGCAGAGATTTTAAAGCACAGAGTACTTCAGGCTATGAAGAAAGCCACCACAAAGCTGCAGCAAGCGCAATCAACCCACGAAAAGCTGTGTATTTGAAAAGAAGAGGGGAACAAAACTTCTCCATTTGGTAACTGAAAGGTAAGAAACTTTTACTGCGGAAGCAGAACAAGTCAGGTGCTTGAACAGTTGTTCAATTAACAAATGAGGACTTAGTATTAACTAATAAACTCGTGTGGCAGACTGGTTAGCGTGCTGGAGAGATTCAAAGCAACGCTCAGCTGTGAAGTTTGAGCCAGACATGCTATCTGTCTGCCTAGCCTACCTCTCAAGGCTGTTGGGAGAATATTAAACAGGATGAGCGAACCATGAAGATCTCCCTCTGTTCCTTTTTTAAAAATGTCACAAACTAAGCATTGAATGGCCGTCAGCAATCCTGTGCATATTTACTCAGAACTAAATCACATTGAGCTCTATGAGCCCTACTCCCAGGAAACTGGGTGCAGGATTGCATCCTTAATCATAAAACCTCTGCTAAACATTGCTGCACTCCCACTTTCCTGCTGTAATTTTCTGTCTCTTCAGTTACTGAAAGGTTTTCAAATTATACCAACATGCATGGAGTTATCATAAGAAACTTGCAGAAGGAGGGAGGGGAGATGATGACTTCATTTGGATTTTTAAACTGTGCTTAATGCATTAGATGTTTTTTTTTGCAAAAGAGTACCCAATCCAGATGGCGATCATGCTGGGGAAGCTTTACAGAACAACTAATAAAGCAGAATTGTGTGTGGACTGTCCAGTATAAATGCACCACTAATGTACTATTATTTTATCAATGGCATGTTCCAAAACACCCCTCGCACCAGTCTGAAGGGGTCGAGGATCTACAGTTGCTCATCCCTGCACCCAGGGTAAGAGGAGATTTCTTTTATTCCTGTCACTAGAGGCAAGGATGAAGAAACTGTGCCCCCCTTGCCTTGTGTCGTGCACAGCTGCAATAGCTGCGGAAAGCGGTTTTGCTCTTTGCAATAGGATTGTTGTTGTTGTTGTTGTTGTTGTTGTGAGTTTGGTGAAACGGAAAGCAGTATGGCCGAGTCCCTTCTAATTCCAGAGTGGATTCAATTGCTGGAACAGCCAGACCAGCTTCTTGGCCATGACCCTCTAAGTTTGGGTCACTAAGGTTAAAAAAAAGAAGTGGCTCTGTGCCAGAAAGCAAATGGGTCGGGCCTTCTCCCTCCCTCAACTGCCTATTAAAAAGACAAAAGACGGAGTTGAGGTTTGTGAGCTAGAAGATAGAAGCAGGCTGCAGGCTGGGCAGCCGAGAATCAGAACCATGCCTGATTTCTGCTGGGGTCGAAAGCTGCGGCTATGGGGGAAGCAAGACCCTTTTGGAGTGTTAATGCTGTGCACCCCTCTACTGTAGGCTCAGGATGTATATATGTGTAAATAAACCATATATCCTAATGACACCACAGTCTCCGCAGTTGCACATTCTGAGGAAACCGAACCATGGATAAACGCCTGGAATCTCACACTGCTCAGAGATCAAGTGTGCTTATACAGATACATATACAAATTTAATAAATACTACTACTAATAATAATAATACTACAGATACTTGTTATATGATTAGTGATTGCCAAGACACAAATCTTGCCACACCTCCCTATGCCTGGGGTATACTAAAGAGATTACCCTGGGACATAAACTACCATATTTTTCGCTCCATTGGACGCACCGGACCATAGGACGCACCAGACCATAGGAGGGGGAGAACAGGGAAATTTTTTTTTTCTTGTTCCCCCCCTCTAAAACAAGGTGCGTTCAAGGTACATTCACCAGAGCTTGTGGGGCTGGTGGTGGGGGGAAGCGCTGCTTTCCCCCACCGCCAGCCTCAAAGATCCCTGAAGCCTTTGGAGTGCAGCGCCCCGCTGCCCTGCAAAGGTTTGCGCGCAGCCGTCCCCAAGCTAGAACAGCGAGACGGAGCCCTCCGCAGTGCTCCGTCTTCCTGTTCTGGCTTTGGGCTTAGCGGCGCAGCCTGCATTCGCTCTCTAGGATGCACACACATTTCCCCTTAATTTTTGGAGGGGGAAATGTGCGTCCTATAGAACGGAAAATACGGTATATCACTAACTGCCAAGGACCGGGGGGGGGGGGAACATCCTTTCCCTACAACATATGTCTTATATCTAAGTATACGTCTCTTCATGAGCTAACCTGGGCTGAATCTTGGGACCTTAATGCACTTAATATTCAATAAATATCAGCAGTCTATGAACATTTAAAGCACTAATGCCACAAATTCAGTTCGTGAAATGTTGGTTTGCCATCATCCTCTTCTTCATTTTTAGCCGTTAAGGGAAACCAATACATTATCCAGCCAAAACCTCAATATACTAATCTAATTTGAAGATGGATGACAAGGAGAAAGAAGGAACGGGCGACATTGCCCTGGAGGAAATGGGAACTCAAAAACAGGAGCCAAAGACAGGTAATCTACTTCTGGGCATTCTTTTCCTTCTCTACCCACAATAGGCCTGGAGTTCTTGACTAACCTTCCATCCAAGTTCTGATAGACAACCGCAGCTGGGGACCTTCTAGAGTTGTGTTTCTATTGTTTCCCAAAGAGGTATGCTAAGTGTGTTGATCTGCTGGGGTTGGTGGAAGTGGTAGTCAGAAACATCTAGAAGGAACCATCGAGGAAGGATGTTGTTGACTAAATCACGCCTGATTCTCAAGTCCACTGGTAGCTTCAGTCACTCCTCTGGTGGTCTGAGATCCCCTAGGTTTATTCTTGCCTCTGTAGTGTGGAGTTGTCCATGCTTCATTCTAAATCTGAAATGACATTTTGCACAAATAAGACCAAGGGAATAATGTTATCAACCAACTGGCCAAATTCAGCACTTAAAATTACTAAATTCAGAAGTAGGAATTGGTAGATCTGTTTCTTTTTATTCTGGGCCATTTTCCCCATGTTTAACCCATACTTTTGTTCCATTTCTGTAAAAATAAATAAATGCATAATTAAAGATCCTCCCAAAATGTATATGTAAATATGCATTTCGATGTATTTAAGTTATCAATACCAGCATTGCAACTTTAAGGAGCAAAATCCAGTAGACAGCTGAATCTTGGCTTGCACATTAATCCAATAAGTACAAATCTGGTCATTTCATCAAACAATTTGCAAAGGCTAAATTGCTCAAGCATCTCTAGATAAAAGTGTCCATAATTGAGAACTGAGGTGGTGGGTGGAGAGAGAGAGAACCAGTTGTGGGGAAATACACATTTCAAATTTTGCAAGCAAATTGAGTTAGAATTTGCCTCAGGATCCTTCCTCCTTTCCAAATTCATTTCAGCTCTATTTTCTTCCCCCAGGGCGATTCTGCTGATTTCTCCTCCTCCCTAATCTTCAAAGATTCTGGCAGCTAAAAGATCTAATTCCATTTAAGATAGTAGAACATTTTGTGCTCTTGAAAACTCCCAGAGCTTTCCTGATCGTTTCACACAGCAGCTTGATAGCAAGCCAGTTCTCTTTTGTAAGGCTGTAGACTCTGTGTGGATAGTGTCCATATATAGATTAATCACTAGGTGGCACTAGACTCAGCTGTACAGGGGTGGAGCCAGGAATTTCCTGTTGCTGTTCCGTTCTTGCTGGAAAGAGACAATAAAGTTCTTGTTTACCCTCTTGGCTTGGGTGTTCCGTAAGCCTTCCACAACAGTGGCTACTACTACTAACACTGCCTCTCTTTCTTAACGTTTTAGAGCAGAAAACGTTTACGGTGGAAGAAGCTGTAGAAACGATTGGCTTTGGGAGGTTTCACATTGCACTCTTTTTGATCATGGGCAGCACTGGTGTAAGTTTCTGATTCTGAAAATATTCATCTATGTGTAACATTTTGAAAGAACAGTTTTATAAAGCATACGGATTTGAGAGGTGGTTTTTGACCACTTACCTTTAAGAACATTACTCATGTGTGAGAGCAGAACATTTAAACTTAAAACAATTAGTTAGCCAATTTCAAAATGCCATCCCTTGCATCATCAACAACATCATCATCATTTTATTTATACCCTGCCCATCTGACTGGGTTGCCTCATCCACTCTGGGCAGCTTACAGCATATTAAAAATATATAATGAAACATTAACTTCCAGATACAGGGCTGCCTTGTATGTCTTTTAAAAGTTGTGTCATTCTTTATCTTCTTGACAACTGAAGGGAGGGTGTTCCATAGGGAGGGTGCCACTACTGAGAAGGCCCTGTGCCTGGCATTGAAGTGGAAACTTTGGGACTAGGCTATGCAGCTTTATTGCAAATTATCCAGCCTGAGGATTCCAGCAGTAACAGTAACAGAAACAAGGCAGGCAAATTCTACTTCTAGATTATAAAATACATAGTCGAGTTCAAAAATGGAGTCTCTACTTGAGTGGGGACCAGAGAGATTTCCGTCTGCCGCAGAATCATGGTGGAAAAGGGGCTGAGTTTTGAGGCAAGGGGAAGTAAGAAAGGATTAAACCCTTTTGCCTTTTCCCCACCAGAGAATTCAAGGGAAGTGACCTCACACAGTGCCTTCTCTAATAATCAGGAACTCTGAGTCTTAACCCCTTCATATACTTATTTAGCAAACATGCATTTTTAGATTTTGACTGCAAATCCCCACAATTTACATACTGAGGTTTCTTTTCAGTGGCTAGGTCAGTACAGATCATTTGTTTTCCCCCACCCCACTAGATCTCATCTGATCAACATATATCTAAAAGAACAAACAACCCTACCTTTTGAATTACAGGAAAACACACAGTTGCAGAGTCAGTAACCCAACCTACAGAAGTAGAGTACAGTGGTACCTCGGGTTAAGTACTTAATTCGTTCCGGAGGTCTGTTCTTAACCTGAAACTGTTCTTAACCTGAAGCACCACATTAGCTAATGGTGCCTCCTGCTGCTGCACCGCCGCTGGAGCACGATTTCTGTTCTCATCCTGAAGCAAAGTTCTTAACCCAAGGTACTATTTCTGGGTTAATGGAGTCTGTAACCTGAAGCGTATGTAACCCGAGGTACCACTGTATAGCCCTCCATGCCATGTGACAATTGCAGCGTTCTCCAATCTGCTGCCTTCTCTCGGATGTTGTTGGACTGCAACTCCCATCATCCCTGACCATTGGCCATGCTCCTTGAGACTGATGAAAGTTGGAGTCCAACAAGAAATGAAGAGCACCAGCTTTGGGAAGGCTGTGATAGGAGATGGTCTCACGCAGAGCATCTTAGTGTGTGCCACAGTCCTGTGCTGCCAGCCAGGGCAGAGCTCAGTGAAGGGAGAAGCCAGCCAACTAGCTGAGTCTCAGGGGTTTACTTGCCTGAAGGCAGAGTCCGTATACAAGATTCAGTCCAGTTCTAAGGTCAGGAGGATCTCAGCTCACATAGTCAGATGATCTGGGGGTCAAGAAAGCCGAGGGTCCAAGGTCACGAGAAGCAAGAAGCAGCAAGGTCTGGTCAGGAAGGACAAATCTTGTTTCCAGCAACTGAGTAAGGCTGGAAACCCTGCTGTAGAAAGCTGGAGCCAGCTGGTTCTCATCAGGAACAAGAAGGCTGATCAGTAGCAGGTGGAGTCACTTTGCCTTCTCCTTCAAGTGAAGCTGACTTTTGGCCCATGGCAGTATGAGAACTTGGGGGATGATAAGCAAGTCCTTGTTTTTATTGTCTGTGAAATGGTGGAAGGTTTGCCTATGTACCGTACTTTTCCCTGTATAAGACTATGTTTTTTTATGTAAAAATTATGCTAAAAATTGTGGGTCGTCTTATAAATGGATAGTGGACGCTTGATTGGTTGCTTCTGTGGCTGTCAGTGGCTCTTGGGCGTGTTATTGGTTGCTGCATCAAGGTCTGGTGCTGATTGGCTGACACTGCGACAATTGGACTGGCAATTGGCAGCTTCTGCCGGTGAGGGGACAGATGAGAGGCGGGTTTTGCGCTGCGTGCGGGTGAGCGATTTTTGGCAACCCCCCTCCAAAAAATGCTCAACAACTCTGAGCCATCTCTTAAATTCTTAAATTTGAGTCCCCCAAAATAGGGGGCTTCTTATACATGGGGGCGTCTTATATACGAAAAAATACAGTAACTGCTTATCCCTAAAGGTGGCTGAGGCCATGGAGATAATGCTGATCGCCGTGGTGGGTCCTGTCATCCGCTGCGAGTGGCAACTTGGAAACTGGCAAGTGGCTTTAGTGACAACAGTGAGTAGAGTTTCTAACTTTTCTTTTAGGTTGATAAAGGTGGGGAAAGAAGCTGTAGAAAAAGCATTTCCCTCTACTGAATAGCCATTGTATTTTTAACCATCTAGGTAGGAACGTTTGTGTTGTCTCTTCCCTGTCCCTGTGTATTTTGATATGTCAATAATAACATCCTTTCTGGTCCAATTCTCACATTATGCTCTAGGGAGGGAGAGAAAAAAATATTTCGGTTCACAGTATGCAAACTGAAATGCAGTTATCCTTTGCACTTCTCCAAATATTGCAATTTAGTTCTCGAAGCAAGTAATGCGCAGAAAAATGCATATAGCAGTTATAGTGTGTGTGTGTGTGTGTGTGTGTGTGTAACATTTCTGCAAACAATTTTCCCTACTACAGAACATTTTGCACACAGTTTTTCCCTAATACAAAGTGCATTGTATTAGGGAAAATTGTTTGCAGAAATGTTTGTATTAGGAGAAAATAGCGCTAAAATGCTGATAAACCTTCACGATAACGTTTTACAAAAGGAATTGTAGTCACAATTAATTCTTTTGGTTATGCAGTACACTGGACAATTTACATATACTAATTGGAAAATTGATTAAGTGATTATGTGATTGGAAATTTGATTAACTGATTAAATGAGTGTTCAGTATGTGCATTATGGTTTAGTAGAATATGGAAGAATTTGCTGGGAAGTTTAATTATATGGATATGAATACAAAGGGGAAATCTGTCTTTCTTACAATGCGACAGAAAAAAGATTAAAAGTTGGATAGAGGAGAGTATGAGAATATACAGGTGGCAATGGAGGATATAAATGACATTTTCTCTAATGAATGAAAAACTATGAAGACTGGAGAGAGGAAAAAGAATTTTAAGAGAAAATAAGCTAGAGAAGCTGAGAAATCTAAGCAAGGAGAGGAGAGCATTAAGGAGCTATTTCATGAAAGAGATTCAAGATTAATGGAAAAATTAATGAAGTATCAGAAGCAATTAAAAGCGATGATAAAAAGTTCAAGAGGCTCAGAAAGAGGGTCAGACACAAGAGGAAGCAGGGAGAAAATTAAGGAAGTGATTGATTAGGATGCAATAACTGGTTGAGAGATTGCTATTGAACAACACCTACGCAGACGTGATGTTAGTAAATTACAGGCAAAGGCTGAATTGATACATTTACAATTAAGACAGATGAATTTGAAGCTGAGAGGAGTTCTGGACGGGAATGGTTTGGTTGGTTGGAGGCAATATTCAGGGGGTTCTTAGAAATAGATGAGGGTTGCAAAACTGGGACTGAAAGGGCATCTAAGATGAACTCAAGACATGCAAAAAGAACAAGCTGGTTAGATGGCAGGTGCTGGGTGGATAGAGAGCGTTAAAGTAAAGAATGCATCATTAAAGAAAAGAAGAACAGGAACAGCATTAAAAACCAGCAGTCATAACACTGAAGTACTTGCAAATACAGTCGTACCTTGGAAGTCGGACAGAATCCGTTCTGGAAGTCCATTCAACTTCCAAAACATTCGAAAACCAAATCACAGCTTCTGATCGGCTGCAGGAAGCTCCTGCAGCCAATCGGAAGCCATGGAAGCCTCGTGGACATTCGGGTTCCAAAAGAATGTTCGCAAACCGGAACACTCATTTCTGGGTTTGTGGCATTTGGGAACCAAAACGTCCGAGTTCCAGAGCGTTCAGGATCCAAGGTACAACTGTATAAGTTCAGAGTTAAGATTTCTAACAATATGCTTGAGACAGAAAACCCATCCTAGATGGCACTCTCCCGTTTGTCTGAATGCCCAACAATTTAACAAAATTCATTTATTTCCAATCTCTTCAGATGGTGTTTTTTGGCTATATGATATCCAGTGTCATCTTTGGAGTTCTAGCTGATCGATACGGCCGCTGGAAAGTAAGTGATGCTCTGTCTTGGTTGGGTCTCCAATTTAAAGTTGCCACTACCTTTTATTGCTTCTGTGTTTTTAACACCAGCCTGACATGTAGGGATGTAGCAGGATACGTTTCTCCCAACCAACATAGGAAGTAAGTTATTTATTTTGCAATCCTTTTTTACACCATATCAGACCGAGATTTTTTTCATGCTATGCTGTCTAGGATCACTATAACTGGGGATCCCAGGGATTGCACCTGGGGCCTTCTGCAGCCAAAACATGTGATGTAATAGTAGTAGTAGTAGTAGTAGTAGTAGTAGTAGTAAATATATTACTTACTTACTTACTTACTTACTTACTTACTTACACCCCACCCATCTGGCTAGGCTCCCAACAGAATATTAAAAACACGATAAAACATCAAACATTAAAAACTTCTCTAAACAGGGCTGCCTTCAGATGTCTTCTAAAAGTCAGATAGTTGTTTATTTTCTTGACATCTGATGGGAGGGTGTTCCACAGGGTGGGCGCCACCACCGAGAAGGCCCTCTGCCTGGTTCCCTGTAACCTCACTTCTCGTAGTGAGGGAATAGTATAAGGAAGTACAGCACCCACATAATTTGCTGCAAGTATGATCAGTTCTTTCCACACACACTAATAATAATAATAATAATAAATAATTTTATTATTTGTACTGAGCTCATCTGACTGGGTTGCACCAGCCACTCTGGACGGCTTCCAGTATATATATTGGAACATAATAAAACCTTAAACGTTAAAAAAAAAACTTCTCTACACAGGGCTGCCTTCCGATGTTTTCTAAATAGCCCCATGGATATTGTAGAACTGGAAATGTTGAACAATGGATGGGTGGCCCTAGGCAACATTAAATCAACACAGTTCAATACTGTCTCAGCAGCCAGTGTGGAGTTTTGCTTGGGTGTCAGCTGACCTCCTTTCTCTGTCTGCCCTTTCAGATTTTGTTCATCTCTTTCATTTGGGGAGCCTATTTCTCCTTGCTGACATCGTTTTCCCCTTCATACATCTGGTTCGTCTTCCTCCGGACCATGGTGGGATGCGGAGTCTCTGGCCATGCTCAAGGGTAATGTTGTGTTGCAAACAGCACGGGAGTAGGAGCATCAGCAGATGACAGCTGAGAACGCCACATCAGGAAGACAGATAATCCATATCAATACGCACTTGCTGATCACTCAGTTTTGTGGTTAGGGAGGTGCTTCTGGTTCTGCAGCTGCTCTGGGAAACTCAGGTTGCAGTGAGGCACAAACTACCTTGTACTGAGGGCTTATCCACACTTCCTCTCATCCTGCTGCTTTCTCCCAGGGAAAACTGCTCTTTAGTGCTCAATCGGAGCAATGGCAATTGGGTTTTCTGTGGATTGCCATTTGTTCCGATTTAAACTAAAGAGCAGGTTTTTCTTGGGAAAGGAGTGGGGCAAAGGGAAAACCATGCAGACCCATGCCTTCTGGACACAGGACAAGTGATAGGGTTAGGGTTAGTAGTGCCTATACTGACTGGCAGCAGCTCTCCAGGGTTTCAGAGATGCGTGGGATAGAATGGGGAACCTTCTGCATGCAAGGCAGATCTCTACCACTGAGCTATGGCTCTTCCCCCATATCATCTCTCTGTGAATTTTTGGTGCATTCGGTAATTCATATACAGGTTTGCCCTGGGCAAAGTGTCCTCTGGTGTACTGTAACAGAGATGGATTTAGGGGAGCACCTCGGGTTTGGTTACATTGGGTGCAGGGCATCAGGGATGCTGCAGCTAAGATGTCGAATGGAATGCAAGAGGTGGGGGCACCAAATTTTGGCGGTGCACAGGGTGCCACTGAAATTTGAGACCCTGAGGTCCATTCCTGGCCGTGATGGACTTTCTGGCTATACTGGAAGCTCTAACGACAGGGCTTGAGTAGGTCTAGCCATCTTTAAATTTGCACAACGCCCCAGACTGATAGGGGCACTGTAGATGCAGTAAGATATTAGGTTGGGGGTAAATTGAAAGGAGGGCTAGGTTGAGCTACCAGGCACTGCTCTGAGTGCTGGGTCAAATTTTTTTTTTTAAGTGGGTGAGGGTCCAGGGAGCAGACATCAGCAGCAGGCCAAGTCAGCTGCCCAAGAACGCCTGGAGTGATGCTGGCTATCTTCCTATACATATCTAGCTATTGTGTACCAAGCGAGCAGAATGCAGGAACAAGCGCTGCCAGTCACAGAATCACAACTTGGGCCAGCTGGAACTATGCAAATAAACTTGTATATGGCTTATATATTTTTTTGTCTCTGTATAACTTTTTTTTTTTTTTGCTTTCTTCTTCTTCTTCTTCTTCTTCTTTAGGCTTATAATAAAAACAGAATTTCTGCCAACAAAATACCGAGGCTATATGTTACCGTTATCACAGGTAAGCTAGAAGTTACGCTCACTGAAAAACAAAATGTGGAAATTGCTGCAAGTTTGTTTTGGCTCAGTCTGGCTCACAGCTGTGCTGTCTGGGTGACTGCAGGTATATTTGCATCTATGGTTTTCTTCAGGTGTGTCACATGAGGCCGGTTTTTGAACATGCGCACCAGCTCAAATTTGAAAGACTCAATATGAAAAAAAACACCTCAGGATTTTCTGTGTTTTCTATAAGGCTTCCAAATGCCCCAGAATTGCACAATTTCCTACTTCTGTCTGTGAAATATCTCCATCGTCTATCTGTGTTGCTACCCTTTGCATCATGAAATGTGTGCACCTTTATCCAGGGAATAAATTTATTCTCCAATAAATTGGATGCTCCATATATCACATTCTGAGAAAGTCTGGCAGCTGACATTCAACCTTCCAGGGCCAAGTTGATGAGTACATTGCTTACTTTATCAAAATCCGTATTGACAGTTTCCCAGTCGGAAGCCAGAGCGCATAACTAAATCTCTTTGCTTAATAATATTTTATGTGGCAACAGCAGCTTGAAGGAAATCATGAATGCTGATGTGACTGTGTGGAGAGGAACGGCTGCTAAAACAAATAATGAGAAGAAAATCCCATCACCTTGTGTTTTAACCTCTGTTTTCCCCCCATTTGACAGGTGTTTTGGTTGGCAGGCTCCTTATTAATTATTGGACTGGCGTCAGTGGTTAACCCAACCATTGGGTGGCGGTGGCTAATACGAATTGCCTCTCTGCCGGGCATTGTTCTCCTCCTAGCATTTAAGGTTTGGAAGACTTACAACCAAGTTACTAGTATACAGAGTTACATTCTGCTGTGGGCTAAGTCATGTAAAATGCCTGAACATACTTGCTGATCTGATCAGTCTTTGGCCGCGTCCAGTCAGACAAACCTATGTGGTCTGGCAATTGTGGATATAGATAGCGGCAATTTCCATGATCATAGCAGCACATTTCCCAGGATGTCTTCTGACTAATTAGGGGTGGTCCACGCTCGTCCCCATGTGCACCTGCCCTAGGATGGCTCACGTGGACGGAAAAAGTGTGGTGTGAATTGACCAACACAGTGTCTTTGTATTAATGTTGCTGTGAGTTCTATAAGCTTGCAAGAGTAAGTAAAATCTGCTCTTTATGTTAGTAAGACCTTGGCAGGAAGGCTGTAACATGCAAGGTGATGCTAGAAGCTCTGCCACTTAACTTTTCTAACCTGTTTGCCTTTGCAGTTTATCCCCGAGTCTGCTCGCTATAATGTGTCTTGCGGGAATGACAAAGCTGCTCTTGCAACGCTGCAGTGGATTGCTAAGATGAACCGATCTGTTATGCCTGAAGGAAAGTTGGTAGAACCCACTGATGTAAGATTCAGAATACTGCCATTGTACAGAGTGATCAGATGACAAAAAACAAGGAGCTCCTCTCAGTCCTCAACCCTTTCATGCCCTCCTTCCTTACTTGGATAGGTTAACACAGTTAACCTACTTTGCAGTACAGTGGTACCTTGGGTTAAGTACGGTACTTAATTCATTCCGGAGGTCCGTTCTTAACCTGAAACTGTTCTTAACTTGAAGCACCACTTTAGCTAATGGGGCCTCCTGCTGCCGCCGCGTGATTTCTGTTCTCATCCTGAAGCAAAGTTCTTAACCCGAGGTACTATTTTTGGGTTAGCGGAGTCTGTAACCTGAAGCATATGTAACCCGAGGTACCACTGTACTGGATACGGTTATCTGAGGGTGGGAAAACCAGCCATGCATGCCAGCTCCTGTTCTAAATGCGAACACACAGAAGCAATCTGTATGCTTACAAGGAAGAGGGTGAGGGAAGGAAAAACATGGAATGTCAGCAGCTTCACATATCCTCTAAGCCAGCTTTTGGCAACCTGATGCCCTCCAGACTCTTTGGGCTATAACTCCCATCAGCCCTAACTAGCGTGGGCAGAGCTGCTGTGAGTTGTAGTTCAAAGCATCTGGAGTGAAGGCTATGCAAAATGTGTGGCTGGACCATGCTAGTCCTCATTGTCCATCCACTGAAAGATGTGGTTTGTTTTTGTTTTTGAAAATAGATGGGGGGAAATTGACCCACAAGCTGCATGCCGGCCACACCATAATTTCATGAGGCCCACAGAGATGCCGTATCCAAGAGTATGGGAAAGGGGAATGGGAAGGCAGAGAGAGAGGGAGAGAATCCTGCAAACTTGTGGCCTTCGGTTCTGGCTTCGCACACTTTTGGCTCTAGCCCAGCTTGCCAACTACCATTGGCTGCAGCACACAATGGACTTCTCACTTAAATCGGTGGCATTCTTTGGGAGCGGGGGAAAGGTTCCTACTGCTGATTTAGGGCAATTTCATTGGTTCTTAGTTTTGTTTAGCTTTATTCCGGGTGCTCACAGACAGGGCACAGAGATGATGTCCTTCCCCTGTATCAGGGCCAGTCCCAGATGGGGAAGAAGCACAAGAGAAACACAGCAGCTTCCCTGGTGCTCCACAAACACGCATACGCTTCTACAGGGCCAGTGTGGTGTAGTGGTTAAGAGTGGTGGACTCGTAATCTGGTGAACCGGGTTCGCTTCCCCGCTCCTCCACATGCAGCTGCTGGGTGACCTTGGGCCAGTCACACTTCTCTGAAGTCTCTCAGCCTCACTCACCTCACAGAGCGTTTGTTGTGAGGGAGGAAGGGGAAAAGAGATTGTTAGCCACTTTGAGACTCCTTCGGGTAGTGAGAAAGCGGGATATCAAATCCAAAATCCTCTTCTACTACTACTTCTAGCCTTTAGGCAGCGGCCCACAGGTCTGAGCCCTACAGAGCAGTTGCAGCAACAGTAGGGCCCCTCCCCTCTTCTGGCTTACATGCTTTCCTCTGAGACTTCTCCTGCAGGGAAGTCATTGCTGCTCTTCCCTTTTCAAGCCCCTCCTAGTTCTAGGAGGTGGTGGGACCTGTCTCTCGCCTGAACCATCCCTTCTTCCTCCATCATGTCCTGTGTGCCTTACTCAAACTGTCCTGACTCTCCCTTCTCCTCTGGCTCCTGCCTTGCACATCCCATAAATCACTGGTCCCCTTGCCTGGGTCTCTTGCCTCCACCACAAACTCTTCACAGCCTTACCATTCCCTGACACCCTGCCATTTGTCTCCAGCACCTGGTATACAAAAGTATGCTACCTCTGTATATTTTGTTGTCATGGCTAATTGCTGTTAACAGATCCATCCTCCACGAACCTTTCCACTTTGCTAGATGACATGGACTCTACTCCTGAAACTGCCTCCAAGCTTGGGCCTTCAGAATTGCAGACTTCAGGGCTTCAGCCGCACATTCCCAATGTGTTTCATGCTGTTCCTTTTCCATTCTTTTCAGGAAAGAAGGGGTAGGTTAAAAGACCTAATGGATCCCAAGTACTTACGGACAACTTTGCAAATATGGATTATATGGTAAATGTGTTTGATTTGCTTCTTTCAGATGACAATGCATAAGCAAATTGAAATCGATGGAATCGGTCAAGGGAGTAAGCTCAGATGCAGCCTATGGATCAAAGCTATTATTCAGAAACTAGTCAGTCAGAATGGGAGAAAATTGGTTATGGTAATTGAACTCACAATTCCCTTTTTTCCCCATTTCATGAAAAGGACTATATTCTGCCAGCTGCCTCTGTGTTGCAGGCAGAGGGACCAGAATAGCAGCTAATGACATTCCGCTTAAAATCTATTGCTCTCTCTCTCTTTTATAATTTGGGAAAGTAAACGTGGATAAAAGATGAATACAAAACAGATTATAAGACTGTATGAGAAGCACTTGTATATGTCTAGATCCTTTGAAATGGTGCTATTGTATAGAATTACAGTGCAACCGCTGCTTGCCAGAAATTCAGTCCATGATCTTACTTTGTTGGACATGTCATTTAGCTGTTTAAACATGCCCACATGCCCACACACTCTGAATTCTGCTAAACGCATTGTTATAGCTGTGAGACATAGTGGTACGTACACAGCAAACCTGTCCATGCATTTGTGGCATAATGAGCTTGCTTTCTCTTGCAGTGTTGCAACCTGTCATCGGACTCCCAGTCCCTTCATTGCTCAAGTTGGGGTTTTTTGCTCATCTGTCTAAAAAGTGGCTCATGGGTTCAAGGTGGAGGGAACTAGAATTTAGGGATTTAGTCTTGGTAGAATCCCCAGTACATGCTAGCATGTGAACAGAACCTTTGCCAATCTGGCCATATGTTCAAAATTCTGCTCCAATAGACTATTCAATGTCCAGTGATCAAGACATTTAGCGCTATGTGTTATCCAGTCTTCATGTAGAAGTGTAAACCTGTAAGAGAGTTATATGTCCATGCATAGATAGATTCACATACACAGACACTGCATGTAACATTTCACCTTTACCCAGGAGGGAATTTCATAGAACCATAGAATTGTAATAAATGGGGAGCTGCCACAGAGAAGGCCCTGCTTTGGCCCTGCCCCCTGGACCACACCCATCAGCAGAACCACCAGCAAGACTCCCCCTCCCCACATGGATCTTAAGGCCAGAGCTAGTTGATATTGGGGGAGGCAATTTTCAAAGTGCTTTGGCCCCAGAGCATTTGTACATCTTGAATTGCACCTGGTAGCTCATGAATAGTCAGAACAATGTTTCTTAAGATTGGTAGCGCATGGGCCCAACCTGCTGCCCCACTCAGCAGCTGCATTTTACACCAGCTGTAGCTTCCAGATTATGTTTGTGGGCAGGCCCACACAGAGTAAATGGCAGTGCTTCAAGAGGGATGTCACCAGAACATGACGCCAGGCTGTCCAGGAATGGCCATAGCTAGCAAAACCGGCTGGAGATGGATGTAAGCACTTCCTGACACCCAAACCACTTGGTCCTCGACTGACAGATTTTAACTGAGGAGCATTCTCAGGCTACATATCTGTTCCTTTAGGCCATAGGGAGTGCAACAGGTTGCCCTCCTGATTCCTGGGCAGGAGAACCAGCCACCCAGAATATGTCTGTCTCATCCAGCCCATCCTGCCTTCAGGCCGCTAGCACATTCAAAGCCTTGTGCAAGCAAGGAGCAGGGAAGGGCAACATGCCTCTGGGTGTTTGGATGTTGCTTTCCCCTCCTTTTGAAACTGCAGGTTTTTTCATTAATCCTGCCAATGTCTTAATCTGTTTACAATTGCTTTGCAAATACTCAATAAACCATTTCTATTCCTTTCTAAAAATAAATAAATGTTATCTTGATTTCTTATTCTCTCGATATAAATTTTAAAAAATAAAAAAAACTGTCCAGTAGCACCTTAGAGACCAACTAAGTTTGTTCTGGGTATAAGCTTTTGTGTGCATGCACACTTCTTCAGATGTTCAGATTATTTTCCTGGTTAGTTTCACCATTTCTGCGTAGTCCATTAACTTCTGTATCTATTCTTCTCTCATTGGGACCTCTTCTTCCTTCCATTTTTGGACAAATAACATTCTTGCAGCAGTGGTTGCATACATAAATAAATTTCTACACTGTTTAGGTAGTTCTGATCCCATAATTCCCAAAAGAAAAGCTTCTGGGTTTTTTTAAATAAATGTTATCTCAAACATCTTTTTCAGTTCATTATCATTTCCCAGTAAGCTTTAACCTTATTACAATTACAATGAAAAGGGTACCTTCTTTCTCTTTACATTTCCAGCACATATTTGATTTGGATTTATACATTTTTGCCAATCTACTAGGTGTTAGTTACAATCTATAAAACATTTTCATATACCTTATTTTTCGCTCTATGAGATGCACCCAACCATAAGACGCACCTAGTTTTAAAGGAGGAGAACAAGAAAAAAAATATTCTCTCCCTCTCTGCGCAGTGCCTCTCCAGCAAAGCGGGAGGAGAAATGGAAGGGGCTCCGTTTCTTCTGCTGCTTTGCTGAAGGGGTGCTGCACAGCTTTCCCTCTCTCCAGCGAAGCAAAGTCAGAACAGCAAGAGGGATCACTGCACAGCGAAAGCAGCGATCCCTCTTGCTGTTCTGGCTTCAGGAATAGCTGCGCAGCCTGCATTTGCTCCATAAGATGCACACACATTTCCCCTTACTTTTTAGGAGGGGAAAAGTGTGTCTTATAGAGCGAAAAGTACGGTAGTTTTCTCTTAAACTATAACATGCTGTAAATTTTATATCCACGTTCCATAAACATTCCCATTCTTCCATTTCTATTATGACCAATATCTATTGCCCAGTGTATCATTGAAGATTTCACTTGTTCATCCTTTGTCTCCCATTCCAATCACATATTATACATTTTAGACATCACTTTAACAGGTCTCTTTCTAGTTGTGATGTTTGTTCCCCAAACCCCCACTTCATATCCTTTTAAAATACTTCATTCAGGTGGTGATATTGAGCATCCGTGAGATATTCACTACGTTGAAGAATTTAACATTTCGGCATCTACTTCAATGAAACTAGGATTTATTTGTAATTGTTGAAAAGTGCTCCAGAGGTGTAATTTAATAGCAGGCCTTGTTTCCATATTGTAGCACAGAGCTGTTTTATGAATTGCAATTATTTTCAGATCCCACAGTAGTTAAGCTCTGTGTGTTATTAACTGGCTGAATTGCTGTCGCCAATGCCCTCGGTTGCTCTCCTTTCTAACATTTCCCCCTCTTTTTCATAGGCTTGGGATATCCTTTGCTTATTATGGTATCATCCTGGCCAGCGCAGAGTTGCTGGAGAAGAATCTGGTTTGTTCCACAGGGGGAGGAGGAACCAGCAAAGGGGATGAGTTGGGGGATTATTCCGAGGAGACTCACAGCCCGTGCCTCTGTCATCACTTCGCCCCGTCCGATTACCAGATCATGATCATCAGCACAATTGGAGAGATCGCATGTAACTTCTCCTGCTCTATCTGTTTATAAACAGGGTGTGGGTAAATCTCTAAAGCAGAGGCAGGGAAGCTGTGGCCCTCCAGATAATACTGGACTCCAGCTCCCATCAGCCCCAGCCAGAATGGCCAGCAATCAGGAACGATGGGAGTTGTGGTCCAACAGTATCTGGAGGGCTACATCTTCCCCACCTCTGTTCTAAAGGTCACAGAACAGGAGCCACAGACCCACACAAAGGAATCTTAGGAAGTGTACTGGGAGGGCTAATTTACTTTTTATTTTCACTAGTTATAATCATTGCAATGCTTAAAAGGCTGGCTGTGTGATTAAGTTGTGGCCATTTTTAATCCAGAGCATTGTTGGTTTAAGTCTGTACTGTCCCACCTCACACATTATTAGGCCAGAGACACTGTGACTGGGACCATGTCTGCATTTCCCTTCTCAATGCGCTCTCAAGAAAATAAATCTGTGGCCCTTTTGTCACTTTTCCTTTCCCCGCATTAACTCCGGTAATGTGTCCAAAACATTCCCAGTAATCACAGAGAAGTAATAAAGCAAGTAGCTGTTGAAAGTGTCTCCCCTGAGGCTGGAGTGGGGCAGGTATAAACACAGCATAATAGCTCAGTCGGGTCATCTGATTCTACAGCCTGACGTTCTCCCCTTTCTTCTTTTCCAGTAAATCCTCTAAACATTCTGGGCATCAATTTTCTGGGAAGGCGTCTCAGCCTGACAATCACCATGGGATGCACTGCCGTCTTCTTCCTCCTGCTCAATATATGCACTTCAACGTAAGTGTTTTCGGGTGGGCTGTGTGTGGGCAAAGTAAGATTGAAACAGTCCTGTTTGCACTGCACCTCACACCTTTCCTGCACCGGTGATGTCTACACTCTGTGTGCTAGTTGGTTAACTCTGAAAATGCAACTCACTTTCATCCCTCCCTACCAGAATGGCCATTCCTGTTTCAGGAACTACACTCTTCCTAGTTTGTCAGGGTTAAAGATGGCAAGAGCTATCTGCAGTGCGGATGCTTCCGGCACCTGCAGAAACTCAGCAATGTGCTTCCTTATCAACATTGCATGCCGCAGAAAGCTTGATCCAGAACAGCCACTGCCAACCTGATGCCCTGCAGATGTATTTGACTGCAGCGCTCATCAGACCCAGAGGGCATGAGTTTGGCAAAAGCTGATCTAGAACTTTAGCAGACTCCAGCTGACTGTAACTGGCATCTTGAGGGTTGCAGGAGGTCACCAAACAGGGGGAATCCTGGAGTTGGTGCACCTACAAATGTGACAGAACTATAATTCATGGGGGAAACTCAGGGTTCTCAATGCTAATGTAGGAGAGGATTTGCAGAGGAGATTCAGCAGGCAGGAGAGAGTTCTTAGCCCTTGCGGTCCTGCCAATTCTCCCCTGCACAGCAGCCCCTCAGTTGTTTTTAGTTAAATTTCTCCCCAGTTAACTTCTGAAACCAGAAGTAAGCCTAGACAGGGGCATGGAATGACCTTGGGGGACATTTGCTTAGGAAAACCAGCACATTTGGAAGAAGTTAAGAACCCCTCCTTCCCACAGCCTTTCCCTATAACTAGCAATGGGCCTATCTGTCAATCTTTGCTTCTCTCAGCTTCTCATTTTTTCTTCAGTTTGGTTCTCTGCACATCTCTATATCGGATTGTGATTAAAAACAACTGCTCATGAAAATTCACCAGCTTTTGAGTGCACATTTCTCCCAACAGACATAGCTTTGCAAGCACTTTTGTCTGTTGTTTTCACCAATTATATGCACTTTACTCTAAAGCACATTTAATCCCAATAAACACATTTTTGTACACATTACTTGATTGACATCACATTTCTCCTTCTCTTCCACTGAATTTCTCCTTCCTTACCTGTGGGGAAGAAACTAAGGTAGGGAGAAGGCCTGGTGGTATGACCGGAAAGGACCAAAGTTGCCACGTATATACAAATGAGTGCAGGTGTGGACACCTCCGGTCATGTTCAAATAATGCTCAAAAGTGGGCAAGCCTTTATAGTAAAGGCCTCTTGCACCTCCATTAGCTCAACAAAATATGGTTTGGAAACTTTCATTTGCCAGATAACGTCCAGTTTTGCCTTTTAATAAATATACATTACAGTTCCCAAAGCAAAGGCGGGGGGACATGGGTGGTGCTATGGTCTAAACCACAGAGCCTAGAGCTTGCTGATCATAAGGTTGGCAGTTCGAATCCCCGCGACGGGGTGAGCTCCCGTTGTTCAGTCCCTCCTCCTGCCAAGCTAGCAGTTCGAAAGCACGCCAGTGCAAGTAGATAAATAGGTACCACTCCGGCGGGAAGGTAAACGGCGTTTCCGTGTGCTGCTCTGGTTTGCCAGCAGCAGCTTAGTCATGCTGGCCACATGACCCAGAAGCTGTACCCTGGCTCCCTCAGCCTATAGAGCGAGATGAGCGCCGCAACCCCAGAGTCGTCCGCGACTGGACCCTAACAGTCAGGGGTACCTTTACATGCAATGTCTAGGAAGCTTATAGCTTCTCTGTTTACTCTAGGCAGTGAGCCTAAACTATGGGCTGAGTCAATATGGCCACTCTAATGTAAAAATTATGTGACGAAGCAGCGTGAACTTCAAACCAGTTTTGCTTCAGCATGCAGCTCCTGGCAATGAATGGTGTTTGTGCCAGTAGAGGATGTTTGAGGATGCCAGGGTGAACAAAGTGTACCAGCTGATTAATACCAAGACTTTAATCTTGGTTAATTGCTTGACTTACATAAGCTTGCAATAAACCTCTGTGTTATTATGAGAGAGAGAGAGAGAGAGAGAGAGAGAGAGAGAGAGAATATGTCACACACAAAAATGAATTATGTTGCTTCAGTGGTGCAGATGAGTCAGGTATCTATATCTATATATATGCAGAGCTAGAGCTGGAGATATATAGCTATATACTGGTTTTCTGCTTCTTCTAAGGAGAGGGTTGAATAATTGCATTGGGCATCAAAGCTTTTGTTGTTGTTGTTGTTGTTGTTGTTGTTTAGTCGTGTCTGACTCTTCGTGACCCCATGGACCAGAGCACGCCAGGCACTCCTCTCTTCCACTGCCTCCCGCAGTTTGGTCAAACTCATGCTGGTAGCTTCGAGAACACTGTCCAACCATCTCGTCCTCTGTTGTCCCCTTCTCCTTGTGCCCTCCATCTTTCCCAACATCAGGGTCTTTTCCAGGGAGTCTTCTCTTCTCATGAGGTGGCCAAAGTATTGGAGCCTCAGCTTCAGGATCTGTCCTTCCAGTGAGCACTCAGGGCTGATTTCCTTAAGAATGGATAGGTTTGATCTTCTTGCAGTCCATGAGACTCTCAAGAGTTTTCTCCAGCACCATCATTCAAAAGCATCAATTCTTTGGCGATCAGCCTTCTTTATGGTCCAGCTCTCAATTCCATACATCACTACTGGGAAAACCATAGCTGACATCAAAGCTTTACCGCCCTGAAACTCTTCAGCCCATGCAGTATCTACTACCCCTCCCCTAACACCCCATACATTATATGCTAGGAGTTCTGGGAATGATTTGGGATGCAGGATAGGTCATATTTGGTGGAGGGGCCAGGGCAGCAGCAAATGCCCATCTGCTAGAATAGCTTTTTTTGTTTTGTTTTATGCGCTGTCTGCAAATGTATGCGTCTCTTGTGACTTGGCTCATTCAAACCAGTCGGATTGCATTGGCGCTTGGAACATCCAGGTCTTTGTTCTAGAGTTTAGGCACACGGTGAGCACATTGGAATGCACTCCGCCAGGAAATTAGGGTGGTGCCAAGCGTTTGTTCTTTTAGGAAGCCCTTTCCAAGGTTTGTTTATTTTTTTATGTAACCAGGATTTTTCAGGATAGCATTGTTAGATATAGCTCTTGCCGCTTTTACAGCAGGATTTCACGTTTTGTTTTTTTTAACATTTTTTAAAAAGAACAATAAACTCTAGGTGAGGACAGAATGTATCTTCTGGAAACTCCTGAGAAGATGCCACATTTATGTTGATAGGGTAAAAGGCCATTGCTCAGAGCAGAACATCCGTTTTGTATGCTGTAGGTTCATGGCTTCAATTCCCAGCACCCTAGGTAGAGCTGGGAGAGGATCCTGTCTCAAAACAGCCATTGCCAGTCCCTGTAGTAGAGCCTTGTGTAGGCAATACCGAGCAATAGACAAATGTTCTGACTCATTATAAGGCATCTAATTGAACCCAGTTATTTTATTGAGACCCTTACACATTCTAGTAGTATATGGCCAGGGATGTGTGTGATTGGCTAAGATTGGATAAGACTGCAAGCTACATATTTATTTATTTAAACCAGGCTTCCTCAAACTTGGCCCTCCAGATGTTTTGGGCCTACAACTCCCATGATCCCGAGCTAGCAGGACCAGTGGTCAGGGATGTTGGGAATTGTAGTCTTAAAAGATCTGGAGGGCCGCGTTTGAGGAAGCCTGATATAAACTATTTATATACCAACCTTCCATTTAAAAGCGCCACAGGCAGCTTAGATCATATTAAAACAGAGAAGTTGTGGGGCCTCTCCAGGTGCTGTTGGACTACAACTTCCATCATCCCTGATAACCAGCCATGCTGAGACTGATGTAATTTCAGCTCCAGCGACATCGAGAGAGCTGTAGGCTTTTCATCCCTGAATTCATCTCTGAATCTGAAAACGCACAAAAAGCAACAGGAAATGTCAGGGTTCCCTTGGAGCAGTCTAGAACCACAAAAAGGCTTCCAATCTTTTTAAAGCATTTCAGAGGGATCCTTCCCATTCTCTCTCCATTCCTTCCCAGCTCTCATCCAGGCACAAACAGACTTTCTGGGCACCACAACTACCATTACTTGCCGTGGGAGAGTCTTAAGTGGCTCTGCTTCTTCTAAGGGTGCCCGCACACAGTTGCTCCAAGCATCCATCCTCTCCTGTGTGCTGTCTTTGAAAAGGGTCACCACTTTTGAAGTTATTCATATAAAATCCCCCTTTATGGAATTCTTTGTACGACGTACAATCAAGGACCTCAAATCAAATGCTGGATAATGATGTGAATTTCCCCATGCACCCTCTTTCTTCCTTTTCTAACCAGCTCGGGCCTCATTGGTTTTCTCTTCATGTTGCGTGCCTTGGTCTCTGCAAATTTCAACACCATCTACATTTACACAGCGGAGGTGAGATGCTTTTGAACCCGCGAATTGTGGAAGGGGAGGAACACACAACAGAGGTCTCTCATCATAGCTTTCCATAATAAATGGGAAATGTAGATTGACAATTCAGCTCAGTGCATATTTACTCAGAAGTAAGTATCATTTAATCCAATGAGACTCCCACACTAAGTGAGTATGGGGTTGAAGCCTTAGCTGGGTAGCTGGAAGGAGCAAGCAGGCAGTGCACAGCTAAAAATATTTCTGTTCAATTCTTGGGATTTGGATGGTGCTGATATGCCTGAGCAGGACTAAATGATACTTCCTCTCTTAATGAGTAAAGGCGGTGGTGCTTGAACAAACAGCGCCATGCTTACCAATGAGGGATAGTCTTATCCACACATTACCTACAGTACCACTCCTTTTTGTGATTTAACAGAGCATTGTATGCTTATATTGCATACATGAACAAACCTAAATGATTTAGCAGCTCATAAAAGTTGGTGCGCAACAGAAGAACCACCTCAGATCAACTCTTGCTTGGTAGTAAATGCTACTCTGTTCTTCACAGGCTGACATAAGAAAAGCTGTGTTAGATAAGTATGGAATAATTTATAATCTTCCACTTTGAGTCACCTGTTCTCATGTATATCTGAAGTCCAGAAGTGAATAGCTGAGGCTGATTTTGACATTAGTTTTTTGTGGGGGGTTTTAAGGCAAAAAAAACCTCTTTCAACGTCTGGAAACCTGAAGTTGGATATTTTATCATTTTTTGCTGTCCAAAAAAATAGTTGAAATGTCCAAGTAACAAAACAATAACCAAGAAAAATTCAACATTTTTATATTTCCAAACAGCAATGTTTTGCTTTCATTGCTTTCATTATTAGTCTTTGTAAACTAAATGGGCACAAAAATTAAGCGTATTGTATTTTCACATTTAAATTAATGGGGCTTTTTTAAAAAAAGCCTTATTTTTGACTCGATTCTGCCAAATAACATTTTTTAAAGCAGTATCTTTTACAAGATTGTCACTAGAATCTTCTGCAGATACCATCTCTGCAGATACCATCTCTGGCCACCTAAACTCTGGGACCCACAATAGATGCTCAGTTTCCCAGTTTCTCTTTCCTTCAGTCTATACTATAGATCTGATCTTGAATTATATATTACTGTATTATAGGTTTATCCAACTATCATGAGAGCTGTTGGCCTTGGCACTAGTGGTTCTGTATGTCGTATTGGTGCTATGGTGGCACCTTTTATAGCCCAGGTAAGATGACTTTCAATAAAGTTACTTAAATATATTGTTTCAATTCTTTGGTTTCTGACCTGAATTCATGTGTATTCTCATCCACATTTTTAAATCAGAGGATGATACCAAAGCTAATGTTGACCTTTGTCAAGCTATTCTTGCTTTTGGAGGATCTTCAAAGGGCACCTCCAGACTGCTGTTTTAGTGCAGGTGTATTCCCCAATAAGTTCTTGACGCAATAGCAGTGTGTTTATCCTGCATTATTAGTTGTTCTGTGATGCTTTTTCAATGCTACCCTGCCTGGAAGGGCTATGGTGCAACAAAAGTGGGGCAGAAAACAAACCAGAACATTCTTAATATAAAAAGTTACAAGTAACGAGATGTGCATTGATTGCAAATGAAGTAGTATAGCCGCCCTGAAACCTTTGCCACACAAACAGTATTTAAAGAGGAATCATGTATGACCCCCCTGATAGCATCACAAGCACAAATCATCATGGATATGCAATTAAAAAATTATGTCTAGAGGGGCCCTAAGCTAGAGTAGTACTATTGTATTCCCAACTATTGTATTCCCAACAACTACATGTCGCAACACCATCTATCACCATATATTATATGTTAAAATAATCCTAGATTAAAGCCTGAAAAGGTATGCCTCCAGGTACCAGTTGTTGAAAATTTCAAATGGGAAGAGTAGTGTTGCAGCCAAGTGCTGTTTGTGGGCTTCCTGCAGGAATCTGGCTGGCCAGTGTGAGACGTGGATGATGGACTGGATAGGCTTCATGGCTCTTCTTAAAGGCTTGTGCACTGAATTGTTGGCCAACATGCTAAACTTTGAACTTTGAGAAAGCTAGAAAGGAAATCCTATGGGCTTAAATAAAAAAAAAAAAAGCGTTTGACCAAGTTGCATGGCAGCGTTGCACTAATACATTGTTTCTTTGCAGGTGCTCATGAATGCTTCTTTCTTGGGAGCACTTTGCCTTTTCGCTTCTGTTTGTATCGTGTGTGCTGTCTCTGCTTTCACTCTGCCCATTGAGACCAAAGGGAGAGCGCTTCAGGTTGGTAAACCCATCTTCTGTAGTGTAAGGTCAGAAGCAGGCTCCTGCACTGCCGAAGGCCACCGCGGCAGCTTCCTTTGAACTTCACCCCATTATGAAAAACAAACAAATCTCATAGGAGGCCTCTCCACATCAGGAGCAATGGAAATTGGTCATACCGTGAATTTCTGTTTGAAGAGTGGACTAGAGGACGTTTGCTTAGCAGAATGACTCCTCCCACGTCCTGTTAACTGAATGTCCTCCAGTCCACTGTCGCAAATGATAACCTTTATGCCATCCATATGCCTACCTGAAGGAACTTGAAGACCCCAAAATAGGAGTGATTATTTGTATCATAAGTCAAAGGGGGCTTGGGTTGTATAATTACAACTGACTCAGTCTAATCTATTTGCAAAGGGAGCTAGTTAAGAGACTAACTGCTTGGATATATTGACGTAGGTGCACACCATTAACTGCCCCAATTCAGACTGGGGCCAGTGGGATTTCCAAATTACAGCTTGCAAGCCTGATGAGCTCCAATTTGTGTCATTCAAGAATAATAATTCAGGCCTTTGGGAGGAACCAAGGCAGTGAAGCTATTTATGATATTTAGGAGTATTGGTGACTGATTGTTTGTGTAGCATAACATGCCTTCTTATATTTAAAGACTGTATACTTGCTGTATACTGCCCTGTAATTGTTTAATGAAACACAGTAATGAAAGACAGTCTAGAAATATTCTGTATGTTTATAATTAATAATAATTACCAGCAAACTATCTGAGTTATTGGGAAAATTAAAATCATTGAGTGGGGCCTGCAGCAAAATGATATATACTATACAAGAATGCTCCTGGAAGAGACAGAGAAAGACACCTTTCACCCTTTCCTGAATCTTGGCTTTGGAGATGCCTGCCAACCTCAAATTCAAGGGTATTGTTGCTACATCAAGGTTTTTGGAGGCTGGCAATGAGAAAAGGTCTGTCTTTTCCTCTCCTCTTCTAAAACCTCAGTACAGTGCAGGGAGGGATTTTTTAGCCCTACAAGTGATTATCATCTTGTGCCTCATTCTGTGTCCAGGACACTATATAAGTTCTTAGGCACTCAGCTGACAAATTTCTTCTTACTGTTTCCCTTTTCTTCTCCTGCCCCCCCCCCAACACTGTGTAGGCTGTTGAAGTCACTGACATCCTTGGATGGCTTAGGGTTGTGTGTGCAGTTTCTTTTCATATTCTTCACATGCTTTTTCTTAATAAAAAAATCATGCCCTTAAAAAAATATATCATAAGGAGTCCAACAAGTACACAAAAAAGCCCTACCTTGTTTGTGGGTGGCTATTACACTAAGCTGACAGGCACCAGGCCACACTAATTTGTTATAAGAAGGAATGACATATAATTAACCCAGTGACCCAGAAAACACCTCCCACCAATTTATAATAACTTAACACTGCGAATAAAAATCACGCTTTCAATTAGGGTAATTCATTCCTTACGTACCACTTAGATCTCATTTAGGCCTCTACATGCTACCCTCTGTTACCAGCGGCAAATTGTCTCTTGCACAACCTTCGAAGCTTTAATTCATCTGCAATTGGCTTGGTATGCAGCAGCAATGAAGAGAAAAGAAAATTTAATAAACAATTAAACAATATTTGGAGATTGTTTGGTGGTTGTAGAACCACCAGGTTCTACAGACCTGGGCAAGCCGCATTTCAAAGCAGATGTGCACCTAAGCTAATAAATACAGAGGCAGAATCTCAGCAGGAAAGAGAGGCCATTATCCATGTACAGTGGTACCTCGGTTTTCGAACACCTTCGTAGTCGAACATTTTGGAACTCAAATCCCAAAAACCCGGAAGTAAATGCCTCAATTTTGAACACGCCTCGGAGAAGTCGAACAGGAAACGCGGCTTCCGTTTTGAGTTTTCCATATTGAGGCTCCTGTTTTCAGTTTTTGAACATTTCAGAACTCGGACTTCCATAATGGATTGTTAGAAAACCAAGGTACCACTGTAGTTGGATCAATTTCTGGCTAGCCGTCTCCAGCTTATCCACTTTGAAACACCAGCTCTTTACACCTGGGAGAGAGGTGTGGCATTAGAAGCCAATGGGTTCAACCGAAGATCTTGTGTAATTTGCATTGATTCATTAACTGAATGGGTGGCTTCAGGAAAGCTATTGTCTTGTTATGTTTCCTTCTACAAAATTAAAACAGCCCACGTCACAACAGATACACAGAAATATATGTTGCTTCTTTTATATACAAAAAAATGCTACTTAGGTTGTAAACGAGAGATATAATTATTTTATGGCATTTCCCCCTTGCTCTTTGGCAGAAAAAGGCTCCAAGGGTGGCCTACACATATGTAATCATTCATCGAGAAAGACTTCATGAAACGGCAATGTGATTTAACAACTGTGGAACCAACATATAGGTTGGGGGGGCCATATCACATGGAACACTTGCTACAGGCAACCATTTAAGGGAATACCACCCAATGGGAATGTTTCTGTGTATGTAGATTGCAGTGGAATGGAAAAAATCCCTCAAACAAAAAGGCTGGAGGGAACCTGGATGCCAAGCTCCTGTAGGTCAGTGGTTGCTGCACTGGGACATTTGTCCAAGGAAGCAAGTTAAGATAGATGTATCTGCTGCTACATGGTGGCTGAGTGGGCATTGGACTAAAAAAATTAGAAGCATTTAATCCTGATTGCAAAGCTGACACCACTTAATTCTTGCATAGGTAAGTCATGGAAACCTGTTATTCTTAACACCTGTTTTTATCTTTTTAGCAAAGGAAATGAAGGTGACCACTAGAAAGAGTAAAACCCCAAGAGGGCTCTGTTACATTTAATGCATTTGAGCATATTTCTCAGAAGAGCTACTGAGATTTTCTCCACCCGCATTTCCAAAAAAAGGCGTTTCTTGTCTTTACAACATTTTAATAAACTTCTGCACAAATAAATGGAACTGTACCCTGTGTGGTTTTTTTTTTTTAAAGTGCCCAACATCATGCTATATCCAGGCTTGAGAAGGCTCTGTAATGTGTGCAAATGTCTTGTCCCCCATTCATTCAAGTCACTATATGCATATGGCAGAACATGCTGTATAAGCCCACTGATGGCAGATACGTAAACACTTTAAAATAATTTTTCTGTTCCTCAGGTAGGTGTTGGCGCTCTATGTGTGCAGATGTTGGTAGCCGTTACTACCTCCTGTAGAAAGTGAGTCCCAGAGTTTTTGCACAGCATGAAGGAATACTTCCTTTTATCTGTCTTCAATCTTCAAATGTTCAGCTTCACTGGACATTCATGAGTCCTAGTGTTTCGAGAGAGGGAGAAAAACTTCTGTTTCTCCATGCCATGCATGATTTTATAAATTTCTATTGTGTCACCTCTTACTTGCCTTTTTTAAAATACTAAAAAGTCCAACATACTATATAGGGGAATTGCTTCATGCCTTTGATCATTTTGATTGCCCTTTTCTGAACCTTTTCCAACTCTACAGTACATCCTTTTTGAGGTGAGGCAACCAGAATTGTACACAGCATTCCAAATGTAGCCACATAAGAGATTTGTAGAATGGCATTATATGAACAGTTTTCAATTCCTCTCCAAGTGATCCTCGCATGGGATTTTACTTTTTCACAGCTGCCTCATAGTGGGACAAAAACTTCATTGAACTGTCTATTGCACCCCCAAGGTCTTGTTCCTGGCTAATTGCCACCAGTTCACACCCCATGAACATATATGTGAAATTTTTGCCCCAACGTGCATCACTTTGCACTTTTCTTGAACTGCATTTGCCATTTTACCACCTGTTCACTCAGCTTGGAGAGATCTTTTTAAGAGCTCTTCATAATAGCTTTTGTTTTAACAAAAATGAACAATTTAGTATCACCAGCAACCTTCTGTTGCTCAGACTCGCCTCCTGCAAAGATTAGTTCAGGCACTGGGATCTGTTCTGTATCTTCCGTTGTGAAGACAAATGCAAATGATCCATTTAACTTATCTGTAATCTTATCCTTCTTTAGCAGTTGGGGAACTGAAGTGGAGGGAAGAATCTTACTACACTGCCACACATTGAATTCCTCTGCAGGCTCTCTCACATGAGAGCTTGGCACCTCCAGTAGTGTCAAATGGGTGAGTTTACTCCCCTGACCTCTGAAAGTGAATGGTGGTCATTCACTTATTTAGGCTAAATTAAGTTAAAAGGATGAATGAAGGGAATTGTGGTGGAAGCTAAACCAGTTGCTGTCATCCCTGTTATCAGGAATAGGGCCAAGTTTTGTCTAGAATAAAAATTATTCCATGGAATTTCCTCATGGCATTTAGAAGTAATTTCATATTGTGCAAGTGCAGTTTACATTTGTCATTAGTTCACATGAAAAGTTCCCATTTCAATGTTGATTTTGATGGCACACTCAAAATCTGAAGTGAGGATAAATTTAAAGACATGATCTTCCTCTTTGTAATCATTCAGGAAAGCATCACACAGTATACGTTAATGAGTAAATCAGTGTGTTTCTAATGAAAAATTCCAAACCAGCTTATGGCAGTAGACCACACATTCTAATAAAAGCAGCAGAGGGAGGTTTCCTTCTAGCTCTCTCGGTAGGTGTAAAATAGGATAAACTATAAAGATGAAAGTCAACCTTAATACTTCCATTGCTAGATTAAAGTTTAGAAATACATGCAATGCTGGCCAGCAGGAAATTACAACCAATTGTATAAAATTTCTCTCCATATGAGCACAGCAAGACACTCAAATGTCCATTTTCAAAGTACTTTAATTCATCTCCCCACTCCTTACATTTCAAAGCACAAGTAGCTCTCTGCGGGCAACGACAATTCCATTGTATCCTAGGCCAATATCTGAGCATGTGCTTTTCTCTTCTCAGTGGCTAACAGTTATGTACAGTACAAAGAACTGAAATTATGGCCAGCCACATGTCGTTGGTAAATTAATTTCTGGTAAGATCACATTTTCCTGAAATCTACACATTAAATTTGTTTCTAACTTTAGTTTAATTTTTACAAATCTTTTCTAAATAAAAGATTTGAACAGTTGTCACTTTAGAGTGGTGGCAGAATGAATTCTAAAAACCAAGGGTAAATTTTATAGAATTTTTCTAATGTCTTCTACATGCCTCACTTCTTGGCAAATTTGTACCAAGGTAGGACTCCCAGTGAATGTCCACAATTGTAGATGTCAACGTGCTCATAAAATGCCCTCCCAAAAATGAATGTTGATAAATATTTATGAAAAAAAAAATCTTTAGCAGTGCCTATATCCTGTTCATTTTACAAACTGGCGTTCTTCCCATTTGAGACGTTTTTTCCGTGGCTGTACAAAGTCGTCATCAGAGTCATCTGTTGAGTTGGGACTATCTCTATCAGCACGGCAATAAGGCTGGGCAGGGAATTTTCTTTCTGGAAAAAGGTTCTTCAGCAGTTCCTCAAAATAAGCTTCCAGTTTCATACCAGCATCAGCCACTTCTGAATCAGGCTGTTGGGGAAAGTCAACATATCATAGGTTTTATATTTGTAGTCCCATATAAAAAAAAAAAAAGGGTAAGTCAGATGCCAAAGTAAATCAACTTGAACACACGAACACTACTAATAATTTTAGTTGAATAAAATTCATCTTACTCAAACTAAAATTCGTGGACTCAATCAACACTTTAACAAATCAAAATATGATATGACTGTGATACAGTTGACAGTAGCATTTGTAGTATAAAACTAGTATGCAACGATATGTTAGCACCTTAGTTAGCGCTTTGGTATTTTCTATCACTTCTTGGCTAAGAGAGAGTTTGTTCATACACAGTGACTTACAGCAGCTGGAGAGAGATCTAACAACCTTATCTCAGAGTACAATATTACTTCTGCTGAGTAGTCCTCATTTCTCTCCCCCATGCAAATATTCTGTACTGTTCAATGTGTAAGGAAATTTATATGATTCAACTGTCACCTAATATCATATCTCAACTCCAATGCAGGCCAGACACTGCTAAAGAAAGGGACCTATAATTATATTCTGCATATAAATTACCAGCTATGTGACTCTGCAAACTATTATAGAATCCACAGTTAGACTCTGGTAACAATGGTAGCTTCCTAGAAACACACACACACACACACACACACACACACACACACACACACTACAGTCTTTTCTGACCTCATTAAATTCAGCACAGTTTTGAAAGATCAGTCTGAAATCAGCTACAACATCTTCTGGTTTTGTGTACAATGGATGATGCAGTTGCAATCTATTTTTGATGGTTGACAAGTCCATTGGCTTCTTAATTATTTTGTAGTAGTCAGGCACCTAGAAAGGAATAGATGAATCTTCTCAGTAATACATTAGCATACTTCTTTGGCATTATCTGGGAAAGTGAACATCTACTGTGCAGATCTTAAGCAAATGACTCCTGCTATGAATGGAGAGAGCAATCTTTCTATCTCATTGAAAATAATTGGAAGGAATATATATACTGTAAACAGCAGTTATTGCAATGTCTCTAAAAGGCATATTATTCATCTAACATACACAAATTCTTAGATTCAATTTGCTATTTAAGATAGTGTCATAATGAAAATCTAGATAAGCTAACTGGAAATAAGTTTCCACAGAAACTGTATTTAGCAGCACATTGCAGGATATCTCTGTAAAATCACAGCAAAACACAAACACATCCCCTATACCAGGAGAAATGTCAGAGAGCTGGGTCTCAATCTTTTATTATCTCTATTTTGGGCCCACCACAGGATGTACAAAGCTATGTATCGCTCTAGCACACTCCTAATACCTGCCTCAGAACAAGGTGGTTTATCTTTTGATCAATTTGCTGTTGCAACTGAGCCAATGACAGCATATGGATAATGGCTCCTATTTACACAGGACAACCTGCTCTAGTTCATATTGCATAGGAACTTCAAAGTAAGTGGAAAGTGTCTATGGAGTGTTTCATTTTTATTGTGTAAACTAATCTAAACATTTTGAAACTGCCAAGCCCGCCTACTACTGGGCTGTTACAAATGCTGGAGTTCCACACACACTTCTGTGCATGCAACAGAATTTTGTCTCCCTCTCCTATTCCCCTCAAGCTCCTGGCATGCCCTCAAAATCAGATGCGAAGGATTGGGAGACCTTCTGGAGCATAGTTTTGGGAAACTTTTTTCGGGAGGAGGGTTAAAGTTATGATGTGTAAATGCAATTACGCTCATGATTAGCATTAGATACAACCCACAGTATTTACAGATGGCATTCATTCATTGTTACTAATTAACTTTGGAAATGGAAATTTTTCTGCAGAAAAATAAAGTCTAGAAAAGGTTCCACCCTACATTTTTGGAAAGGGGTGTTCTCTTTTCCCTTTTATTACACTGCTTATGCAAAGTTATGTATCTCTAAACACACTGCATAGTAAAACACATAATGGATGGCTCTTGGTAGCATTTACTTCAATGACATGCAGTAACTAATAAAAAGCTGCAAGAAGATCAGAAACTGAACTACTGCATTAATAAATGTACTTCAATAAAAATTGCCAGTTAACAACTGTACTCAAATATGAGACTCAAATGGCATGCTGCTTTTACATCAGCATTTCATCTCTCTCTGTTGAAATTATATACTGCATTGAAGCATGAATATAATATCTGACCAGTAATGAATGCCAACACAATCCTCACAGAATGTTAGTGGCAAATAAAATGACCATCATACCGTGGGAGGAACTGGATCTTGAAAAGCAAGGCTCATTTCGTGGCAGTAAAGGTACAGTAGTAATCTTTCACACTTCTGCACAATAGAAAAGATAAATGATTTCAGTTACACAGAGTACCACCTTGATGAGCTAGAACAGCCACACAGTAGAAACTGCATTTTTCTGAGGCTACAGAAGACAGTGCTGAAATTCAGACATTGTGAGATCCACTCCCACCCTCCTAGTCAACTTTTCCTTCAGTGGCCTTTTTTGCCACCAGTACATAATTTTCAAGATGTACTGACAGAATGGACTGCACACAGTTTGCAGGAACTCAAGAGGAAAAATTGTGGTGGCTTCACTCTTCCCCTGGTCCTGTTGCTTCTGTGTTATCCAGAGTGAATCCATGGTTTGACTTAGCATTATGTCTGAAAAACAGGATCATGGTTTGTCTTCCACAGAGAAACCACAAGTGGAAAGCCAAGAACAAACTTGGCTACAGCTATGATTTGTCCCTAGGGGAGGTAAGATATGAGCTTCGGGTTGGTACATTAAGTCAAACCATATCTTAGCACTGCATAGTATAGCAGGACAGGAGGGCTGTGATTTTTCCTCTGAATACATGCAGGCTCATCTGTTCATGCTTAGTGAGGCTATTTGTTCATGCTACTACATATACCTCAAAGAATAGTTCTGCTAATTAATTAGCGTGCTTCCTAAAATTACAAAGAAAATGTGGGCATGACAACTCAAATACTCCACACCTGACACACATTTACTTGATCTTCAAACCACTTTCGAAGTAAAGGAAACTCAGGAGTAAAAACCTGCCTGAGGATCAAACTGCTCTGATTTCAAGTGAGGTTTAAACTCAAGAAGAAGCATCATGGGTCTCATTTGTCCGCACCTTCCTGTTTGCAAGAGTGAAGTGTTAATATGTGTTCAGTGAGATACTACAAACTTCTGGTATCGAGAAGGCCATGACCAGAGCAGAACCCAGGTGTAAGATGTATTTAGGACATATTCTCAAGTTCTCACTACTTACTAAGAAATTACAGGGGTATAATAATTTTATTACTACCGTGGCATTTTTCAAGGTGTATTCACAATGCACAATTCATTTCAATGACTATACTCTCACCCTCTGATCCATAGGTGGCAATCCCATATTGCCTTCCAGTTTTCTTTTTTCTTCAGTCACATGACTTGGGCCATCACAATCATATTCCATTTCTGGCTTGAACAAATCGCGGCAAAATGTACAAATCCATTCTCCGCTAAACAAAGAGAAGACAAACAGGCATCAATCCATGTTCTGAATGTTTCTAAGCAAACTCTTATCTGCTATCTATAATAAGTTTTAGAAAATACTGAGGCTGAGATGAAGTCAACTGATAAAAGATAGGCCTTGCCTTCTGCAATTTTTGAATTTCTTCACCCAAGAACCATTTGTCATCTCATTATCAGAAAGAAAATCTAAGGGTGCATATGAACACTTAAGGGACTTAGAAGGATGTGTGAGGCTTGCTCTATTAAAATTATTGTCTTCACAGTGCCTCCTATTTCTCTCCTCTCAGTTAGACTTGCTTCCTTCTTCTCAGAATTATAAGCATGCAGGCCACGGCTATGCAACATTCTTTTGAATCTATTGTTCTCCCTTCTCACCAAAAGCAAAGTGCTACATTGGTGGGAGGAACTTGCTGGGAGGCTTCTCTGAAGATCGAAGGAATGTGGCTTGCCATTCCCCACTGGCTTCAACAAAGTGGCCCTTGCTAAAACTGTCTTCTCATCAGTACCTTAGAAAAAGCGTGGATGAAATGTTAGCTGCCAATGAGGCATCTGATCAAGGCCTGTATTTTAAAATGAGCTTAAAGATATATTTGCAAATGTTTGTGTGTTTCATGCCAGGCAGAAACCAGCTGGCTAAGTACTTTGGCAGTTGTTTATCATCCTGCTCTCCTGAACAAGCCCCCCCCCCCTGATTTATAGCAGTAGCAGGAGACAAGTTTCTCAAAGTTGTAAAAGGGAATTACAGACTGGGAGCAAATGTTACACTGACCCTACATATTACAGAATACAATCAAGCTGCAAAAACACTAATTAAGAGTTGGTAAATAGTAAGATTTATTGTTTAACAGAAAATAGTACCATGTGCCTCCCATCAGACTCTAGCCATATTTTCCTAAGGTTTAAGGTATACTGAGAGAGTTAAAGGGCAATAAATTTTGGGAAGAGCTAATGGGAAAAGCAGCTGGCTGGGAAAGGGGGGTGTAAACTGAAGAGGCTTCTTTTGAAGCTGTTTTTACTGAGTTCCTTTACTTTGCAAAGGCCTTTTCTTCTAAAAAGCTATCTATGTTATGTATGAGATTTGTTGGCTTAATGTAATTATGCAAAGGATTTAGAAAGTAAGAAATGTTAGATTCTTATGTTAGATTCTTATTTCATTGATGGTGTGTGAGAATGTGAACCCAAGATCTCTGTTTAGATAGAATTTAATACCATGAGCCATTTGTTTTAGCCATTTGTTTTGGAATGCAGGCGCAACAGGGGCAAAAGGTGATCTGATAATTAAGGTGCCTTGTCGAGGCAAATGTAAGATATATGGCTACTTGTCTGCCATTTATGGATAGAAGGAAATATAGCTCTTTGTCTCCCATAAAAGGTAATAGGAAATGGGTGTATCTTTTATGATTGGTTCTAGCAAACAGCCAATAGGAATTTCAACCAGGCTGATTGGACAGAGGCAGCCAAAGGAGGAGCAAGGGGGCTGGGCTGAGGAAATATAAGTGCTGGCCATCAGGGCTGGAGGGGGGCAGAGCTTTGTTAACCATATACCACTGTGCCTATCATTTATTTGTCTGACAAATAAATTATTACTTTAATTTCTCTATTGCTGCGTTGAATATTTCATTCCAGCTAAGCGTTAACCACAAGCAGGGTGCTACACCAGTAAGTACTAAAACTGCTGCCATTGTCAAAGGAAGCAATAGAAAGTCTATTATGCATTACAAATCACAGGCATATTGTGGTTTAAAAACAGGGAAGTAAATGGGGAAGGTTAAGCACTGCCCTTAATATTGTGCTGTTCTTGATTAACAGCAAAACGGAAGAGACCCCTACAATTAGAAGCATTGGGCAGATCACAACCACTGGAGAAAACAGAAATTTCTCTCCAAAAGCATTTTCTCAGTGTGCAAAATGTCTCCCTCAGCCTTTCATATTTGGATACATTATACTCTGTAACTGGGTGACTAACTTATTTTGATCTGAGTTAGCATGCCACAGGTGGTAACACATATATGTATGCACAGAGAAGCAGACACACGTACATGCATATATTCAGAGAACTTTTCTCCTACAACAGCGCTCCTGAAAAACGTAATTTTGCCTTTATTTACCATGGAAAAACACATATTTCTCCTTTGAAGGCTCTTAATAGCTTAGAAAACAGGAAGGAGTGCTCCTTCCTGCTTCTTAATTAGGTAAAATCATCTTGCAATGGTACTATATCAGAATAAGATGTGCATTTCATTTCAACTGTAAATTCTGTGTGTTTGCATATGCAGTTGTAGGAGAGGCTATCTGAGCCCAGAAGTGGCTCTGAGATCTTCGGATGAAGGGTGATATACAAATTTAATAGATACGTATTTTCGCTCTATAGGACATACTTTTTCCCCTCCAAAAATGAAGGGGAAATGTGTGTGCGTCCTATGGGGCGAATGCAGGCTTTCGCTGAAGCCTGGAGCGCGAGAGGCGTCGGTGCGCACCCACACCTCTCGCTCTCCAGGCTCCAGGAAGCTATCTGCAAGCCTTGCGCACCCGGGGGGAGTTCCGGTGTCGGCAAGTTCCCCCGGGAGCGCAAGGCTTGCGGGCGGCAGCCTGCAGCGCGGAGCACGGGGCGCCCTCCGGAGGACGCCCCGTGCTTCGCGCAGGTGTTGGCAAGCCTTGCCACCCGGGGGATCTGCCCCGGGAGCGCAAGGCTTGCGGGCGGCAGCCTGCAGCGCAGAGCACAGGGCGCCCTCCGGAGGACGCCCCGTGCTTCGCGCAGGTGTCCGCAAGCCTTGCGCACCCGGGAGATCCCCGGGTGCGCACGGCTTGCGGGCGGCAGCCTGCAGCGCGGAGCACGGGCGCCCTCCTGAGGACACCCCGTGCTTCGCGCAGGCGTCGGCAAGCCTTGCGCACCTGGGAGATCTTCCTCCGGGATCGCAAGGCTTGCGGGCGGCAGCCTGCAGCGCGGAGCACGGGGCGCCCTCCGGAGGACGCCCCGTGCTTCGCGCAGGTGTCGGCAAGCCTTGCCACCCGGGGGATCTGCCCCGGGAGCGCAAGGCTTGCGGGCAGCAGCCTGCAGCGCGGAGCACGGGGCGCCCTCCGGAGGACGCCCCGTGCTTCGCGCAGGTGTCGGCAAGCCTTGCCACCCGGGGGATCTGCCCCGGGAGCGCAAGGCTTGCGGGCAGCAGCCTGCAGCGCGGAGCACGGGGCGCCCTCCGGAGGACGCCCCGTGCTTCGCGCAGGTGTCTGCAGCCTGCCACCCGGCTCATGGGGCGCCCTGAAGCAGAGCGCCCCTCACGCCGGGCAGACATCGGCCAGCCCCACAAGCTCGGGGGACAACGGGGAGGCGCAGCGCCGCTATCCCACTGTTCCCCGACCTGGTTTTGGGGGGGAAATAAAGGAAAAAAAAATTTCCTTTATTTCCCGCCCAAAAAAGTAGGTGCGTCCTATGGGACGGAGCGTCCTATGGAACGAAAAATACGGTAGATAAGATAGATAGATATATCTCAAGTTTACATTTTCAAAATAATGTTTCTGTTAAAATAGCTGAAGTTGTATAACATACCACAAAAAATATTTCAAACATGACAAACAATAACACAGAACAAATGCAGTACTAGATCAATAGCACTCCTCAGACTAAATAAATGCGAACAAGAATGGAGAATGGAACAATGGAGCACTTTTTTAGGAATCACAATGCAAAACTGTGGCACCACAACTGTAACGGGTATGTCGTTTCACACATCCACAATCTGAACTACTGATGGCTCCTGATTAGCTTTAAAATTAGAAAATGACTGTATATATAAAAAAGAATGAAGGTCTGAGCTAATGTTTTATAGTCTAGTTGATTTTACCTTGGAAAATTCCTGAGTGTGGGAACATGACAAGTAAGGTGGAACACTTTAGGACATTTATCACAACACAAAAGCTCTCCTCCGTTCTGACACACTGCACACCAGTCCTCATTGGGGTCATCATCTTTCCTGCTTTCTCCAACATGAGGTGCCCCTATCCATGCTGCCTTGCCATTGGATGGTTGGTCACCTGTACTGTCTGGTGCTTCTGTTCTCAAGACGGTTGCTTCAGATGAGCGATTGCGATTGTTATTCAACAACATTGAGGTAAGTAAATTTCCTGGAAACCTAGTCTGTAGGGAAAAAGAAAAAAGTATGCAGCCTGAAAAGAATGTAAAATTGTTATATACATGTGTGTATAAAAATGCACACAGTCATGCCTCTTCTGCAGTAAGGGTCTAGCTAATTGCATCAACTACTATAACTGGATAAATTTATGGCTTTAGAAAGAGCTTCCAGCATTTTAAAAAACCCCTGAACATTTAGTTCTTGAGTGCGAAAGAGTAGACAGCATGAGTGCTCTATGATTTCCCAGATCAGCATGAAGAACGTAGAAGTTTTCCTTTGTATTCTAGCATAATATAAATCCTGAGTAGAACAGTAACAACTCAGCCAACTTAATAATTACCCTCCCAAATTTAGAGACTATTTTTATAACTTTGATTACATTTTGCTTCCGGGATTCTTCATCTGTTTCTTGCTTCACTATTACAACAGGGAAATCATAGTGTTCACTTGGCACACCAGACTCTTGTTTTATTCTGATAGGCTCCAACATGACCACAGGGACTCGCTGGGTTGAATCTGCACCTGATGGTCTGCTAGAAGAGCCAGAGCTGTAAAAGGAAGAAGTAGTGGGGAAGAGGATAAAAGATCAAGCAAGACTAAAACAAGACTATTGTGACATGTTCTAGATAATTTGAAGAGGGTGCTACATCATTGTATGAACCAGTCTGTGGTATTTTTTCCACATTTGATCATTCAAAGTTTGTGTTTCAACCATGGCAACACAAAAAATCAAGTGCTTTAAGTGAATAGTTACGTTAAAAAAAACAAAAATATTCCTCTCCATCAAGTTCAACTACAAAAAAGGGATGGGACTAACATTCATCTGCAAGATGCAAGAAACAAATATGATAACCAGCACCCATCTTCAGTTTCTTAGATTTCTGTATTGCCAGATAAAAACATTTTAATTGGATAATTCACACTGACAAGTTTTTTCAGAGCCTATTATTTTTGCTTACCTGCCTCGACTTCCAACACTAGAGGCACTGGGTGAACGAATTGGAGGATGGACAACCGCACCTGAATTAAAAAAAAAAATTGTCAAAAAACTTATTTTATATAGAATTAAAAACTTCCATTAAGTTGATCACATGATCTTAAGATGTAAGCTTAAGTTAAGCATTATTTTGATTTCCACTCCACTGCCCCAATACTGCAGAAGAAATCAAGGGAAATAAATTATGAACAGCAAAAATAAGTGCCCAGAGCCCCTGTGCTACAGATAAGAAGGTGCATGGGGACATCCCTGAATAGGGATGAGAAATATTTTATCTCAAGGCCACATTCATGGCTTGAGGGATGAAAGAGCAAGCGTGATTCATTGCATCTCCACCTTAGTTAATTAGAACTAGGATCTTTCCTATCAAGCACGTACTTCTTGCAAGAAATGTAGCTTTCATATTTTCTTCAATTCAATGAGTCAGTGTGATTACATCCAGGCTGAAATGTGCTCTTTCAACAGGGATTCAGTGTTCTGCTCAGCTTCTAAGAGTGTTAACTCTAAGCACCAATAGTTATCAGAGTGTGAATGAGAGTCGGTGGAGGAAGATTGGAAGAAATTCAAAGATTATCTACAGAAACACTGCAAAATTAAAGAATGTTAGAGTGATGTTGGATTGAAAATAAGTGGTTTCCAGCTGTACAGGATAAAGTTATAGATAGACTAAGATTAAAGATTAGGATTAAAGAAGTTTAAGGAAATGGAAATTTGGTATTTAAGAGGTAAAATTTTAATGCTATATTACATTAAGATTAAAGATTAGGATTAAAGAAGTCTAAGGAAATGGAAATTTGGTACTTAAGAGGTAAAATTTTGATGTTATATTACATTAAGATTAAAGATTGGGATTAAAAAAGTGGAAAAGAAATTGCTGGACAAACAATTTGGACTGGAATACAAAAGAGGGAGGTATGAGGAAGTCCAGAAAATAAGTAAATTCAAAAACAGAAATGAAAAAGTGATATTGTTTTTAATTGCTCTGTTTCTTTTTTTGCTTTTTATTTTTTTGTGTTTTTCTTCTTTTTTTGGATTATGTATTGTGTATTTGTGTATTTCTTTTTTATGTTTTTCTGTCTAACCTTTTATTGAAACCTTAATAAAAATCATTTATAAAAAAAAACAAACAAACAAAAAAAACAGTGTGAATGACTCTTGTCAGGCTCTCTTAATCTAGGAAACTAAAGCTACCTGGGCCTTCAGTGATAGCACTGGATCAAGGGCACTGCCAGCCTACATATCTGCTCGTTTAGGGGAAATACAAATCTATCTAGAGCCGGTGATTAATCAATTTTGGGACAAGAGAATAACCCACCAACAGTAATCCATTTTATCAGAATATTAGGAGTTTATTAATAAATAATAGCCATACCTGAAAGGCCTGGAGATGGCACTGATGAATTTGGGGACTGGACAGTTTTGCGTGAAGGAGGTTTGGGTTGGCTCTGCTCATCAATCCCCTCTCTCCTCCCAATGCTTTCCAGTGAAATGCTTCCTGCACAGTCAATCTTAAAACAATTAAGAGATAGTTAGGCCAGAGAGGCTCAATGCCACCACTTTTCATTACTCACTAATTTCAAGACTGCAACAGGTAAAACAAACAAATGCAGCATACATATAATCCAACTAAAATTCCCTCCAAGAGTAAAGGGGGTGGCCCTCTGGTGACCAGCAAGGGTGTTTGCATACCTGGGGAAAACTAGGAATGCAGAAAAGTATTGGTTTAATTTTTTTTAAGGGGAAAAATCTTCAAAATATGAGAAGACACAAAGGGCTGTGTAGGTGCAAATCTTGCCTCTGTTGAATGGCCATTGGGAGCAGTGGGTTGGGGGGAATTAGGCTCAAAGGATGCTTGCCCCCACCGTTTCCTTTAAGCTGGGGAAAGAAATCCTATTTTGTTGTTGAGAGATGCATTCCCTTGGGGAAATCTGCTGCAAGAAATTCGATCAGGGACCACAAGTTCCCCACCAATACTTTAACCTGTTAAGAACTCTGTCCTCTTTGCATCTCAAAATGTCTTTTCTGGGTAGTTCATTAGGATTGGAGGAAAGACACATCCTTCAGTACTAATTAATTCCTCCTCCAAGTGTTTTTTAATTGCTAAAAAAGAGCTTCATGGCCTGTTTCCTCTCATATTTCTCCCACACACATGGGACAGAAGGTTTAAATTTTAATTTACAGATTTAATCCTCAATCCATCTCCATCAGGACCTGCATATATATATTATAAATAGGCTTCTTAACTAGGCTACATACAGTGCTCAACACTGAATATAGCTGTTTGATTTCACAACCACTGCCAGACCTTTACAAGTGCTCAGCCTACAAATCATCCAGGCAAGCTGGCTAGCCCCATAGCTCTACTGGGAGGGAATGTGTATGGACAGCCCACGGATAACTTGGCAGAGGGGTGCATGTTCTGCTAAGGGAATAACTCTAGGCAAGAACCAATTTTATGGAGTTAGGAAAGACAATCATGTCAGGGCTTTTCTTTAATATATCTATCAGATGAAGAAGTAACTACAAAGTAGCTTGATGTCAGAATTTCCCAAAGAATTCTTTTTTGAGTGTTTGTACATATGACAAAGTCTAGACTATAACCACATAAAATATAGGCTCTTAGCTCTGCTCTTAGCACCAAAATAAAATAAGGGCAAACAGGCAAAATCATACTAACATAAGCCCCAGTTACTTCTATATAAACTGGTGGAATATGACATACTATTGATTTGTGGACTAGACTGTTTTCTGTGTAAGCTGTCACATTCCCCATCTGCCAATTCAACACATGAAAGTAATAAAGCTTTCAAGAAGTCGAGATACAAAACATAGCGCAATATCCATCTTACATCAGGAAGAGAAGGCAGTGTATAGGAGCCACCCGTTGTTGAGGACAGATCAATCATAGGTGGAACAGGTGTTTTCCCATCATATCCAGCAGCACTATTAATGGTAGGACTGGAGGGAGTGGATGTTGTACTGCTGGCATTTGAGGGAGCAGCTGAAGCATGTCCACTGTTGATTTGCCACTACAAAGAACAACAACTGTATTAAGGAAATAATAGTTTATCATATACACCAATAATAAAACTGCAGTGCACTGGGTTAATCTGCCTTTATATCGCTTTGTTATAATATTTGCAGTACCTTGGTGGTGTGAGGTGATTTTGCAAAATTAGATGTTAACAGAAAAAAAATGTTCCAAGCTGCTTTCAGTTGAATGAAATTATTGGTTGCCAAGTTACAGTGAACACTCAGGTTTTAGTTAACTGTGGTTTACACTCAGGCACCAACTTCTCTCCAGCTATGTTAACCTTTGAAAAGGGGAACAGATACATATATCTTGTTGACAGACTAAAGTTGTAGAACTGTTATAGTCCCCCATCTTTGTGGAGGGGAGAAGCTGCTAAAAGTCTAAATCTCAGCAGGAAATGATTTGACCATTACAAGGAACTGGCATTAATATTATCCACCTTAAAAAGATCACTCTCTTCCTGCCCGGTTGAGAAGACCAGATTCAGATTGTGATCAACCACAAGTGTTGGTCTGATGACATGTTGGGACAGCCCCACAGTTGTCATGGAGGCCACAAAGTTCCAAGCCACCTCAGAATGAGTGGCCTCAGCATGTCCTCCAACACCAACAACTTAGTGTGTGGGTGTGTTTCTTCAGCTTCCTAGCTCAGGCAGAGAGACTGTGGAGCAGGGAGTGAGGCAGGCAGTAATCCAGCAGTATCCCTAATAGGTCCTGATTGCCTAAAGCAAGACACACACACGCTCTAGATCGCAATACAAGGTTTCTTAAAGAATGGTCACAACACTGTCTCCTGCTTGAAGGCAGTTCACATAATTCGCTCTTTCAAAGATGCATTTATCACCTTCTGGACTGGTCTTGTCAATCTCCTTTGGCTAAACATAATTACCCAAGAAGGGCAAGGGTCAAAAACCTTGTCTACATCATGGTCCCTTCCAACTCTACAATTCTATGATTTTATGAGGCTGCAACAACTGAAAATCATTCCAAGTAACTAGACTACAAGGTGCTTCAGATGCCTTCATAGGAACTTCTTCAACAGTGGTGTCAAGATCAGAGTGGATATGAGCAATTTTGTCTGCAAAATACTTAAAAAACTTGTTAGAGCAGGACTCCATGAGGTCAATATATCCTTTCTAGGGTTCTGCCATAACCTCTTCGTTGCTCCTTTTAAGTTACTGTACTCCAGTTAAGTCTTTTGGAGGCAGGGTGTTCAACAATAAAAACATTTTACCTGTTTAATAGCTTGCTGTGCCAAAAATGCCATCTGCAGTGGATTGGGCCGTACAGCTGACTGTGGTATATTCTGATTTTGAGGAAACCTCATTGGCTGAGCTGGAGGAACAGAGCCATTGGGTTTAAGGCTGTGATTCTGAAAGTTAACCAAACGTGGAGGTGGCTGCTAGAAAGATAAAACAAAGTTCTTAGTTGTCTAAGTTGGCTGCTGGGAAGATAAAACAATGTTCTTAGTTTTCTGTAAGTTAAGAGAAATCCATTCTCATATTTTCACAAAAAATGAGCAGTAACAGTTTAGAGTACTGTGGGATTCACCCTCAACATAAAGCTATGTAGCCTGGTAACTAACAGTTTCACAATCTGCTTGAACAGGGAAAGCTACACAGCAATATGACAAGAGATCTCCTTAAGATGTCTGTAAGCATTTAGGAAATCTACAGAGGGGACTGAACTCTTGGACAGATAAAACATACACTGGTGGTCATACAATATGGTGTTACTATAATTCTGTGAAATGCATAAAGTTCATATTAACTGTCTTTAGAGGTTGCCCTGCTGACTTCAGTTTTCCTTTTGAACAAAATACAAATGGCTAAGGGTCTTCTACTCTGGACTTGCCCTAATTTACCTGAGGAGGTGGTGGTGGTGGAGTCTGGTACATGGGCCCTGCAATTCTAGGATTTGGGAGCCCCACAGGACCTGCCCTCCGTTGAGCCTGCTGCCTCTGAGCGAGGACCTGCTGCTGCATGTGCTGAAGTCGCAGTTGAGCTAAACTGATCTGTGTTGGGAACTTGGATAGTTGATTTGAAGGTAAGCCACTTTGTGGCTGTATGTTTGGTTCCATCACAGGGCTTTTAGGCATGTGTGGTGGGGTCTCATTATCTTCAATTACCAGAGAACCTGGATAAAAATAATTATATTTACAAGTTAAGGATTTACTGTCTACCATTAGGCAATGCCCTCTGCCACATTAACCTTTCTGGCACGTGTCATTGCCAAATATCTAAACTAAAAACCCTTCTGTTAACTCTGGAGCTAAGTTGTTCACATACACTTTTATTTAGCTGCCTAGACCAACACAAATGTAGTCAGATAATGGTCAGATATTTACGAGCTGATAAGTATGTACTTATCGGTCATCCTCTTAACCTAGCAATGCAGGGGGTTGGACTACATAACCCTCAGGGTCCCTTCCAACTCAACAATTCTATAACTCATTCCAAGACACTGATGGCCACTTCATCATGGCAAATTTCCTACAGGATGTCACTTCCATGTAGGGATTAATGGATCAGCCTAAATTCAGTCTGTGTCCTTTTCTTATTTGATCACAACAAAGTCTCCTCCTTCCCACTTTAGCATTTAATGTGTAGATCTTTTTCTTTCAAAAAATCAGAATGAATTACATTTAAAAAGACATTAAAAATATTTACAAGGTTACCATAGGGCCAACTTTAAACATTTTCTCTCTCTTTACACGTAATAGTTGCCTGGAAGTGCTAGAAACATGCTGTGCAAGTTGAAAAAGTTGGCATTAATGCCCCTGAAAGTGGCAGGACACAATGATTTGCTGTGCATCCTAGGGACTTTGTATAGAAAAAAGATAATTGGCCTACTGATCTGTGGCAAGTAATTCCACTTCTGCACATCCTTCCTGCCTTGGATGACATTGCTCAATGGATTGGACCTCATAGCTGATACTCAAGATAAGTAATGTCCTTCAACCTAATGAAGTACAATTCAGCTTGTTACACTGGGAATGAAGGCATTCTTTGTATCTTTGTGATGTCCTGAACATTTTACAGAGCATCATAACTGGTGAGACAAGCTGTGCTCACATATCAATCCTATGGTTTCCTTTTCCTTATCTTAAAACAATGTAACTTTTGCCCTGCCATAAAATAATGAAACTTTAAGCAGTTCCCTACTGTAAATCCATAAAACCTTGAACTGACAAACCTCTATTGCATGTGTCGCAAAACAACAAATTACTAATTGAACCCAATTAGCCAGGAATACTGTTTTCACAGATATAGCAAGTTACAGTAGAATCTCTAATTGATAACTTTTAGTATGCTGAGATGCACTCCACATATTTTTCCATGTCTAAAAGAATCTTGTTTGAGTTAAAGATATGGAATTTGAATCTGGAATTTATCCTATTCCTTTCACATATATAGCCTAAATACCTTATGGAATTGAAATTTTGATGTAACTTAGAATAGTTCCCCCACCCCAAACTGTGTCAGTTTTACAAAAGTATCAAATTTTTGTTCTTCATGGGGGAATTTAGTATAAACATTCCCTCCTTTGAGATTCTCTTCAGTCCTCTCTTTCTGAGACTCACAGCTTGCACCCAGGTAATGAAGAAAGGTACCTCAACTATTTGATTGGTCTGATTTCTGTAATGCTTTGTTTCTGAGTTACCTCATTATACTATGTTTTTACATGTTATTGACTAACCTCACTTTATTTTCTGTAATGCTGAACTGGTCTTATTAAGTAGAAGAAATGTGTTATCTAAATCTGCATGTCTGAGGCACCTTCCTGGATCCTATATTTTTGTATACTGATGCAGAGAGATTAACCCTGCTCCACCTTAACGTGACATCTGTAAAAGGAGGAACTAGTGTGCTGCTAAACCAACAAACTGAAGGTTTACTACACTGAAGTCTTGTCTAGGACCTCCACCCTGAACAGAGCAAAAATTGCTTTAGATCCATGCAAGCACATTCTTTATCTGTACAAAGTCCTTGGGTGGGACAGAACATAATGCCCCCATTGTTCTTAAGAGCATTTGTGCCCCAATTTTCAATGTGCACAACAGGAAACATACTTTCTAGCCACTCCAGGCAGCTACTACCTATTAAAAACAAACACTGAGAGTCTGCCCTTGGACTATGCCATAGAATCTTTTGTGTGTGTGGATTCTAAAAAGAATCATATTCCAGTCGGGGATATGCAGATCAGGTGAGTTTGCTTTGGAAATACACACCCCATCTGATTCCTTGAACATCCCTACCCCCATCTTTGAAATGTAATGTACTTGATACATACATGTGTCGTGTGACAGCACATTTTTTCAATGTGCTTATGCATGCAGTACAAATCTAATTGGGGATTCCTACCGCCTGCACAGGCAACAAGACAGATGTGTGTATTCGGAGCATACACAAAGAACACAAAATGTCCTGTCAATAAATGATATCTCTATGTAGAAATTCATCATGAGTGGAGGCTTTTTTGTTCATAATCCCAAAGTGGAGGGAAGAAGTATAAAATAACAGAAAAAGATATATCCTAAGAAGGGTATCAAGTTTGGAGGGGGAATGTGTTCTCTAACCATTCCTAAGACACCGCTTAAAAGAAATCAATGCCAACAGTTATTTCAGAGAGTAAACATGTTTAGTAACATCAACAGTTTCTAACAAAGAGACTAACAAAGATGTACATGGAAATGTACCATACCTAAATTGAAGATATTTTGGGCCCAGAAGCTAGGATCACAGTGAAACACGGTGGTGGTATTAGACACTGGTAAGGCATCACACCTTGCTCTAAGGAGGTATCTTAATCGATATGTAATCTAGAATAAATCAGGAATGATGTATGAAAAAGTTCAACTTTTTCTGCTGTTATCTGGGGAAAGTGTTCCACATAAAGGCTGTTTTTTCCCATGATACCCCCCTAAAATTGATAAAAAATATATAGCATGTTTCTCACATTCTCCTAGCAAAGTTTTATTAACAAAAATATTACATTTCATGAATTCCCATGACACAAATAGTATTGTTTTTTTTAAAAAAATACTATTATTTAAATTAGAATACACAGCATCACTCCTGGAAATGCAACAGGAACTCTTTCAAAACTGTGCACTAGCATGACAGATAAGATACAACTTACACTAGCTAATAATAAACAGAAATAAATACATAATATAGTATTGTAATAATAAACAGCTAATAATAAAAATGAAAGACAAAAATGTCTAATACAGGAAGCTTTGGCTATAAGTTGATGTAACAACTGAGAGAGGAGATACTTTGACTGAATTTATTTAACTTAGATTCAGCAGTGGTGCATGATGGAGGTGAAGTGGCAGCTGTGCCCTCCCAGGGATAATGGTGCTACACTTTTTAAAAAACCTGGTTATTGTGGTTTTTAAAAAAATATATAATAATCAGTTTCTTGTTTCTTTCTGGATTGAACAACTGCCCTTTATGTGGCTTTGCTGGAACAAAGCAACTTCAAAGGGGGACTTCAAAGGGGCAATGTGAAACTGCTGACCTGCATCAAAGGTTCAATGCTTTCACTTGTGGATTTGAGACAAAAGGGTTTTTCTCATGTAAAGGTGCTACACTTGCCAAGACAAGGGCAAGAAGGCAGCAAGATCAAGGGAGCATTGGGTTGCAGGCAGCTACACAGGTGTACACACAGCTTTAGCACTGCCACCACAAAGATGCTGCTGTGACTCCCCCTCTCCCCACACTGCTGCTGAATGGACTGCTTCATCCCTTCCAGTGGTAAACCCATGTTAGCCATCAGGTGCATGCTCACCTGGTCAATCCCAGCTCATTAATACATGCATCTAAAAAGATGACTATTAAACTGATGCATTACATTTTTAATCCCTGCTTGCCCAGTTTATTTTTAAGCACTCTTTCTAGTTTTTAGCATGCTTTCATAGTAGAAATAGGAACAACAGTAGCACGTTTATAAATAACTGTTCAGCAGACCCTTGCTTTCCCATATCCTGCTGAGAGCACATTGTCTTTGTAATCAACTTGCCATGACTATGGCTTTCCTAGACAAAAGTCCAGTAGCTCTCTATTCTTACTCTTGAAATGTATGCACAGAGTGTGGGGGCTAGCTTGTGAATCTGGTTAGATACTAAGTTTGCCTGCTGCAATCACACATGTGGAGACACTTGTTGAGGAAAAATAACAAATCATTTATTATAAGAAATACATAACATGGATAGTTTAATTTAGAATTAGAAAATCTATCCTAAGTTGGAGAAAACAAAGGTGGCCGTGCTTGCACCTTTGTGTCTTGGAGAGGCGTAAATTGGAGAGAAGGCAACCTGACAATATCAGACAAGATCAAAGGATAGGTCAGCATCGAGATCAAAGGGACAGAGACAGTGAAGGAAACTGAAGCTCTCTTACTCTATTTTAGTCCCATGCAAACTCTTCTCTGCAAGCAAGTTGCACCCCAACTTCCAACACTTACTAGGCGTTTGCTGTACAGTAATGCGGTGCTGCTACCACTGGCGACCGCCCATTTAGAAAAGTCCATGACATGTTCCAGTTGCTTAGAAAGACCTGCCACTTCCTGTTGTTGCTGTACAAGCTTCATTCGGTGTTCTTTAGCTAGACACTGCAAGGGACAAACCCAGACACTCATCAGTTCTTTTGCCAAAACAAACAGTTGAATTTTTCAGAGAAGATACAGGAACAGCTGTGTTCATAAAAAGTGTTAACTGCCACTAACACATTACTCGAGTTGTGCGTCACTCTTCAAGTGATCAAACACAAGTAAGCCTTGTCTTTTACATCTTATTACTATTCAAACCCTTTGATTTCTACCCTTTGTTAGCTACCCTTTGACTCAAAGTGGTATGCTAGAAGAGTGATGTGCTAGAAGTGATCATTTGAATGATGAGCGCACTCTGAAAGAGAAGTTGTAAGTGCTAAGAAGGTTGTGAAAAATCCAGGGGCTGAGAGAGAGGCACAGACCCCAAGTTCCTAGCTATCTGTTTCAATATGTAGGCTCCCGGAATCTAGGCAATACTAGATCACACTTGATTGACACACAGGCAGATAATGCCCAACAGAGTGCTTTTATTTAACATCAGAAAATAGACAAGTAAACAATCACATCCTTCCACTGCAAAAATGTAAAACTCACGAACTTAGAAACAAAGCAGAAAAGCAAAGTTCTTTATCGATGAAAGACCACACCTGCCCAGATCTGCCCAAACAGTGTCTACCTTGATTGTCCAAGAAATGGTGGTAAACAAAGACCAAGTTCTGCTTTTTATACCCTCTTACTGTATGACTATAAATTTATATGAGAAGCCTATTTAAGTTAAATAACATTTCCATCCTTAAAATGACAAAGTGGTTTTTTTCTAAATAGTGCTCAAGGTTCTAAATGCTATATCCTGTTTTCAGTGACTACTTGAACACAAGCTCATGGAAACAGACACCTTTTTAACCACACTGTTCTCTCAATAATTCTTTGCACCTGTTTTTAACCACAGAATGTACCATACGTTTCCAGATATAAGACTAGGTTGTTTTACTTTAAAATACAGTGGTACCTCAGGTTACAGATGCTTCAGGTTACAGACTCCGCTAACCAGAAATAGTACCTCGGGTTAAGAACTTTGCTTCAGGATGAGAACAGAAATCGCATGGCGGCAGCACGGCGGCAGCAGCAGGAGGCCCCATTAGCTAAAGTGGTACCTCAGGTTAAGAACAGTTTCAGGTTTAGAACGGACCTCCAGAACGAAGTAAGTTCTTAAGCCGAGGTACCACTGTATGGTTAAAAATCTGGGGGAGTCTTATACAGAGATAGTGCATATGCCCATTTTCTAAATTTGGGGTCCCAAAAGTAGGGGTGTCTTATACACTGGGGCATCTTATGCACGGAAAAATACGGTACTTTCATTTGGTATCTTTGTACCTCTGTTTCAGTAACCAGACATTTACCTGCCTTACTTATGTCAGGCTTCCTGAACTAGAGTGTATAATTTGTTGTTGTTTAGTTGTGTCTGACTCTTCGTGAACCTATGGACCAGAGCACACCAGGCACTCCCGTCTTCCACTGCAGTTTGGTCAAACTCATGTTAGTAGCTTCGAGTGTATAATACAGAGGTCTGATACTGAAAACAACCCTAAATAAGCTCTTATGGCCATTTTATACGTATTTTTATGCTTGCATAAGCCTATTGCTAATACATGTATATAAATTGAAGAATGTTGCTGCAAAATCGATAAATCTAAAGCCTAACACAGCTCAAGATAATCTCTGCTGATAATGGAATACAATGAGCCTCTTCAAATGCTGTTTTGATCCTTTGATTTATACCTGGGAAATGATCAGTAGTGGGCCTTGAAAATGAGTATCCCTCTGATGGGAAGTTCTGCTAGAATGTTCAGTTCACATTGAGTTCATGAAACATCATACCCTGACCTGTTCTTAACGCATTGTTGACCACATCTACGGAATGCGATTGTTATGCTCTTTCAAGTCATGCAATATCAATCACTAGTAATAGTTTAATAAGGAGGTTTTCATACCTGTCTAACCATGTGTTCCCTTTCCCAACCTTTAATCTATTGATGATTAATGCCCTTGCATTGTATTTGTGTTAACCAATCAGCAACAAGCACATATGTGGCAATGCTGTAATATTCAATAAAAGGGACTCGCCGAGACATGCTCGGCAGATGCCTCCCATATGACACTTGTCACTCGTCTGTCGTTTATTTCAACCCAACATCCCTCCATGGGGAAAGAAAGTAGTTATGCATTTTGTTTGGTATTACATCTTGTTCAAACACAAGAGAAGATATCCTGCTTCTCTCACTGCATTTTACCTGCAGTGATGTGGGCAGCCAAGGGAAGATGTTAGCCCAAAGTGTAGTTACAATGGCCCAGCATTCCAATGCCAAATGTCAAATATACAAATAGCAAATTATGTTATTTGAACCTCATGCAGCCAAAATGAAGCCACAGATACACAAAGGACACAAGGGGAGAAAACCCCTAAACAGTCAGAAGCATCTAACATGCTCAATGGCCACAGAATGCAGGTGACAGGGGGCAGAGATGGAAATGGAGTAACTAGGTAAAGATCATGACCAACCTTACTCATACGATGTGCTGTATGTACATAAAGAGTACTTCAGAGGCCCTGCTCACAGGCTCGTTGCTAAGGTTAATTAGGTTGGTAAGAATGAGAGGGCTTTTTGGTGGTGACCACTCTGCCCAAAGCTTTATGCATTTCTCTCCGTAATTGTGTATGGATTTTTCTGTACAAGTCTTTAAAACTGGATTCATTTGTTCTGTTTTAACTGCTGTTGGTTTTGAAACTGAGCTGTTTGAAGATGTGTTATGCTAACTTACTGAAATGTCTCTGTTATGCTTTAACGTTGCCGTTTTTCCTACTTTTTATAAATATTTGTTTGGTGATTTCTGATGTATTTTATAATGTGGGAAGGCTAAAGGCTTAAATACGCTCTAAACATATTTCTGTAAAAAACAAATAAGCAGGAGTACTCCACACTGCAACAAGTTGTTTTCAATGTAAATATAAATTATCCAAAGTAATCACATCCCTAGTGTGAAAGGACATACACAATATCTGACTGTGTTTGCATGGGTAGTATTCAAAGACATACAATGGAGTTTTAAAAAATTACAGGATTGTCTATCAATATGGAATCCCTCCTATGCAGAAGAAGAAGATTTTGAAATCTTTCAAATTGTTCTTCTGAAAAGAATTTAATAAAGTATAACAAATGCATTTAATAAAGCATGATAAATACATTCAGATCTATTTAGCAGTACATATTACTGCAAAGTGATTAAAAAAATGTGCAGTATGTCAGAGTGGGGTCTTAATGTTGCCCCTCAGTAAAGAATAATTTACCTCAAGCTGATGGAGTAGAGCTTTCCCCTTTTTGTTTATTTCTACCATCAATGTGAAAATAGCAACTTTAATGTCCTGTTCCACCAGCTTTTGATTCCGATTCACTTCATGAATCCTAAAAAGGTGGAAAACAGAAATGCTCTTTAATATGCTCAACATGGGAAATGTGCAAAATAACTTATTCTGAAATCTTTGGAAACTAGTAAACTTGGTCCTAACTAAGCCCTAGGAAATAAATGGAATGAAACAGCCACGAACTCAAGATCCACTTATTTCAACTGGATTTTTGTTGCGACTAGCATTTGCTGGATTATGTCCAATCAACTTCATGAGCCTTTGGGAAAACCTTTGAATTGTCCCTTCTTACTATAACAATTCTATGATTCTATGAATCTTGAATGTTTGAACTTTAATGGTAAATCAGAAGAAATAAACATTAAGACCCTCAGCCTTATGGATAAAAGTGAAATACCAAAAAAATGCTTCTTTCACATATTGTATTACCAGCAGTGATGTGTAGTGGACAATTTTCAATGAAATTTTCCAGTGCTTTATTTTTCTGCAGAAAATGTTCTGTTTCATATTTTTATTAGTAGAAATGAACAGCTGTGAACTGCAAGTGCAATGTTAGACAAGTTGATAGTTTCAAAGTTTTTAGCCTTGTTTACTAAAAACAAGTAAAAGAAGTCCTCTTTAGGCCATCAGAAAATGTTCTTATTTAAATTACGCTAATTTGCAAAGGAACATTTTCTGCAGTTTTTCCATTCAAAATTTTCTGGATAACCCACATAACTAGCTACCAGAAAGGTAAAGAATAAAGGCACTGTTCTTTTCCCTGTCCTTTTTATTCTTCTGTCAGGGATTTTCTCTCAAAACATACATGCCACTATTCCTCTTTATAAGTGAACACCTCAAAATCAATCTCCTTCCCCTCCCTTATAATTTAATTTTTTGAATGACTAGTGTTTGTTTTTTAATTATTAATTATAAGCAATATAATATTGTAATGTGTGTTTTTATCAATACAATTTTGACTACACCATTATTTGCATTTCCTGTTCCATCTCCCACTCTGTCATACTCCCATTTTTTGACAGCTTGCCTTAGGGCAGAGAGTTCTCATTTGTATCCTTTATAAGTGCCTTGGATGAAGGTACTGAGGCAATGCTCATCAAATTTGCAGATGACACCAAACTGGGAGGGGTAGCCAATGCCGCTGAAGACAGAATAGGGATTTCAAGGTGACCTTAACAGATTGGAGAACTGGGCCCAAACTAACAAAATGATTTTCAATAGGGACAGATGTTAAGTTTTACACTTAGGTAGCAATACCAGCTGCACAAATATAAGGAGGACTCCTGGATTGCCAGTAGTACATGTGAAAATGATATAGGGGTCTTAGCAGATGACAAGCTTAACATGAGTCAGCAGTGATGTGGCAGCACAAAAAAGCAATGTTATATTCTAGGCTGCATCAACAGAAGTTCAGTGTCCTGCCTTGGTTGGACCACACCTGGAATACTGTGTCCACTTCTGGGCACCACAATTTATGAAGGATATTTGCAAGTTGGAATGTGTGCAGAGAGGGCAACCAAGATGATAAAGAGTCTGGAAACCAAGATTTATGAGGAATGGTTGAGGGAATTGGGTATGTTTAGCTGGGTAAAGAGGAGATTGAGAGGAGATATGATAGCCATCTTCAAATACCTACAGGGCTGTCCATCAAATAGAGGGTAGCGCAAGCTTGTTTTCCCCTGCTCTGGAGGGTAGGACCCAAACCAATGAATTAAAGTTATAATAAAAGAGATTCCAACTGAATATCAGGAAGAACCTTCTGACAGTAAAACCTGTTTGACAGTGGGAAAGACTCCCATGAGAGGTGGTGGACTCTCCTTCCTTGGAAGTTTTTAAGAAGAGAGTAGTAACGTATGACTTAGTTGAGATTCCTGCATTGCAGGTGGTTAGATTGGATGAGCCTTGTGGTCCCTTCCAACTCTATAATTCTATTATTCTTTTGTAAAGCAGTATATTTTTAGGAACAAAACAACAACAATAATCCATAGTAATAGTAATGCAAATGCAGTCACATTAGATATAGTTCATCAAACCTCTTTACAGTGATTCTGATAAATGTTTTGTGCACGTTAAACTGTTATATTGTATAGTACCATTCCAATGGTCATGGAAACCAATTACAGAAATACTTCTCAAGGGAAAATATCACCTGAAACCCACAACATGAGAAATAGATATAAATTAAATTTAGCCTAAAATCTATGCCGTATAAACATAATATTTTATTATTATAAAACAAGTACCTATTTTGAATCTGCTCCCCTGTATATTTTATATATTTGCTTTTCTCCATCAGCTTCGTGACTAATGTGTCAATTATAACCTTTTGATTCTGAAAGGCTTCTTCTATAAACTGGTACCTGCAGTAAAAGAAAAATAACAAACCATGCACATAGCAAAATATTCCCCATCTTGCCTTACTAAAAAAGTTGCTAAAAGGTAAGACAAGTTATGTGACAACAATTTTTCATATGAAATCATTTTATTTTCATAGGTCATCGGAGGCCAATAAAATAATGATCAATAAAGCATTTGATTGCCAAAATTGTATGGCCTATGGCCATAAACATTGTCCAAGATTATATTGTAAAACCTCTAAGTACTTTGGACATTTAGACTAGTCATGCCAAAATTTACCGCCCCTTTTTCTGCAAAAGAGGAAAACCAAAATTGTACTGATATAACTACAAGGTAGTGTGCCCCTTAAAAATTCAACAGATGGATGTGTTTTAGCCATTTTGTATTGGGCTTTTGGTTGTAAAACCTAGGTTGTTGAATGGTTGAGTTTTGGTGTAAAGGCTCTTATGCATAGGAAGGTCAAAAGTTTACAGGAAGGTTAAAAGAGCAAGGCCATATTTTGCTCAGGTTGTTCATCCGAGAGTCAAGATGATATTTTGCATGGGAAGGTCAAAGCTTCATGTTAGGAATCTGGCAATTAAGGGGAAATAGAAACTGAACTAATACATTCTTCTCCTGATTAGCTAAAAGGTTGGAAGTGGGGGTGAAATATTGTATATTAGTCAAGCTAGAAAATAGCTAGTTATGGAGTCAGAAACTCGAAGGACTGAGAGTTGAAGAGCTGCAAGAAAGAAAAGGGCCTAAACTGCTTTAAGAGAACAGGAACACTGGAATGTGTTAGAGAGCACAATGAAGCCAGAAAGCTGAACCATTCAGGAAACAGTCTAGAACAGGTATAGCTGGGTGCATTTAATTTAAACTGCTCTTATGTGTAGCTACCCAAGCTGAAAAATTAGGTGTGCCCCCCATCTGCTTGGGGAAAAATTGGTGCAAGGTCTTCTTATTCATTCCATGCCCAAGTGCTACACTACTCTACCTAGTATAGAAAGAAAGTTGGGCCACTTAAAGTCCAGAAGGTTAATGGCCTGTTTAGTGGAGGTGGTCAGAGAAAAATAAAGTTACCACATTGGCAGCAATGGTTAAATTAACAAGGAGGAGTGGTATGTTTGGCTGGTTTGCTTGCCTCTCTTCTCTCTCACGGTTCAGGCTACAACCTGAACCACCACAGAGGTTATAGGATATTTATATTTTTGGAATAAACTGAAATCTGCCTCTAACTTCCAGTTTCACCTTCAATTTGGTTACATGCAATTATAATACCTGTGCTCTTTGTGTTCCAGCAACTGGCAATCCCGACATGTCAGCTTGTCACAAGTTTCACAATAAAGCTTTAGCTGCTCCTTCTTGTGATAAGGACAGAACACAGGTCGCTGACTAGTTACACCAACAGCTTCTGCAAAATTAAACGGGGGAATCAACTTTTGTTGTTACTGCTAGGATTAGAAGGGGCAATTATTACTACAATTAACCCCACATATATTACTGGAAGGGACGCGGGTTGTGCTTTGGGTTAAACCACAGAGCCTAGGACTTGCCGATCAGAAGGTCGGCGGTTCGAATCCCCGCGACGGGATGAGCTCCCGTTGCTCGGTCCCAGCTCCTGCCAACCTAGCAGTTTCAAAGCACATCAAAGTGCAAGTAGATAAATAGGTACCCTTCTGGCGGGAAGGTAAACGGCGTTTCCGTGCGCTGCTCTGGTTCACCAGAAGCAGCTTAGTCATGCTGGCCATATGACCCGGAAGCTGTCTGCAGACAAACGCTGGCTCCCTCGACCAATAAAGCGAGATGAGCGCCGCAACCCCAGAGTTGGTCACGACTGGACCTAATGGTCAGGGGTCCCTTTACTTTACCTTATATATACAAGTATCTACAGGGTATAATACACAAGCAGTTCATATAGTCAAACAGAGTACCTGGCTGCACCTTAGGGCAAATAGGAAGACCTTTCTATCTCTCTCTCTCTCTCTGACAACACTCTTTTACACCAGCACTTACTGCTGGACAGGTTTCCCTTTTAAACCGATGGCCTCCAATCAACTGACAGCACATTACTGCTGAGTCTTTCTGACCCAGCACTTCCGTAGAAAGTATTGCAGGTTGGTTGCATCAGCTAGCAAACTCAAGCCTCCAGACTTACGATCTCACAGAGTATTCTGTGAACCCCGACACTGAATAGCCTCATTCACACGTCACATTAAATTGTAGTTTAAAACAATGGATACCCCTGGCCCCCAGAATAGCCTTGATCAGGAGATATTTCCCTGAAAGCATTTGTGTAGCATATCTGAAGACTGGTACAGATGTTAACCCTGAAGTATACTGAAATAATGAAAATGAACAAAACTATACATAGAAGAGAATGTGTAAAAAATGCATTAGATAGAACTGAGCATTAAGTAAAAGAACTTTTACCTGGAGATACTTCCTCTTTCTGTCTTACTGTATGATCCTTCGTGAATTTCACCCTTTGATGAGCTCGTATGCAGGTCTTACATAACCATTCAACACACTCCACACAAAAACCATTGGCTTCTGCATTGTCTTCACAGCTTGTACAAACCTGGTTTAAGTAGAAATAAAAAGTATGCCTATTGAAACAAATCAGCATATTTGCTTTCAGTGGTATCATTACTAGTAGGAATGGAAATCAGGTGAGGAACAGAAATCAGATTTCTCACCTACACATATACTTATTTTGTAGGCTTCTGTAACACTGCAATGCTAAAAACCACTGACTTTTGGCTGGAATGTAGCCTACTCTACAAAGGTAAGAATCACATCCATTGCTCTGCTCAGATTTGCCTCTGATCCTGCCTACCACTAGAAGGTTTTTCATGAGTGAATTTAGATATTGGGATGAAGAAAGTTCTCCCCCATTCCAAACCTTGTGCCCTCCCACATTGCAATATTCACTATTACCCTTTGATAACTAGATTCTCTCTGTAAGATGCAAATCTTACACATAAAATGTCAAACAACACAAATATTTTACTCCTTTTCCTATACTTTCATTTCCTAGATGACAACTAGTATTTAAAATATGACTACAATAACATTTTCATTTTAAGTATAAGGCATGCAGAGAAGACTGACGAGTTGACAGCTTAGGGAATTTGAAAAGCACCAGACACTCACCTGATTTGACTTCTCCACCGTACTACTAGGAACCTCAGTAGTATCCTTCACAAATATGTTATCGATGATGTGTCTTTCTGCACATTCCTGGCCACAAATTGGGCAACGAACAACACCAACTAGGGAGAAAGAAAAAAATGACATGAATTAATAAGTTTAGAAATAAAAAAGGAATTTACAGTCTGGTATTTCCCCCTTTTTATAACCCCTTTTCAGGTGGATTCTTCATTACATTTATTAATCTACAAGTTGAGTACGATTTTTCTTTTTATTTTTGTGCAGGCCATTTATATGATGTCCATTTATATGATGTAGGAAGGCAATTTTTTCAAACAACTTTTATGTTTTAATTCTTCATGCTCCTTGACCAGCTTTATTGTGTTGCAGGTATTGACTCATAAAAGAGAAGCAACAAATAACCACACCAGTCTTCAATTAAGGGCCAACAGGAAGACCTTGAAATTCAGCAAACTAAACTTAAGGCTGAGGAAAACCAAAAGTGGACTGTTTAAACTTAACTAATATCTTCATGTCTTATATACTTATTTCTTTCACTTCTGTGAACTAGGAAACATATTTTAAAAGCCACAGAAAAACAGAATAGCTGAAAAGTTTCCACAATACTGTACAGTGAAAGAAATGTTTGTTGTGAACTTATGATGAAACCAAGCAATTAACAATTCATACATGTTAAGATCCCATATTTATATCATATCATATTATATCAATATTTTAATATTTAGATTATATTTGTCTCCAGGGATGATCCAGAAGATGGCAATAGGTGTTTCCCAACTCCTTGGCTCTTGAGTGCTGCACAGCATTATATTGTGACCTCTATTATTTAACACCTATATGAAGCAGTTGGGAGCAGCGGTCAGTATGCTGATGATACCAATATTCCTCTGTAACATCTGAATCAGGAATGACTGAGAATGCCCTGGACCAGTACATGGATGTAGTGGAGTGGTGGGTTGAATGAGGGCTAATCAACTCAGTCTGAATCCTGGCAAGATAGAGGCTTTTTGGATGAGTGATTCTGAAGTCTGGGAAGTTGGTCAGCTAAATTTATTTGCATGTGATTGCACTCTTCTTGAAGGAGGAGGTATATGGTCTAGGCATGTTCCTAGATACAGTTCTGCCACTGAAGAAACAGGTGTCGTAGGTGACAAGGAGTGTTTTTTACCACCTCTGGCTTGATAAGACAACTCTAGCAGTTCCTGGATTAGTATAGCTTGACCACAGTTGCCCATGCACCGGTAAACATCAAGGTTGGATTACTGCAAGATTACAATCAAAGGTTGGCTTACCGGCACACGTGTACTTTGAAAATGCACAAAATGGCCGTTCTCTGTATACCCTTCTTTAACACAAGTAAAATTTGACTATAAGGTTTGGCAAACAACTACTTCCATGTACAAGAGTTCCAGAAGACAGTTCCAAAACCCATGGCTCTGTGTGCGCAATTCCACAGAAAAAAAGTGCAGAAGGTGCTATTTCAGAAAATTTCAACTTCCAAAGCATCTCAGCCATTTTACTTTTCAGCCAGCTTCTAGCCTTAATGTTTGAAAATGTGTGAGCAAAGTTTGATGAAAACTCATGAGACAGAGGGATAATGGAATAAGATTTTAAATAACTGGGGCAGAGATTCAGTATACTGCATCACTCCTTGACACACTATCTCTGGAAAAACAGAATTATGCAGAATACAAATCATGAAATTTATATAATATACACAGTGCATGGAATTTTGATTGCCTTGGTGCAAAACTAAATTAATAAAAAGTTCACACACTGCAATTTCACAATTTCTAAACAACTCCATTAAAACTGGCACACTTTTTCCTGCACCTGTGGATACATGGCCAGCGTGTCTTGCAGTTCTTTGTGCAAGGGATCCTCAGACAGCGCCTGGTTCAAGGCGATGTTGGGTTGGCTAGGGAGGCTGAACTTGGCCCTTCATTAGAAAGGGGCCAGGTCCTCATGCTGCTGCTCCTTGTGCCTGAAGAGACCCTCAAGGCTGCAGGAGTCCAGCATGGGGCCAGCCCAGACTGTTGGTGAAGATGGCCTGGTCCACCTCCCTTTTCCAAGTCTCAGCCTCTACACCTGCAACAATGAGCCAAGACTGTTCTCTGTGTTATGACTTATCTTCCTGATGGGCACCCGCATTCAGATAGTGCCTCTCTTGCTGTGCGTGGTTCCATGGCACTTTAATTAGTTCTTTTAATGCCTCATGTTGTTGAGCAAATTCCTTTCTCAAACTCCCTCTGGCGGGGGAGGCGCCATGTTATCTTCAGCCTATCTAAATCTCGGTTAACATGTGTTCTTCATCTTCTGGAGTTTTAAAAAGTTTGTAAGGTCTCCTTGTTTGCCTTGTGAAAGACCCACAGGCATCTCCTTATCTCTTCCGCTAATTTGAGAGCTAGTAGCAGGTGAAAAATTCTTCTCATGGCCAGATTTTACAGGCAGCTCCCAGCATTTAAGGGAATGATGAAATTTACATTTAGTAATATATATTGTAGTAGGTAAGGGTAGCCAATATGGTGCCCTCCAAATATTGCTGGCTTCCAACTCTTATCAGCGCCAGCCAACAAAATTTAACCAAGTAATATTTAAACCATATTAAGTGCAATAATCTTTTCCCATGATATTTCAGGTCAAATATTTGAGAAGTATTAGGTCAAAAAGATAACTGGCAACTTTTTCAGCTTTGTGTACTACATAAAAGTAAAATGAACGTGTAAAATTATATCCCTAGGACATCAAAGAATTATCCAATATAAACTGAAAATTTTCTGGTGCAAATTATCCTAATTTATATAAGAGTATTTTTCTGAAAACCAGCATCACTAGACAGAACACTCAGAATTCCACAGAATTCTGAATTATGTAGAGGTCAGTGTTTCCTGGCACTCGACTGAAACTGAATCTTCCTTCAGGGAAGTATGCAGTCAGTTATGTAATAAATCTCTGAATCCAGCCCTATGTAAAGGCAATCCTCAATTTGTGCAGGGGTTCCACTCTGGAGCCTCACACGCATCGGTGGAGCATGCTTAAGTCCCCTCTGCCCTGCCCAGTCCCTTTCCATGACGAGTTTTGACATTTGTGCAGACTGAGGTTTTTTCTTATAAATAATACTAAAAGGTAAGAATTTGAGTTTAACTTCTTTTGCTTATCAATATTTCTGGCTAAACCATTTACAATGTTTCTTAACTCAGAATTGCTTTCGAAGGACAATAATTTTTGTTCTAATTTAAAAATGGTTGTGTCCTTGAACTTATACTGTTTCTTTGCATCAGTCATAACCTGGCTTCACTGCATCTCTTGATTATATTATCTACTGAATGTTAATATCAGAATGAGACAAATGTAACAACATCCGTAACAAACATTTGCATTTCTGCCAGGCAATATTGCTTGTCAATTCACCCATTGTTTTCAAACTTACTATTTCTTGTCTGATGATTTGTTTAAAAGGTAGCCCAACCAAATACCACTCATTATATGACATGCTATCGGTTTTCATTTTATTTATAGACATCATGGATGTATTTCTGCACACGCAGAAGAATCTCTGCCCTGTGGGCCAATTTGGCCAGTGAAGCCATTTTCTGCAAAAAGTGCCATTTACCTATCAGCTGAATAGTGATCTCAGCTAATAGGTGGGAAGACAGGATTTAATTCTGCATTGGCTGCATGTGCTCCCAGTAGGGAACACAACTGTGCAGCCAAGACAGCAGAATTTAAATCTTCACTCATCAGCTCCCACCTTTAAAGTCCCTTTCAAGTGGGACCCTTTGTAGGTTTCCCCCTTTTACTTTTAAGTCTCCAATCTTGCTCTAAATTTAAAGGGGGTGGGGGAAGCTCACAAAGGCTTTTGTAAGACTTCACTCCTCCCTTTAACACAGGAGTAAAAGGGACTTTGGCAGGTAGGTGGCTACATCCACCTACCTATCAATCGTATGACATCTTAACGACATGTGATTGATAAGGTTCTGGCCTGTGGAGCCAAAAATGTTTCCTATCCCTGACACACATGGTGAATATACCTTTAACTGGTTTTTGCAGTGCCATTCAATGGTACAAGGTGCCATTTACCGGAGACTGACATACTGAAATATATTATCATATAATATATTTAATGTTAATGGCTTCTTTTTTATGTATGAATATAGTTTTATTTTTCAAGCTGTGTTTTAGTCACCAAAACTGTTATTAAGTGTTAGAGCTATTAGAAGCACAAGATAGCCTATTACTGAATTGACTTGTATCAAACCTTAACATACCAATTGTATTTTTTGACTTATCCTATAACATGCATATGTTCTAATGGAATAATAAAATATGATTTAACTACTGAGTTTCCTTATACCAAACCTTTACATGACAATTACTGGTGCTATCACCTTAGAATGCTTTAACTTTAACTATAAAACATGTTTTACTTTTTAACTTGATACTTGCAAGTGACAAGTAGGTTTGCGCTTATATATTTTCACTGTGGTACTTTACTAAACAGTAAGTTTCCCTATATGTCAACAGTAAAAGGTAAAGGTAAAGGTACCCCTGCCCTTATGGGCTAGACAAAGCTGCTCTGGCGAGCCAGCACCAGCGCAGCACACGGAAATGCCGTTTACCTTCCCGCTATAAAGCGGTACCTATTTATCTACTTGCACTTAAAAGTGCTTTCGAACTGCTAGGTGGGCAGGAGCTGGGACCGAAAGACGGGAGCTCACCCCGCCGCGTGGATTCGAACCGCCGACCATACGATCGGCAAATCCTAGGCACTGAGGTTTTACCCACAGCGCCACCCGCGTCCCTATATGTCAACAGTGCTGACCTGCTAACCAATAAGAAACAGTTTTTCAATGCATTAAAATGAATATTCTCCTATTTTAAATGAAAATTCTCTAATATTCTCATTAATTAAGAATATTCTCGATAATATTCTCCAGAAAATTATTCTCGAGAATTTAACATCACTAGTTGGGCTACAACTCCCAACATCCCTAGCTAATTGAGCTTGCTCAACACAGCAGAACATAGTCTTCTGGCAGATGGCAAAGGTCATACTTTGCTTCTCTGTGGCTCTGTAGTCCCATGGCTACTTGCAGTTGGAGCAACCGGGTGTTCTTTCTGATAGAAAATGGTAAACCCAGCATCTTACCACTTCTTCTCTGGCTCATAAGTCATCCATACTTAACTCTGCTCCTTATTTCTAGGCACAGGTCCGGGCTTTCCAGGTTTGTGTTCAAGAACTTTCTTTTACCCCTGGTGCTTTCCCTACACAAACCCACTCTTTACCACAATTGGAGTAAATGGCAAACTATGAAACTGATGTTTGCTCTGATTAAGTGATAAAACACCAGATTTTCCTAGGGAAAGCACCAGGGCCAAAAAACAAACAAATCCAACAACAAAAACAAAAGCATGGACAGGGAAAGTGAGGACCTGTGCCCAGAAAGCATGGGGCACCAGGTAAATTTGGATAAGTCCTAAAATAGGCTAAAATAATATATCTTCCCTGTTTGTTGCAAGAGTTTGGTAGCTCAGGTGGTAGCTCTGACAATACAAGAAATTAAAGTGGGGGATTACATATCATATTGCATGTAGCACAGGACATTACAATTACTGCAACAGTCAGAAACATCGGTAAATTACCTGGAAAAACCATGAGCAATTTTCAAGTGATCGGGGGGGGGGGATGTTTGGTAGTTACTGCTCTAGAACAGCGGAGGGCAAATCAACAAACCATACAGACTTTCTACAGCTCCTACTTTTATCTACCATAACTATGTTATGAGTGAAGAAAGGCAGATGGAATTAAAATTATGCCTTAACAAGTTAATCAAAGAACAACATAAGTAATAGGTTTCGGCTGTGTGTGCATTGCAATAGATGTTAGATAGCACAGACTAAGATGCATATGCTACAGGAAGAACCTGGTTTCCTGCTCTTTGCCAAGCAATGATTTCTTGCATGGCTCAGGTGAGCTTACTGGCATAATTATGAACTATGTGCATATAAACCATTCAATTTCTAACAGATAAATGAGTAAACTAACTTGGAATGTACTAATTGCATTGGTGTTGTTATGCCAAGAACCTCTAGCCAGCAGCCCCAAAGCTAGTCCACCGAGCATTCCTATTTGACCTGTAGGACTGTTTTGGTTAAGGAACAGAATTATAGCCATGCAGATCAATCTCTTCCATTCCTTCACTGCATTTTAGTTCAGCAGAGCATCGAAGTTGTGGATGAAATTTTCTAACAGTTCTTAAAATTCTGTCACACAGATCTCAATTGAATCAGCATGATAGCATCACATGCTGAATAGCAGTGATTGTTGTTGCTGACATCAATCTGTCTCAACAGACAATGAAGTGTGCCTCTCGGGGTGAAGTCAAACCGGTGCCTTTTTTTCTCCTGAAGATATCCCACAAGACAAAGTACATTGGACAAGAAAATTGGCTTCCAGGTGGAAAGATCCAAATTAGAAACTGAACTGTTAGAACCCAAAACTAAGAATTTGTCAAGAATGTATAACTTGCTGCTGAAATGGAATACTCAGGATGAAACGGTAAAATCGGCTATGATTAAATGGGCACAGGACGTTGGACATAACATTATGTTTGCTGACTGGGAACAGTTGTGGACCACAGGTATGAAATTTACGGCATGTAATGCCTTAAGAGAGAATATTATGAAAATGATATACAGGTGGTACATAACCCCAGTCAAGCTCGCAAAATCTATCACTTGCCCGATAATAAATGTTGGAAATGTAAAGAAACTGAAGGTACATTTTTCACCTTTGGTGGACGTGCCCAAAGATTAAGGCTTTCTGGGAAATGATATATAATGAATTAAAAAGGTATTCAAATATACCTTCCCTAAGAAACCAGAGGCCTTTCTCCTGGGCATAGTCGTACAAATTGTTTTAAAAAAGGATAGAACTTTCTTTATGTATGCAACAACAGCAGCAAGAATACTCATTGCAAAGTATTGGAAGACACAAGAACTTCCCACGCTGGAGGAATGGCAGATGAAACTGATGGACTATATGGAACTGGCGGAAATGACTGGCAGAATCCGTGACCAGGGAGAAGAGTCGGTGGAGGAAGATTGGAAGAAATTCAAAGATTATCTACAGAAACACTGCAAAATTAATGAATGTTAGAGTGATGTTGGATTGAAAATAAGTGGTTTCCAGCTGTACAGGATAAAGTTATAGATAGATCAAGATTAAAGATTAGGATTAAAGAAGTTTAAGGAAATGGAAATTTGGTACTTAAGAGGTAAAATTTTAACGTTATATTACAGTAAGATTAAAGATTAGGATTAAAGAAGTCTAAGGAAATGGAAATTTGGTACTTAAGAGGTAAAATTTTGATGTTATATTATATTAAGATTAAAGACTGGGATTAAAAAAGTGGAAAAGAAATTGCTGGACAAACAATTTGGACTGGAATACAAAAGAGGGAGGTATGAGGAAGTCCAGAAAATAAGTAAATTTAAAAACGGAAATGAAAAAGTGATATTGTTTTTAATTGTTCTGTTTTTTGTGTGTGTGTTTTTCTTCTTTTTTTTGATTATGTATTGTGTATTTGTGTATTTCTTTTTTATGTCTCTCTGTCTAACTTTTTATTGAAACCTTAATAAAAATCATTTATTTAAAAAAAAGCAAAAAAAAAAAAAAAAAGCAAAGTACAGAATTTTCCTCAGGGCTTACTCCCGAAGTCTTTCTTCTGAATGAGTATATCCATAAGGCAGGGGAAGTATAGGATCAGCTTTTCTTCTCCTAGGGCTACTTTCCCAGGTTGATGGGCCCCAGAAGCAACCACCTTCTTGACTGTTGGTCACACTACAGTGGTACTTCAGTTTTTGAACACCTTAGTTTCCGAACTCGGAACCCGAACGCTGCAAACCTGGAAGTAGGTATTCTGATTTTCGAATTTTGCCTTGGAAGCCGAACGTGCTCCTGAGCTTCAGTTTTCACTGTTGCGCAGTTGAGTCCCCCCCGCATCATAATTAAGGCTTTCCCCCTCCCGTTTTTACCCTTAAGCAACAAATTTAAGTTGTCCCTCCCATCGTAATTAAAGCCTTCCATTTCTGATTCCAGTGTTCTGACGTGATATTTGGTGCTTTTGTTTTTGCTTCCATTTCATTTTTGTGTCTGTGGCTTGTTTTTCATTTTATGATTGATTGATTGACTGTGTGACTGCGGAAATGGATAAAAGCCCTCCATCCAAACAATGACTATCATTAGTGCAGGTAAGAAAAAAAATTTTTTTAATTTTTATCATCTACAATACTGTTTTATTAGGGACGCGGGTGGCACTGTGGTCTAAACCACAGAGCCTAGGGCTTGCTGATTGGAAGGTTGGCGGTTCGAATCCCTGCGACGGGGTGAGCTCCCGTTGCTCGGTCCCCTGCTCCTGCCAACCTAGCAGTTCGAAAGCATGTCAAAGTGCAAGTAGATAAATAGGTACCACTACGGCGGGAAGGTAAATGGCATTTCCGTGCGCTGCTCTGGTTCGCCAGAAGCAGCTTAGTCATGCTGGTCACATGACCCGGAAACTGTACGCCGGCTCTCTCAGCCAATAAAGCGAGATGAGCGCTGCAACCCCACAGTCGTCTGCGACTGGACCTAACAGTCAGGGGTCCCTTTACCTTTTTTACATTGATTATTGCTTTCATTTTATGGACCAATGATCTCAATAGATAGTAAAATTCATGTTAAATTGCTGTTTTAGGGGTTGTTTTTAAAAGTCTGGAAGGGATTAATCCGTTTTGCATTACTTTCTATGGGAAAGTGCGCCTTGGTTTTGGAATGGATTAAGTTTGAGAACCAAGGTACCACTCTATTGGTTCTGTCCACTCAATCTGTCACGGCCTGTCTTCACATGCAGGCGAAGTTCCTAACTTGCTGAGGGTTTGAGACCCAATGGCTACCCTCACCTGGTTTAGCAAACCAGTCAAAGCCATTTTCTGTGGTGTGGCCACTGTCACATGCTGACCGCTTCTAGGAGCCACAGGTGAGAGCTGAGGGCAGCGTAGAGACCAAAGGTGGCCAAACTACCCCAGGAGGAGTACAACGTGTCTCCCACCAGAGGCAGTACTCCTCCCTTAACACCTCATACACCCCAATAACAGTGTTGGAGGCTATGGATTTGTAAAGTCCTTGAAAGTGCACAGGAATACACTGAAGCTAGGAGGCAAATTTCCTGTAATAACAAAATAGTCAATGAGGAAATCCCTGCACAAAATATGTAGTTTAAAGTAAAAAGTCTAAATGTGGACATAGGGTTACATGTATAAAGAATACAATATACTGTACAGGCACCCCATGCAATCTTCTTATATCTTGGGCTGGAAGGTATGAAACACTGCTACGTGCACGTGCCATTAAGATCAATGAGGCAAACACTAGGGACTCATTCATAGTTGTTTAATGTGGATAATAAGCATCTTGTACTTCCATTAATTATCTGTTGCCTATATGATGTTCTCCTAATCACTGCCTTCTCACACTTTCCCCTCCCCTAATCCAGATTTTTCTCATACCTTTTCCTTTTCAGCATATCCCTGGCATTTCTGAAACTGTGGTTTTTATTATTGATATTTATTATAAGCAACCCCGAGCCAAATTTGCACTGAAAGATGCCATAAAATATTTTAAATAAATAGTAACCTCTAGTCTCACTTTACAGTTTCCTCAGCTGTACAATACAGATGTGTAACTGCAATTTGCTCGCATTCTTTTTCTATCCAAGTCTCTTCTTGCATACCCTGTTCTTGTACATTTCAGATTGTATGCTTCTTGGAGGAGAAGAACCTGTACAATTTTTGTTCACTGACTTCTGTAAACTCTTGAGCCATGTATAGTGATGTCAGGATAGTAACAATAGTAAAAAATGAAAAAAGTAGCTGCAGAAGATTGAAAGTCACAAAAATGGAATGCTAAAAGAGCTATTGCAGAATGAATTATGTTCATTAAAATAACATGTGACCAAAGTATGTAAAAGCCACAACACATTTTAGAATAGGGGTGGCGGGTCCCAGCCCACAAACTGAATTAGTCTCACCTGGCCTCCTCTTGGTGAAGGAAGAGGGGGGGTAAACCCAACCATGTATTAGCACTCCAGCTAACAATTGCTCCAGCTATGCAGGCCAGCTATGTAGGCCAGCAGTGGTTTTCCTGTCTGGCTTCCTGCTTCAGTTGTGGTGAACATGCAAACTTTCCTGTCTGGCTTCCTGCCTCAGCTGTGCTAAAGATGCAAACATATACAATGCAAAGCAAACAATATCTGCAAAGGGGGGGGGGGCTTAGCTAGCCTAATAAGGTAATGAAGTGTATCTCTGCCTGTTGATTGGGGAGCAACTGGGGAGCCAAGCTTGCAGCTTCAGTATAAGAATGCTTGCAAGACAATAGGGGGGGCGGCCAGTCTTTGGAAGCTATTCCGCTGGCTGTCTCTGTGCAGATTCTGCAATAAACCTTTTTCTCTGTGAAACCCACCCTGGTGTTTGCTTGACTCCTTCACGCTCACGGCGAGGGCACGAGGTGACTGGATCCGTACCCCTTAGGTTCAGATATCCTAACACTGGGACTGCCATTTCAGTCAACACACACCTACCTGCCCTACACCTGGCATTACAGTGGTACCTCTGGTTACGTACTTAATTTGTTCCGGAGGTCCGTTCTTAACATGAAACTGTTCTTAACCTGAAGCACCACTTTAGCTAATGGGGCCTCTCCTGCTGCTGCCGCCGCCGCTGCACAATTTCTGTTCTCATCCTGAAGCGAAGTTCTTAACCTGAGGTACTATTTCAGGGTTAGCGGAGTCTGTAACCTGAAGCGTATGTAACCCGAGGTACCACTGTATATCAGCGTCACGCAGCAAAGTCAAAAACGCAGAGTCTTCACAGTAAATGAATAAAGCTTTACGGAGGCAATCATACTTCTTTACAAACACATAATGGAGAAGAGCAAAGTAAAACAGAAGAAGATTAGACTAGGCTAGAGAGCACACTGAGCCCATTGTATTTATCTTTCCTGGCTCCGAGTGTCTTCCTGTAATTCAGGGGTCAGCAAACTTTTTCATCAGGGGGCCGGTCCACTGTCCCTCAAACCTTGTGCGGGTCCGGAATATATTTTTTAGGGGGAAATGAATGAATTCCTATGCCCCACAAATGACCCAGAGATGCATTTTAAATAAAAGGACACATTCTACTCATGTAAAAACACGCTGATTCCCAGACCGTCCACGGCCGGATTTAGAAGGTGATTGGGCCAGCCCCGGCCCCTAGTTTGCCTACCCGTGCTGTAATTGATACAATATTTGTACAAGGAATGAGTCATTCTAGAGGATGAGTCAGAGTGAGTCAGCACTTTTCAGCATTTTCCAGCACTTTCTACACTTTACTGCTTCTGCTCTCAAAGGCTTTGTCACATGACAATCAGGTGTGGGGTATGTAAAACTTGTCAGTGAAAGAGGGCTTATGATCAGCTGATTGTTGGATCTCCAAAAGTCCTTTTCAAAACACTGTTCAATTAAAGCATCAGTGGCAGATGGCCCAACAACCTGTGCTTTACAATCTCCACACCTCACTCACAGGTCCTCCTTGAATTCCAGCAGAAATAAGCTATGGCTCTCTCTCTCTGCCTTTCTAGTCTGCAGCTTTTATACCCAGTTTCTAGTTAATAGCACTCAAACTCTACTCTGGCCTTTTGTCTTTCTAACAGACAGTTGAGGGAGGAAGGCCCACTCATTTGTCATCTAGCACAGAACCACTTGTTTTGCTCCCCTACTGACTCATACCAAAAGGCCATAACCAGGCAGGTCTGACTATTACAATACAGTGGTGCCCCGCAAGACAAACGCCTCGCAAGACGGAAAACCCGCTAGACGAAAGGGTTTTCCGTTTTTGAGTTGCTTCGCAGGACGAATTTCCCTATGGGCTTGCTTCGCAAGACGAAAATGTCTTGCAAGTCTTGAGATTTTTTTTTCGCTCCCCCCCCCCTTTATCTAAGCCGCTAAGCCTTTAATAGCCTTTTAGCAGCTAATCCGCTAAGCCGATAAGCCTTTAATAGCCGCTAAACCACTAATAGCGTTAATCCGTTAAGCCGCTAATAGGGTTGCTTCGCAAGCCGAAAAAACCGCTAGACGAAGACACTCGCAGAACGGATTAATTTCGTCTTGCGAGGCACCACTGTAATTGAATCTACACTGGATCTAGGAATTAGAAGGGGAGCTCAGGTATACAACATAACACGGATAGGAACTTTTAGAACAAAAATTCCAAACTGGTATACAGTATTTGTGGTCTGGGAAGTGGAACAATGGAAAAAAGAGCTTTCACTCCTTACCATGCAATATAATAATTTTGCTATCGATGAAAAATTATCAGACGGATCAAAAGCTGAATTACCTTTACAACAGACATAAAAGAGTGAAAAACATGTCACTGGAATAATTGTATATAGTTTTTAAAGTAAGGAAAAGGCATATTATGCTTGAAATTATGTAACGTGTGGGAAATCCTGACAATATAGGAGGCTCAAGGAATTTTTTTAAAGAGAGATAAATATATAACATGCATAGATGACTATCCTCAAACACTCTCATCACTATTAATACAAGCCATCTCCCTCAAGCACACAACATACTTACTATGAGCCAAGGGTTAGTGACAAATGTTAGCGATATCTGTCATCCAGACGAAATATGCACACAAATACCTCTTTTTTCAACAAAAAATGCACTTTCTGAAGAAACTGAGAACTCCAGAGAGGGACAAGAAACTCTCCCTCCAAAAAAACAAAAACAAAAAAACAACTACCAAGAAAAGCCTTAGCCTGCTGTACCTTACTGAAGTACAAAGAAATAACAAATTGTTACTACCCTGTCATTTTTGTTGAGCAAAATGAGGACTGATGCTACAGCTCTAAAGCTTTACTTTTGAAGTGCTTATCATCAGCCCCAACATCTTCAGTAGAGGAACGAAATAGAGTAGACAGTTGCCTTTTGGACCATGCTGTTAAGCACAAATATCTGCTTCAGCAAGGATAATAAGGAGCCCAGCCCCTGAACGGGGATTTCTTGGCTCGCATCTATGCTAGCACAGGATGCAGTGTATAAACAATGGGAAGTTGCAGTCCATTATGGTTTCCCTTCCCAAAGGTGGCGTTTTACATCGGATCTCGGCGCCCCACGTTTAAAATCCCACAAGTTTCCTGCACAGCAGCATAAATCCCAGAGCTCTGTGGAGAGGCAGAGAGCCTGTGTCTTCATAGCACTTGCCTCCACAACCTGAAAATGACCACATTCCCCCCGCCCCCACTATTGTTTGCTTTTCGCATGCCAGCTCCCGGGATACTGGGTCCTTCGCACGCCTGCTTGCCTTCAAGTCTCTCGACGGCTGCCTCTCAGCCTCTGCATATTTACGCACCCGACGAAGCAGGCTCCCGACTTGACTACCACAGCTCATGCCGCTACGGAACCAGGCTCAACTTGAGGTAAGACTCGGCCCAGGAGCCCATTTTGTAAACCCCGGGACTCCTCTTTGAAACGTACGTGGAGAAGAATGCTTTCCCCCCCCTCCCCTCACTTCCCCACTTCTCCTGCCTCTGGAGTTGGGGGGAAAGGATTTCCATGACAAAGAGCGCTATTCCAACCTCAGCGCCACTTTTCGCCAAGTGAACCCTGCCTCGGTTTGTCTTTTCTTCCGGTATCAAGTGCTGAGAGGAATCGCGACAACCGCCCTCTCCCGCCCGCCTTGCTCTGAGGTAACTACGAGCTCTTCTCCTCCTCCTCCTCACCCCCAGTCGTGACACGGCCGCCGCGCGGGCTTCCTTACCCGGGTTGCAGTGCAGCGGCGAGGGCGGCGTGGCGACGGGCGACGAGGGGGCCGGGGAAGGCTGAAGCAAAGGTGGCGGCGGAGGCAGCGGCGGGTCTTTGGGGCCGCCGGCTCCCGGCGAAGGCGCGGCGGGAGGCGGCAGCATGAGGTAGCGATGCGGCGGGGGTAGGCAGCGCACGCAGAACGAGTGGAGGCACGGCAGCAGCTTGGGCCGCCGGCTCTGGATGTTCTGGCCGCACACCCCGCAAGTGTCCAACAGGTTGAGCCGCGACTCTCCGTCGGCCCGGTCCGCGGGGCCTTGCCGGCTTTCAGCCTCGTTTTCTCCACCCATGGCGACAGGACCGGCCGGGGTGGGCCCTGCTCCCGCCATAGGCTCGTCCATTGTTCGGCGGCAGCGGCGGCGGCCACTTCAGGCGCGAAACGCCTCTCTCACAACAGCCGCTTCTACTCTCACGCCCCCCCCCCTCCGCCTTCTTACGAGCGGAGCGCCCGCCCCTCAACGGCCGCTGGGAGCAGCGACGTCGGTTGCTCCTGGACCGAACCCGGAGAGGAGGTCGCCAGCGCGCACAGCCGCGCGCGGGCAACGGCTACCGATGCCCCGCCCCCTTTCCGCCCCCTCCGGTGACAGGACCGCCGCTTCACGCCACGCCCCCTCTATCGACCCCGTCTAAACTCCGCCCCTTTCTCCTCGGGGTTGTCGCCGTAGACGCCTCAGAGCGTCATTTTCCTCCTCAGGTGCCTGGCGACCGTTTGGATTCCAACTGCTATTACGTTTGTATAAAAGGTGGGATTGGCAGGCTGTTCTGGGCTTGGTCGAATTCGGGGCGGGGGGTTCATTTCGGGCTATGGGAGAGAAATAGCAGGCTGGCGGCTTAAGGAAGACGAAAGACGCCTAGAGGAGGAGGAGGACGGGGACGGCTTATGGTAGGTGGTTGTGGGTCAGTTTGGTTTGCTCCTAGGAACCAGCGATGGGGCTGAGTAAAGTACTAGTGAAGTGAGGCTGTTTCCACGACCCCCTCCGCCCTAGTGCTTTGCAAGCCCCTCAGAAAGAGCAGGTAAGCACCATCGAAGCAAATGGGCGGGTGGGGGGGCAGTGAAGGTATTACCTTTTTCCTTTCTGGAGCTACACCCCTGAGGGATGCTGAGCTCCCTCCAAGGAGTTGTGCAGGGCAACTGGTGAAAGGGAGAGCCCTGGTGACCAACCTCCTCCCAGGTCTGCAAACTGGCCAGGACTTCAATGCCAACTCCACCAGAGGTGACGCTTAAGAAAAAACAGGATCTTCTCTCCTCACACCCCACCCTTGAGAAGACTGAATCCAGAAATGGACCAAGGGAAAACTGGAACATGTCCTGAACTGAGCTTCCTTGAATTAGAAGGAATATCTGCTGTGCTCTCCCAGAAATAAGACGGTGAGCAAAGTGGCTCCTGAACCAGGAGAGAGGTGGGAGGAGATGCCAAAGACCCATCCCACCCTTGTTTTTCTCCAGAGGACAGCTTGCCTCTTCAAGAAAGAGCAGCTTTTCTAGCAGAGCTGATGGAACAAGCCAGACTTCTCATCTTCCACCGAGGCATGCTACTGGAAAAAGTGCGCAATTCGTAGGGAGTTAGTTGGAATAGTAGGGATGAGTGTTTGTTTGGCTGTACCATGATTGAGTGGCTGGTGACCACTCCTATAATGTTTTGCTTTCTGTTTACATGGGTATGGAGGAGTATTACTTGCTGTGTGAGTTGATCGTTTGAACTGTCTGCCCAAAGGCCAAGAAGCAGCAGAGAAAGCAAGAGGCTTCCTTATTCAGAAGTAATAAAAACACATACAGGAATGTAGCCGTTTGGACCAGACAGACAGACTAACATATGTTCTAACCGGGTTAAGGAGAATACCACATTTATCTGAGAAACAAGTGAAACTTCTGCTACTATGCAGGCCTGCTCTGAAAGAGACTGTATCCACTACCCAATATAACTTTGCAGTGAAAAGATGGACAGTTGCTGGGACGAACTCCTGGCATTGCAGGGGTGTGCTGGTCTAGCAAAAACACTGTAGCAGACCTGTGTTTAAGGCACTGCCATGGAGCTGTATATAATCCTATTTTTAAAAACCTACGACATTACTGGTACGAGTCTGAATATGTAATTGAAACTTAACAGACCACAACTTTCCTAGTCCTTAAGTTCATGTCTCTGAGGGCAGTAACACTGCCATTAACAAAATTCCAAAAAGCTAGTTTCACAACAAACAATTTGGTGGAAAGAATCTTGAAGTGAAGGGGTAGCAAGTAAAATCCACTGTTCAGAATTCTGTTTTTATCTTGAACAAGCTATATATAAATAAAAGCATGTATAACCACAGCTCACATGAAATGCCTAATTTCCCTTTAGGTCAGGTCACCCCAAAAAAGGAACAAATCTCTTTGATGCTGAAATACCTGAACATTTTGTTCCCTTTGGAGTAGTAAAAGATAAAAGTTGAAATAAATGGAAACTGGTCATCTTGCTGATCATAGGAAACCTGAATTAAGCAAGGAGGAGATATTCATTTACCAATGTGCCTCTGCATTTTGACAAAGACTTTTAATAGAATACTAAATGGGCAAAATCATAGTGGTCCATTAACTAGGTGTGACAGGGCAGGGGGAGAAATTGTCTCATTTATTTTGTTCGTTTATGAATCACTTCACATGAAACACCTCAAAGCTGTTAACAATAAAGACATCAGTAATAACCATTTCAAATGCAATACAGATACACTGGAGTTAGAGTCTCTGCTTCAAATGCTTGTTGAAAAAAATTATATGGAGGAAATAATTGGGGGAGCATACAGCCTTTGCTCAGCTACTTGCAATTGAGTAAGTTCATGCCAATTTCATTTTTAATAGTTTTTTATTTTGCAAATACAACAAAAAGGAATTCCCATTATCCCTGACCACTGGTCCTGTTAGTTAGGGATCTTGGGAGTTGTAGTCCCAAAACATCTGGAGGGCCAAGTTTGTATGCTTGTTTAGAACTTCTTCTTTTTTTAAAATAATATTTATTAATAATTTCAGAATTACAGAAAAAAAATAAAAAACAAAAAACAACACTACAATACATAAAAAGAAGAAAAAACGCAAAACATAAAAACCAATACAACAATACATTAAAAAAAATATAAAAAAGGAAAAATAAGACACAAATCCCATACTGCATATCTTTAACTTCCATTTGCTTGTTTCATTGACCTCCTCACACCTCCCTTTTTGTATTCTAGTTTAGTTAGTTATTTCAGCAAATTCTTTCCATCTTTCTCAATTTTTATTAGTTTATCTTAACAATTTAACCTATTAATTAACTCGACAGATCCTTTCCATCTTTCCCCACATTCTGTTATTCAAATTACCTTAATTTATTTAACCTTATCTTACCATAAAATACCTTAAAGCTTGAAACTTAATACTCAGTTATACATAACCCCTGATATCATTTCTGCTAGAGTCATATAGTTTCATTCCAACATTTTCCCTAATATTCATTAATTTTAGGCTAATTCCCTAAATAAAAAGTTTTCTTTGTAAATTTTCTTCCAATCTTCATCCAACGTCTCTTCTTCCTGGTCTCGGGTCGTGTCAGTCCTTACTGTCCATCCCATCTAGTCCATCAACCTGGAAGCCTTATGTCCGAGGCCCTTACGTCTCTTCCATGTCCCTTCTGCAGATCATCTTCTTCTTGTTTATACTTGCACTTTTCCTTGTCTTTTGTTGGTCTCTTTCTTAATTTCTTTCCTTTCTCGTTGAGGAGTAGGTCTCTGGGGGGTTCCAACCCAAAGTTATCTCCGTCTCCCTTCATCAAATCAGCCCATTCCCCACAGTCCCACTCCCCACAGTCATCAATATAATCCAAAAAATATTTACGAGCATATTTCGAAGTCTCTCCGAAGTTAAAAGCCTCCTCAGCTCCAGGCTCCCCCTGGCCCACTCCAACTTCAATCTTCAAAAACAGCGGCTTATGCTCCTGTAGGGCCTTGGGCCTCTCCATTTGTATTATTTGAGGTGCAACCGCAGCCTCCTCCATTATCTTCTGCACTTGCCCAATCAATACAGGTTCCTGAGTTGGACCCTGGATGGTTTCTGTATCACTATTCACTAATTGTCCACAGTTATTGGCCACAACAGTCATCAAATCCATTTTCTCATTCATCAAATCCATCTTCTCATGCATCTGTTCCAACAAAGCACTTGTCTTGCATAAAGCAAGCACCAAAACTTCCTTCCAGCTCATATTTAGTCAAGGTCAAAAAGACTAATCCCACGATCTTAATCTCACAACTGTGGAGTCCTCAAGTAGACTGCAGCAACAATTTAGCAAGCTCCCTCTAGAGGGGACAATTTCTATTTGTATCCATCTTTTTAAGGCAAGTCCAACAAAGGAAAATTACTTTCATTTTTTCAGATATTTTGTTTCTTTAGAATGCAAAAGGCAACATTGGAATCAGTTTATTTCTCTTCTTTAGCTATCTGTCAAAGTATTCCATTCACAGTCAATGAACCTCTCCAACAATTTCTGTCTCTGACACCCCATTCCCAGGTTAGAGACGGTGGAAACTTATCTTTCTTCACTCCCTCTCCTACAGGCGTTACACAAAGTCCCCCCCCCCTTTTCTCCTGCTTCCAAGGGGGTTTCAGTAGTTGTAAATGAAGGAAATTTAGGCTTTTTTAACGACTTTCCAGGCTTTAGCTTACAAGGTTTTTGCTTCAGTCTATATACAAAAAGCGGAAGGCGGACTTCTTGTTTTGAACCTTCCCGCTTCGATGTCAAATTAAGATATTTCTTGATCCAATTTTCCGTTTCTACTCACGGGTACTTGTTTTAGATCCAATTGTCCACAGGACAAAGTCAGCGCTCTCCGGCGATGGCTGTGCGGCTTCACTCCGTGAAAGTAGCAGTCAGTTCGCAGCACCGCGCCGCTCACCCCACTTCACTCCGGAATCCCAAAAAGGGGTTCCCCGTGAGTAGGGGGCGCTCCTGGTGCCCTGCCGAACCCCACGTTCCCAGGCTTCCTCCGCCTGGGATTTCTAGCGAGTCCCCACCTTCGCCGCAGCGGGAAGACCCAGTTTCCACGGAGCTAGTTCCTCTGGTCAGAGGAACTCCGCCATTTGCCAATGGCGCTAACCCGGAGGTCCGCTTGTTTAGAACTTCTTCTTCTTGTAGGTGTTGAGTTGTTTAGTCGTGTCCGACTCTTTGTGACCCCATGGACCAGAGCATGTCAGGCACTCCTGTCTTCTGCTGCCTCCTGCAGTTTGGTCAAACTCATGTTGGTAGCTTCGAGAACACTGTCCAACCATCTTGTCCTCTTTCGTCCCCTTCTCCTTGTGCCCTCAATCTTTCCCAACATCAGGGCCTTTTCCAGGGAGTCTTCTCATGAGGTGGCCAAAGTATTGGAGCCTCAGCTTCAGGATCTGTCCTTCCAGTGAGCACTCAGGGCTGATTTCCTTCAGAATGGAGAGGTTTGATCTTCTTGCAGTCCATGGGATTCTCAAGAGTCTCCTCCAGCACTAAAATTCAAAAGCATCAATTCTTCGGCGATCAGCCTTCTTTATGCTCTCACTTCCATACATGACTACTGGGAAAACCAT